TCGTTATCTAATTACAACGCTGCAAATTGATTACAATTTCAAGGCTCATTGCCACGTAACTAATTAGTACAATACCACGAATTTAACAGTGTATTCATTTTTAAATATCTAAATATGTATTTTGTGGTAGGTATTGTTCCATTTGTTTAAATGTAAATAGTTAATAGATAATAAAGTAATAATTACAAAATACGATATTAAAATAAAAATGGCATACCATCAAAAATGTTATCCCCAATGATTGCCAACTGTGGATTTTTTTCTTCTTTCTCAATTTTTTTCAGTAGAATTATTAACTAGTCAATAATATATTAATATTTCTATTTTCTTTTTTGCGCTTTTTTTGTATACGTGGAATTTTCCGTTGAATAAAAAAGGCAGTTCTTGCACGCTAGCAGTTCTTGTATCCGCTAAATTAAACTTAGTTGTTTTTCATAAGTCTGTTCGTGTGTAAAAAATTGTATTTAACATTGACCTACTTATTTAAGTATGTCTTAATCTTAAGAAATTAGATTATATACTTTTATCCAGGTCGAAGCTATAGGATTACTAGGATTGTTTGTTGGCTCGTAGATCTCCTCTGAACCTTTTTCAAGGTATGTTTTTAAAATAAGTATCTAGCATGTATGCCTATTCTTAAATTTTTAATAACTCCACATCCAATTCTATTTCTCTACTTCAAGTTACTAAGTTTATAAACTGTAAAAACATTTGTTTTAATTAACACGAACGGTCTTCATTATCGATTTAACACAGTTCCCGCGGACAGTACTCTGTCCGTAGAGCATAATGTATCATTTCAGACACTTTATACATATTGTCGAGACAGTGTGTCGAGTTATCGTCACAGTTTTTGGCATTCGTCCACTCATCCCACCGGTCCAGGCACACAGTGCCACGCGACAGCTAAGATAACGGTGAGCTCTTATCTTTAAACCGCTAATTACATGCGCCGTTTACTAATCTAACGAAAGACAGCTGCAGGCTTCGTCTGAGACAACGTTCTATGCTTGGAAGATTAAATATATCTGTCAAGCTGAATTGCACACATTAATCTGATAAAACAATTTTTATAAATGAAGTCTATATACTACAGTACGCTCTCTTCTGTCGTTAAAATGTTTGAGTTTTAAATAGGCGTGTCGAAACTAATACGGCACTACACCCTGCCGATATAATTACAATAATCGTTTTGACAATCGGCGAAGATTCATCATTTGTGTATGTTATTAACTTATAATAACATACACAAATGACGCACCGCTTGTAACTTTTACATTAATTTCATTCTTAAATAAGAGAATATTAGGAGTGGTTAAAGGTGGTTTTTGATAAGTAATTATCATTACATATGATTATATATTATATTAGTTATATGATAATAATATTACTGGTCTCCATAGTTGTGTATTGAGAAATTTAGTACTATTTTTTTTATGTTAATTTTGTGATAACGATAAACAAAACCACTAATGTATGTTCCACTATTTTTGAGCGTGGTTGCGGTATGCCCATTTCCGTATAGAAATGTGTGAATACTGCGACCCGAGGACGATTTGTCTGTTATATGTAGATATATTTAAGTATATACAGAAAATTTATACTTTATTTGATATGCATAAAATAACAGAAAATAAAATTAAACATTGCTACATTGCTAATTACACTCGATTAATAAGAATTTTTTGATAATGGCACAAAAAAGGTAAAATCACGCTTGGTCACCAAGGGCTTTATCCTCGCTTTTCATCTACTTTTGTGAGTCATTGTGTCTATGGTCCTAAAAGTAAATATATTTAAAAGAACTGTGAATAAGTTTTCGTATGAAAAGCTTCTTGGTTTTACTACATATCGCTAAAAAAACATTAAAATCATTATTCAAATTCCACACGAATGATGAACAACACCTAGTTCAGCTGCAACTGTAATTGCTTATAAAATTTATGCAATACCGCTTTAATTGTTTAAAAAATTATGCTGCAAATTCTGAGTACTAATCCGTCGTTTTACTAATAAATAATGTGCCTCATATCGTGTCTGTTGCTAACTGCCAAGGTTTCTCGTAACTTGGCTGCGGCCTTCATGTTAACCAATTCAGCATCCGACTGGAACAATGTTCCACGCCCGTTGTCATTTTTAAATAATTGTAAAAAAAGAAGTTTTTCACTTATAACTTTTTATTTTAAGATACAGATATTTTGAATAGAATAGTATTAAAATTAAATAGAAATATTATCAAATGCTCATCAATCAAACGCTATTGAAATTTAAAAAATACATGACTGTGAAATAAATTGTCGTAGTCAAAGCGACGTTAAATATCATTTTAATATTAATATTTTCTTAATCTTAACATTTCATAAAATTTGGCTTCGTAATTACGGTTGGAGTAATTAGAATTCAAATTTACACAGATATATCTTAAAAGCAGTAATTTACCATAATGGTTTCCAGGGGGAACGGCGCGGCGCGGCGTGAAGGTGAACCAAATAGGATACTGGTACATTGTTAGCATTGGGAACATTAGTCCACATTACTAACAATCACCTTCCCCAACAAGGGTCTGTTAGTTATGGAGAAATGTGAGCACAGTTCAACTGCCATGTAGTCTCTCCAGAAGCCATTGGGTTAAATTAATAGGTATCATATATAAAAAAAAAGATACGACTAGATTGTGCAAAACTTTCCTGCACATAAATTTTATATTTATTAGTCCATAAAAGTATTAGCTCTTGAAATGAATAACTGAATTACCTATTTGATTATATTAGTTCTCCCGTTCCCTGTTGCTCGGGATATCTCTAAATTTCTACTGAAACAGACCGTACGATGGGCCAATGAATTATTCAGCTCGGCCGCGGCTCTTCGGCATCATTACCAGAATATTGTGCGAGGACGCGAGAATTTTAGTTAAATATTATTTACTTAATTATTTGTTAAACTAAAATCAGCTCTTCAGTGACATAAAATGTATATAACAGCGTTAGAAGTAGTATTATAAAATATTTAAATAAACTTACCATAACATTATTGCAATTGGGTAGTATTTGTTGTATATGAGAGTAGTAATTTACTTCTATTTGTATAGATGTTTTAATGTCGGATCAAAACACAGGGAACATTCGTATATTTCACGTACATGTATATTTGTTTTAAGTAATTGAAATAACAATCAAGCTGATGAGCTATATATACCTGTATGGCACTGCGTACATCAATCGTTATCGCGTAACTCCACTGATACCATTCATGCAATGTTATCCAGATCCAGAGAACTAAGATGTTATTTTACTTACCCTGTAATTGTACTGCCTTATATCGAAATCTATTTACAAGATGTGTTTCGGTTAAAGGGTGAGAGTGAGCTGCAAGGCGGCTGAAATAGATGAGAACCTTTTACCGATAATGATGAAAAAGTTGGCTGCATATAGGTTACTTTTCAAATTTATCGGCCGAGCATGGCCTCCGCTTTGGAAATATTAGATCTAGTTATTTTTAAACTTTCGTGTTTAATATATTTTATTTAAATTATTAACCGGGTCTTAACACACGTCGAAATGTCGAGAGAGGTAAATACCTTTATTTGCCATAAAATTATTCGTGTTAAGGTTAATAATTAAAATTATCAGATCTATGTTCATTATCGTATACAACTGTCATCACAATTGTTTTTATTCTACAATTTTTCTTCATAATTCTAATTTAGGCTACAATAAAAATTATTGTTCGTGAAGTATCATTTCCCTTAAAATTCGGTCGCTGAATATCTATTATTTCTAACAAATTGATGGCCATAGAATATAATTTGGACACAATTTTAGAAAAAAATATGAATTTGTAAATATCTGTATAATTAATAGAATAATAATATTGAATAAATAGAAAATGCCGCATGGTGTTAAGTCCGCCAAATGTACTGTTCTATATATTGTATTGTGTACATTAAAGTTAAACAAATAAATAAATTACTCACTTTGTACGTTTTTGTTCCAAAATTAATAGCATATTAGTCCAAATCGACTTTCAATCAAATGAGTAGGTATAATGTAAAAGCGATCGTTTTGATTGGAGCGTGAATGACACAAGTGGGAAGTCTATAAAGAAATGTGTAGGCATATCTTTAGAACTATTTATGCTTGTGACGTGTGCTATGTTTCTTAATTTGTGCAGTTCATTAGCCGACATTTTTATCTTCACTCCTCTCTCAGTCATTATTGTCCGATTAATCTTTTTATTAGTCTAAAAAGACAACAGTTTCTTCATAGATCTAAATTGTTTTATTAATAAAATTATAATAATACACTATTACTTACAAAGTTTACTTTACGTCAGTGATTTAACTTTAGCTATTTTCTGAAAACCCCATTTTTATATTCCAGACACGATCGGTTGTGTATTAGTACAGAATGTTAAAGGATAAATAGTAAGTAGGTATTTAGGTATGTTTTTTTCCGCTGAATCCCTCGATGCGCATAAAGCGCGTGGTTGAAAGAAATTTACCTATTTGTAAAGTATACGAGGAAAATTTCATTACAACTGTGGCGTAGTACAGTTTCACAGTCTTACCAATGTAGCAGCAACTTTGTGCTAGTAACATTATTTTTAACAATAACGTGATATGGTTATTTTGACGATCTAGCATCAAAACAATTTATAAATAAAATAAATTTGATAGTTTTAATCAGTCGGTAAATAAAAATTTGTCGTACTATAATAAAAAGCGCGCCATTACAGGAAAAATTAATACACCTCTGGAACTTTACAATATGATTGTTCTCAGTTTGTAAATCTATATACATATTATAAAACAAGTCCTCTGCTACATCTATTCGTTATAATTTTAAAAAATTACTAAACGAACTTATATATGATTTTCAACTGTCAAGAGAGAGATTCCTAAGGAAGATTTAAAGAAATATTTGGTTTAATAAATTGAAATACCCATTCGTCTGACCAGTTTATGTAATTATTTATTAATGATGAATTGATTGTCATTGCAGAATAACAAACACGTTGAAACTCTGGACGACGGTCAACTACGCGCCCTTCTAGATGAAGCTATCCAATACAAATGCCCCAAAGACCGCGAGGGTAAAAGTAGTCTCTTCCAAGTAAGTCTTTTAATACTTATATATTATATTATATTCATCAGTATTTGAGGTTTATTGTTTTATTAATCTGTGACAAATAGAATACAACGCCTTGCCATACAGATTTTACAGGTTTAATAAGTTCTATGTATTTCTATTTCGAACGACCTCGGTGGTCTAGCGGTCTAGCACACCGCTTTACGTCCGATGGTCGCGAGAGCGATTCCTCGCACGGTACAAACATTTGTATTCATGAGTATGATTGTTTGTATCGATAGATTCTTTTTTTAATGGAGAGTTTAGTAGGTTACTGCAATCGTAATATTATAAACATAAAAGTATTTTTTCAATATTCATAACATAATTTGACATATTGTGTTATTTGATATCGCGTCGTAAACCCTGAACAGATTTTTTTTATCCATTGGGTTTACTTTCATGTTGTTTTTGTTTCGTGGACTATAATACTGTATATATAAGATATACTGTAATACATTTTGGGGCATTTTTTATGGATTATAATGATATTCTGCACCCTGCTGCTTTAATGATATACGGCTGGCGGGACACCCGTGAATGTTGAATAGATGAACATCTCAAGTCAGGTCAGTTGTCTAATTTTGGTGAATTTATCTGATGGTGTTCATAGGGTCGACTTAAAAGATTAGAATGTCTAGTTCGTATTGCAATGCAAACGATCGTTTCCCTCTCTATTCATATCTGTTATAGGTAACCATGTGACTACCCATCTGAATAGATAGTCACAGGGTTTGCCAACCGTCGATATCCTGGTGAAAACAATACATGACATTCTTACATTTAGGTGGGTGGTATGTGTGAATACAATGAGGCACCGACAAGCCTACCATCATCTCTCTTTCACGTTTGATGTCTATATCGGGGTAACAAACCATTCGGGTAGACTTTTTGCTGAAGCAAAGTCCTATATAATTACTTATGAAATTACAGGAGCTTCTCGAAGAAGTGGAGCAAGACGAAGCGTGCGAAGCGGCCCGCAGTTTCGGCCCCCGGGGAGTGGTGCGCGATGCTCGCGGGCGGCTTGCGTTATCGCATGCCAACTCGATGCAGGACCTAGTGGCAGCCCTGGCGGGCGAGTCTCCCCAGCGGCCGATACGACACCAACCGCCGCAGCGCGCGCATGCGTCTGTTTCAGAGCGTGCCACGCATGGCGGCAGTCTACCATCTGGAGTTGACACCTGTATGTGTGGTTTAAATTTATCTTAGCTTTTAAACACCTCGATGCTACGAAATGATCAACCTTGATGCTTATCATTCTTATCACCCCTGAAATTTACTAGGAAAATTTATTCTTTATGCCGTATAGTCCTAAAATGCAATCAGCGGCTTTATTTTCAAGTTATTTTTTTTGCTGTCACTATTCAGATTTTTTAAAATAGTACATACACCTTTGCCGTCATAACTGTAAATCAGACTATTGCTCCAAGAGTGATTTTCCATACTAAACTATGATCCATTTTTGTATTTATGTGACACATAGGCATGCATGCATACCCATGTTCAATTGTTTTAGTCTAAACATTTAGTAATGTATAATGCTTGTAATTGACCCTATGTGTGTGTACTAAGACAAAATAAAATTCTTATCTATCCATAAAAAAAAATTAACCGTAATCATATTATAAACGCGAAAGTTTGTCAGTTTGTAACAATTTCACGCAAAAACTACTGAACGGATTTTGATGAAATACATGTACAGTAATATAGCTTATGCATCAGAATAACACATAGGATATATTTTTTTTGCACAGCTATAGTAAACTAGCTGTGAAATATTTAAAGAGGTAATACGTTTCTAATAACGGAAAAGGAATACTAAACACTTAAAATTTCGGTTTTCGACAAATTCAGTAGCAATTTATCACAATTGTTTACAGGAGGAACCGCCTAGAGGTCGACCCAACATGGTACATTGCTAGCAATGGGGGTTACTAATAATCCACTACTTTGTAATATTTGTACATACAATATATATGAAATATTTCAAATTAAATAAATATATAGTCATCAGTCAGTATATAGTCACATCCAATCAGGGTTATATGTATATATAACCCTGATTGGATGTGGTAAGTTAACGTCAGGTTTGTGTGTCGGTGGCAGCGTTCCACGCGGCGGAGGAGCCGGTGTCGGGCGGCGGGTACCTGGCGACGGTCCGCTGCGTCAACCCGCCGCCGCTCGCTGAACGCCGCGTGTCCGCCAGCGACGCCAATTGTCCAGCTGAACTCGAACTGCTCAACAAGTGAGTCCGTGTTGACTGTTTATTGATATGCTATATTTGGACTTCATGTGGATGCAATTATTGTTATGTCTATATTCAATCAATATAATATAGCAAGTGTTACTCGGTGATGATGTAGCTTTCTATAAGTGAAAGAATTGTGAGAATCGGTTAAGTATTTTTTGAGTTTGAGACAATTCAAATAATATTTTTGGAATAATGCTTCCGCCTAAGCTATTGGTATACTCTGTTGCGACACTGTTGGAATATAACAGGACGACTGATGATATTAAATATGACTGTTGGAATGAACACATGATTTTACTAATGTTTTTTAGTAAAAGAATTAGGCAATATGTAGCTTTTTAATAAAAGACATCTATAAACTTAACCTACAATTGTTCTTTAAGGGTGATTATTTAGTTAATCTGGACCGCTAGACCGATTTGTATGTCTGTTAGGGAATAAGCTCAGGCATTAAGCCCGCCATATATACTATTTTGAGTTGCGCTCTGCTTTTCCAGGATGAACAACGTTTGTCGAATCGGATAGTATACGTATAAATGCATCTCAAACTGAAACGTTTTCATAAAAATTTATACATATCGTGATGCGCGTAGAACGTTATTTCGAATGTGAACATGACACAACAAATCTACAAATATACGTGTAACAAATTTTGCAATAAATATGTTTCGCAATGCTAACTGCATTGCGAAACATATTTATTGCAAAATTGGGGCTTAGTTCGTATTTGACCAACCGCTTATTTTTTTTGACCTTATATTAAAATTTTACTACTAATGTGTTCTAACATAAAACTCAAAGAATAATGAAATGAGAGAATATATCGAACAGTAACGGTAATGGTTATTGCTAAAATAAAATTATGTCGAGTATTCGGATTTTCCCCACTCGTTAACCGTACCAATAATTTCATGCAGACTTCATTACATCTTCGGTTAATTATACTAGTCATAATTTGTCATTTTGACTGTTTGAATGCAAATTTTTATTCAATAAGACTTAAACGCTAACTTATCTAAAGGGCCTTTGTACATAATAAAAGCTATGTCATTTTGTATGTGCTCCCAAGAATACAGAGTCTTTGTATGTATAGTCACTATATTTGCAGTGTACAATTGAGCTAGTATATAGATCATATTGTAATTTTAGATTAATTCATTGGAGAATACTGCTGTAATTTGAATAATCTTACCCAATGCTCTAACAATGAATAATCTACATTTTATATGTATTCAAACAATACACGCATTGTAACTGTGAGTGATTTAGGCCTGTTATTTAATATATGTCCAATTTATAAATCCAGGCACCGAATTTGTGTTCAAAACAAAAATTCTCAACCGTTTCCGTGCAGTCCGCTGGATAGTTCAGTTGTAAAATCGTCCATCATTATACTATCGTATCGCAATCGCTGTGTGGTGAAACGACGTGGTCGCGTATAAGTTGAGCAGTTGTAAGAAGAGTGGAATTGTCCACAGGAGGAGTAAGACGACGTTCCCGATGTACACGGCGCGCGCGACGCTCGAGATCGGCAGCGGCAGCGTGTGTTCGGGCCGCGCGGTCACCACCACCACGGCGTCCAACCAGGTGCGTACGGCCCCCGCGCCCCCGCCGCCCCCGCCGCCCCCGCAGGCCCCGCAGCCCCCGCCGCCCCCGCGCTCCCATAACACACGCTTCCACGGCCCTCACGGACCAAAAACTCCAGAAAGAGGAGATCCTAACCAAATAAAGCTGCTAACTGCCTTGCGCTCAAATACTTGTGATGACGAAAGCTGTGAAGGTGGTGGTTACGACGGTCATAATAGTGATCGTGACGTAGCTATAAGTAAATCGCGCGGCCCTAAGAAAACTTTTCCTGAAGCTAAGAATTTGAATTTGAAATCTGTAGACCTAAAACATGCAAATGTTCCATCCAAGAATAAGTCATATGATAATAAATTATTTTCTGAATTGTTTGAACAAAGGGTTGACAGTTGGTACAAAGGATTAACTAAGGCCTTTGAAGAACCAAGTTTTTCAAATATATCTAAAAGTCATAGACGAGAAGCACAACAAATGTGTTCTAATAGAATGTACAGATATTCTGATATTTACCCGAATATTAGGGGCCCTAATATTTCTCTGAGTCCAGAAAAATATCTTTCAAGTGAATGTAATTCATTTAACAATACATTAACTTTAAAACCAAACAATCGCAATCAAAAACAGCTAAAAGGAAATAAAGATGCTTCTGTTTTACAACATTCTAATAATTCCAATAAGAAGTATATTCAGAGGATACAAAATATACAAAACGTACTGAAAACCATTGATCAAGATAAAGTCGATAAAATCAATGACTCTATAAAATACAGACAACATGTAGGCAAATTAGAACATCATTCTTTAACATCATTTAACCCAAAAAATGTTAGAAAAATGACAGTAGCTAAACCAACAAATTATGATGATATGTCATATTTGTACAAACCAGTGGAAATTGCGCAATTAAATCGTGATATTAAGTATATCACTAAAGAAACTGGAAATACAAAAATCGAGAAATCTAAAGAAATTAACTCAAATGTAAACCTTTTCCAAAAGCTCCCAAGTTATTCTGAAGTCTGCATGCATACAAATGCAAATTATGAAGATGTACCTGAAAATGATAATAATAATAATGTAGAATTAATTGATTTGTCAAATGTAAGAAAGGTTGACAACATGATAAATGGAGATTTGACAGATATTCCTCACAAGCCGTATATTTTATCTGAAAATATGAATACGAAAAAAATGGATCAAAACCTTACTTTAAGTTGCAATGATAACATAGAATTATTAGATATGACAAAATCTCAGAGAAATGAGGAGTCTAGTTCAAATTCGTTTTCCAAATATTTAGCTGAGCAACAAAAATTATTTGAAGTTTTAGAGAACGCTAATGTAGATACTCTCAAAGATGAAATTGATTATCAGGAAGATTCAGAATGTGTAAATACACTATGTAGCGACGTCACGGTACAAAAAAGTGATAAATCTAAAGATATGCTAACTAAAAGAAACACTAACTCTTACGTCTTTTTAACATTTCCTAAACGCTTACTCACAGAGAAACACGGCGATTCGTCTGTGCAGATACATGAGATTGATAACAATAGTGATAAGTCTAATATTCCCGATGCCAATAGTACTATAGGATATCATAAAGCAAAGAAAGAAAAGGTGGTTCTTCATGATAGCAATAGTAAGAAGAACAAAGATTTTTATAAGACTGCAAATAAATTTCTGCTGTTTGACGACCTTTTAAAAAGAAATAAAGAAAAACCGGTATTGAGCCAGCCCGGGCACCACTCTAAGGCCGTTAAAGAGGTAATATTTCATTGTAGTAAAAATGAACACAGTACTAAAAATTTAATACTTATTTCTTATTATAAATGTGACAATGCTTAATTGTTTATCATGTTTACTTTTACAGGTTGATTCCGCAATACCGTTTAGTTGCATCACAACACCGGAGGTTGTGGCCAGTTGCAACACCACATCTTCTACTTCTCAATCTGCAGTTGCTACCGATCCAAAGGTTGACATTCTATTATATTTTCTTTGTTTTATATATTTTGCTACTATTCCTAAACTAATTGTATTTGTAAAATACTATCACACCATTTGTATACTTTTTGATTATTATTGTTATATTAATATATATAAAAAATGCTCAATCCATAAATGGTGTTGTCATCTTCGAAACATTAGGTAACTATGATAATTATATTTAAAATTGACAATTGTTGTCTGTTGCATGTCAGAAATAACTAAATATGTGAAACAAATAATAATGATTTAAAGTACGACATGCTGACAATATGCTACCACTTTATGTAATTAAACTTTATTACATTTTTAATATTCATAGATATATTTTTTTATACTACGATGGTAGCAATAAAGCATACAGCCCACACAATGGTAAATAGTTACCGTAGCCTATAGACACCTGAAACACCAAGGATGTCTCTAGGCTATGCCGATCTTTAAGAAATCATAATATACCCTTGAAAACCTCGGCAGGAAATCATTAAATTCGATGTGCAATAGACAACATTCTAACAGATATAGAATTACCCGTTATTTCACCAAGATCATCAACATACTAGTCGTAAGTTTTTAATGGATAATAATGCAAATGGTGCATCCACCTGCGCTAACAGCTTACGCAGGCGGGCAGTGGTGTATGATAAGATGAGGTCAGGTCACTTAGTTTCCAGGGGGAACTGCATGGTCAACTTGATAAGGTACATTGCTAGCAACTAGTTATAAGGAATCCATGTTGTATACATAAGAAAGCATTGCATGTATATATATTCATGGACACAGGAGACAAAAATGATAGATATATTTGGGATAGCATAGTAGATAGTGTAGTTCGGGGATTGAGAGTTTTAGTCATAGGGGCTCAAAAGTAGTTGCATCCTAACAATATATTAAAAAAAGATGGTGGGTACAGCCGCTGCAGCTGAGCTCGTGCTACCGCGCGGTGGGCGCGCCCCCCACCCCGGCCCCCGCACCCGCCCCCGCCCCCGCATCCGCATCCGATTCCGCATCCGCACCCGCCGCCGCCTCCGCCTCCACTACCACAGTCGCCCGCCGGGACCAGGTATGTCACGCTCCACTCTCCTTTACGTTATCTCTGTATTCACCACACTTGTAAGTTACTTTTGTCAATAAACATATGTGCAATTTTAATAGAATAGCATTGATTATCTTAAACTATCTTAAATTTTATTTCTAATGTCACCTCATATTTAGTAACTGTTGAGTGTTGTCATGATGAACTGCACTTGTCCACTACTACTGTACATTAATTACTAAACACTAATTCGGTATATTTTATCTTCTTCAATTTCGTTTCAAATATAAATACGTTGTTGAAGTATATTTCATTTCAATGTTTTATGATATAAAATATGAATATTCTCGATCAAATAATGGTTTCAAATATTCGAAAAGTTTATAAAGGGTGTGACGTTTTCTTATTTGTTTATTATGTAATAGTACACATATTTCTTTTTTAATAAAATATTAACTTTATAAACAAAATGTTTATAAAGTTTTGAATAAATAAAGAAATATATTTTTTATATTCATGTTATAACGAAAAGATTCGTATCATTAGCTGATACGAATCACCAAGTGAAAAATAACATAAATATTTTTTTTTTCGCAACAGTCTCGCAGTGTTATCGGCTACAACGGTCTCGCGGGATCGCGGCAACATGGATTCATAGTCGCTTCCGCACCAGAAGAACACAAGGTTTGTTGCGTAATGCTCTCGTTATTGTTTATGCATTGCATCCTTGGGTTATCATTCATGTATCCATCCATATTGTACATACACACATCACATCTGCTTGAAATGCGACGCACATCAATGAAGTGATGATTGCCTAATTTTTTTAAGTCTTCTAATGCGTGTTGTTTTTCCTTCCTATTCAGGTGCCTATATTCACTGTGCACTACCGTTTACAGAAATCTCTAGACGAAAACGGCAACGCAGTACAAGGAATCAGTTCTCCCAGTCTACACAAGAAACCTAGGAGAAAAAAGTCTTCCAAGAATGAGACAGTTATCAACTTGCAAAAAATCGACGGCTACCAAGGCAACAAGGACCTGAACGAGTTGCTGCGCTTCATAGAGTCGAACGCGGACAACGGGCGCGGTTCGAAGCTCAGCCGAACGAAGCACAAGGATGACTCCGACGACAAGGGCGGCAAGAAGCGCTCTAACGAAAGGCGCAAAGAGAAGGAGAGTAAGATGAAGCGCGCCACCTCAATGGAGGAGCTCTCGCGGACCAAACTGGAGGACTTGACCGTCGAGGCGGAGTCTCCGCTCCGCTCCGACAAGAAGGAGCGGAGGTCCGACGTCGCGCCCGCCAAAGCCGAGCGGCGCTCCTGGGGCGACGACTCGCGCGACTCGTTCTACTACCGGCCCGCGGAGCCCGAGCCCGCGCCCGAGGTGACGGCCGCCGCCGCCGAGCTCACGGAGTTCCAGACCGTCACCAAGCGGCGCAAGCCGCGCCGCCGCACCGACGAGCACGAGCGCGACGACGCGCTCGCGCCGCGCCGCCCGCGCCCGCCCTCGCCCGCGCCGCGTGCGCGCCGCGAGTCAGCGCCGCCCTCCGACCGCAGCAACGACTCCAACGACGACATGGACTCGGTGCACTCGCTGCCGGCCGCGCCGCCGCCCGCGCCCGCGCCCGCGCCGCCGCACGCCTCCTACGCGGACATCGCGCGCACGCGCCACAACATCCCCGACCTCATCGAGTCCTGCAACTTCTACGCGGAGGGCGGGGACGCCGCCGCCGAGCGCCGCCGCGCCGAGCCGCCGGCCGCGCCCGGCGACGCCGACGGCTACCCGGCGCTCGAGCCGCGGCCGGCCGCCGCGCCGGGCGGGCCGCCGCGCGCGCGCACCGCCAAGCCGCCGCCGCCGGCCGCGCCGCGCCGCGACCGCAAGGAGCGCGCCGCCGAGCCGGTGGCGGAGTGCCCCGCGCCGGACGTGGTGGCCGACCGGCGGCCGCCCGTCATCCTGCTGGACTCGGCGGCGCGGCCGCGCGACATGGACGGAGTCACTTTCGGGTTCGACATCAACGAGCAGCTGCTGGGCACGGCGGCGCGGCGGCCGCGCTGCGACTTGGTCCGCGACGCGCCGGACGGCGAGCCGCCGGGCGCGGGCGCCGGGTCCGGCGCCGGTCCGGCGGGCGGGCCGTCGCGCGCGGTGCCGGTGCGCGCCGGCTGCGCCGCGCTGCGGTACGTGCCGCCCGAGCCGCCGCCCGACGTGCACCACCTGCACCAGATCATCGATTACGTTGGCTCGGGTGAGTAACGTTCATTTTTTAATTTAGATTATATTTACATCGCAAAACCTTTAGACTATGGCTACATTTTATTCTATTGACCACGTCCAGTACGTTACTAAGGTTTACGTCACGAATCGCATCTGAATACCGGTCCGAGATCGCATAACCGTATCCTTTCAGAAACTATGAAGCATTCAGAGGCGGCATTTATTGGAAACCACTGTAACTCTTATTTTAATAATAATATTTCTATTCTATATATATATATATTGTAATGTAACATACATTACAATGCACATTTTAAATCTTCTTTAAAATATTTATATTGACTATATGGTCAAACTGCTTTCAGCATTTTTAGTCGGTAATTCCGTTAGATGTCAAAGCCAAGTATCAATAACGTAAATAAGGCCGCAATAAAAATTAATATGATTTATTTAATAACATCTCAAATTACACATGTTTTTAGTTCATGACGTTTTTTAATTGGTATTATCGATCAAAGTATTAGTGATAAATATCGTCTTAATATATGTGGCTAATGCAAAATTCACTTTATTACCAGCCTGGGAGGATGTGATCCGGTGCGGCGGTGGGAAGGTGCGATATTTTAGCGAGTAGAGCCACTGGCGCTCGTTTCCGCCGGACGGTGTGGTCCCGAATGCCGTTCTCGAGTGAAGTGATACCGCGAGACAACTTATACTGTGTATATATAATAGACTACTGATGTATATCTAAGAATACGTTGCGGTCCACGCGCTCGCTCGCTGCGTGTGTGCACATTATTTATGCCGCTTCGTTGTATTTTAGTAAAATGTAATATAAAGAATCTTCCATAGTGCCGCGGCGGTCAGTGTAAACGCACGTATGTGATTGGACAATTTAGTGTAACGCGGGGTGAAGGTCACGCTTCCGCAAGCCGGTACCAGTTCAAACTTTTCGTTTCTGCTGTGATTAAAAATAATATTGTTACGTATGTGAAGTGAACGAGAGCTACTCTAAGCATTTATTCATTAAAATTGCACATGAAGAAAAAAAAAAAAAAAAATAAAGCTGTTATGCAATAATTCTCATCTGAGTTTATTAAGTATGTTTTATGGCCTGGTTTGGGGAGGACGGCTGGGAACTTGTCGGGTGAGAGTCTTGTTAATTGTTCTGGTCGCAATTACCAAACATGCTGCTTGAATGTAAACCAAGGAGTAAATAGGTATATAAATGTTTGTGTTGAACTGAATAAGTTGTGTGGGTTGTAGTGAACTTTTGTGATGTTGTGATCACTTGAGCAGTGGGCTTGTCCATGACAAAGGGTAGAGTTCCGAGCGATTCCTCATATTGGGTCTACACAGAGATATTTTGGTTTGCGTTAACGGAGGTGTGTAATTAGTTTGTTTATGTTGATGTTGATTGTGCTTGAATTTTGTTATGTAATCACAAATATTTAGTAGATTTTCTCTAACTAGACACTCATTACTATTTTGTTATGTATTTTTAAGTTTTACCATTTTGAATTGTAAATATATAATAAATAAAGATCTTTTAAGGTGTAACTGGCCATATATGATGTGGTGTGGTGTCATCCTACTTGGTCACCTTCTCATTAGGTTATTTATTTCATTGAAGTGTCAGTTAGTTTACTTATATCCTATTAATACTAAGTTCAACGTTTAAAAATAATAAGATGGAATATTATTAATATTGTCTAATTTGTTAATATTTGAGACACGAAAGAGATTTTAATTCGGTCTACTGATTACATGTAGTATTACTTGATCCATTTGGTATACTGTTGGTCATTTGTTACTATAGCAGCTTTATAGGTAATTATTTTTATTTTATTATCTCAGTTCTATTACAAATGAGAATTTGGCCAAATTGGATGGTATATTTGATGCTAACGTGAGAAGTGTTTAATAATACTAATAAATTTAAGTGTTGAGTGTAACAAGCAAACCTGTATGCAAGATAAACGCTGACGCGCATTGCTAACAAATCAAGAACGTAATATCGTGCCTCGAAGTTTTGTTACAAGTCAGCGTGAAGTCTATAGTCCACAAAGGTTTGACTTAACTGCATACTGTCATTAGTATTGTACATAATAATATATCAGTCATCGCTCGTTCAACACAAATGTAATTTTCCGCATGAGTGGCATTTACGTGAGGAATTATTGTCTAGATTTGTGATGTTTGCTGCAAATGAAAATATCTAAACGGAGTTCGCTTTCATGTATTGGTGTACTTGTACATATACTATTATATAGAGAGTGACATTATCTACCAATCTCTTGCGAAGATGTAGCCACACATTAATAAGTTAATCTGACTGAACACTGGTTTAGTAGTCACATATATATTAAAATAGATACTATACATATAATCCGAGTAATACAAGTGTTAAAAAATATATTTTCATTTAATCTCCTTTATTGAAATATGATGATACATGATGTTTGAATACAGTACCTATTTTTATATTTTAAGTTGTGAACAAAGTGTTTGTAGGTTCTTGTACAAATATAAAACTGAAGTAATTAATAGTGCAGTGAATAGAATCTCTACCAAAAATGTTATTTATCCAAGTTTGACTATTTAATTTGTTTTGAAATTGTTTAATTATTTTTAATCTTATCCAGTATGAGATGATGTTTAATCCTTTAGTGTAAAAGCAAGCAGTTTATTTAATATAGTTGGTCACTTTTTAATGAACACCATTAGGTCCATTACCAAATGCAATTGTAGTTTTAGCGAGAAAGGAACTAAAATGTGAAGACACAGCGTTCTCCGTCTAGTTATTTCAGCAATGTAAACTTTACCAATATGTTGCCCATGTATACAATCATAAAATGCTATCGTCTCAATGTTGAATGTGTTATCAATACTGATTGACGGAAAACTAGTCTAAAAGAGTGTGGAGAGCATATTTATTGTTAAAGAAAATCCTATGAATATATTCGGATGAAATGATCAGAAGTGATGGAAATTATTGTATTTTATTTTATTTTTTTGTTGATACATGTAGAATTTAATAAATGTGCTTATATAAATGAAGGTAGTCTTAAACAATATTCTCAGTCTGATTTTATTGTTGCGAACATATTGCAACCAACTCATGTATTCTGTTCTCGATTCTATGTCATTGTTGAAAGAAGTTAATGTGTAAATAGTTCGAATAATATTGTCCATAGCGGTCGGGCCGATTTGTCGATTTGATATACGTCCATATACGTCACACCCAATTTCAATCACTTTATAGCTATACTAAGCAATGTTACTATCGAATCGCGAGATTGACTCGTTAATTTGTTAGGGTAATATCTGTATTGAAACCACTATCCCAATCGCCTTTTACGCTACCAATTTATCATAATCCGACAGAGGGTCCCGCCCGGTTCATGTGGTTCGTAGACGTTACAGTCCTACATAAAAGCATACTATAACTCTATTTTTTAGCTGATATAAAACCATATATTTATGTAATCAAAAGAGTTGTCATGCGCACATATTTCTACATCATTGTACTATTTCAATTATATATTCGTGGTGATTAAATTCTCCCACTTTCCAAGCGCCCTCACAACTCTTGTATTTAATTTTTAATATATCAAGTTTCATGATGATATCAAGTGTGGGTACACTTATAGACCACACTATATTGTAAATATAATGTATATTAATTTCATTTTAATTTGAAATGATACATGTATTCAATATTACATAATATGTCGTATAGACTATGCTGAAAGGACGCTCATATCAATGGTATAGAAATATTATTTATTATTTCTTTCCCTTGTAAAATATGTAAATAGATATGCAGAAATCTTATTGGTTTTTCTCGTTCTTAGTTATATACTAGGCGTTTGAGTAGAAAGAGATCTCTGGATTTGTACGACAATATTTAAAGAAGCCATTTACCTTTTGGTTTCGTCCGTGAAGAAACAGGCGACATATGCTTGCCACAACTACGATAGTATGGGTTAACGGCTTTGTACGTTATGATTTATTTAAAATTCTAATGATATACGTAACATTTTAGCTTTGTTTTTCTCTTTGATTATTTAATCTTTTCTCACGAAGAACTTTCCTTTCTAATTTTCCTGTTGTGTTCCATGTTTTAATACACTTCTATGTCATATTTTGCCAAATAATTATAATAAATACGCAGAAGATTGTTCTTAGTCTTCAATAAATTAATCACAATTTTTTATGATAATCGAGTGATCGAGATATTTGTCATAATTATATTCCTATATATTTTATCATAATAATTAATACAAAAATAAACTAAAAAAAATCTAACATTTATAATCCACTCACCCATAGTCACTAAGCTAAGTGTGGTACTGAAAATGTGTACCGTCTAATTACAAGATTGTACTTAGATTTTTTATTAAAAATTAATTATCATTAATGTTTGTCAGGGATTGACGGAAGGTGCAGGCATCACGAATCCCACACCCTCTCCACAAAACATATAGTCGGATGTTCAATTTACCCATACTGTCGTATCGAATCAATGAACCGATTGCTCGAGCCGTTCCTTCAGGCAAAAACAATCGTCAATCGTAGTATCAATTACACGCCGATTATTGTTTAAACAGCGAATTGGGAAACGCTCTTATAATTATTTTATTATTTGTTAATTATATTTTAAACAGAATGCTTTGAGATCTATAAAACAGATCCAATTAGGTACTCCAGATATCTTGAAAGTATGGATGAGCAATTGATTTCTTGCGATGCAAATATTTTATTTAGGTATACCAGAGTGATGCTTTTTAGTAAAGCTATTTGGCGAAGTGAATTTTTGTAATTGTATAAATAAAAATAATGCTGAAAATATATTTCTATAATTGTCTCATTGTCTGAATAAATCCAAATTGAGGAAATATGAAATCTATGCTTGAGTTTCACAAGTGAAGCCACTATATATATAATTATAATTTCACAAATGTTTTTAATTTATTTATCCAGGAAATGAGACAATTAATTATATCATAATATATATAATATGAAAAAACTATTTATCTGCTTTATCATCTAACTATTTGTTAGTTATATTTTTACTTTGTTCTAACTTGAATGTGTTTATTTATTGTGTTCAATTTATTATTACGCCGATTAATTGTCACAAATTTCACAAAAACATGTAACAAATATACCAATTTTTGTGTACAAAATATGTAACAACTAATTTATTACTTTGATTATATTTAAAACAATTTCTTTTTTACAGTTGTTACTACGAATTGAGTAAACGAGGACAAAGTAAAAAAATAGTAACAACATTAACAAACTGCAATTTACAGTTATGTACTTTTTCACCGTTTCCGTTTTTCTTAATAAAATGTTGAAAATATGATTTCTTGTTTTAGTTTTCAATTATGATGCGAAGTACGATTTCTAACTCTTCGAGAGTAATTTCACACTATACCATGGTGCGGGTGACAGTTTCCACATTCGTAATTTACTAAATCATAACTATTAACTTTATGTAATTAAATGTAAAATTAGTAACTGTCACCCGCACCATGCTACACCGCACACAGTATAGTTGTAAAAGTGCCAAAGTTATAGTGAAATTTAGTAAACGCATCGCACTTTATATGCAATGCGTTATTTAAAATAGAGCACTAGGTAAATGACAATTTAACCCCTTTCGGATGTAATTTTACTAAACTTTCTATAGCCTGCATTAAATTATACATTTTATCGCAAAACCCACTTTTATATTACGATGTTCCGACTATCAACATAAAGACACCTGCGAGAAGATTACTGACTCGGTAAAATGATGCTATATGCCTCCTTAGTAATTTCGTTGCTTTACAATTTTTCCAAACAAAAAATATGTTACAAAGCCAGCATGCTTGGCTCGGCGTGAAGCAAATTGAATGACTGACTTTGTACTAAAAGTTACTGCGGTAAAATATATGTATATCAGAATTATTATGATTACTGATTAAAATTCAAGAGCTTGGAAACCACTAAGGAACTTACACTGCAGTAAGTATATTAAATATAAACTATGATTTTGTAAATAAAATCAATTCTCAGCGACATTATATTTTATTTTCATAATATTCATCAACATGATACAGATGTTATGGCTTTGTATTCAATATCATTCTATTATTATAATAAAAATATTAACAAAGTATCTTACATCCACTTGAAAATGTACAATTTGTAATAACCTTACAAAATATTCTAGAACAAGTTGATAACAACAATAAATCCATTATTTTTACCTTAATTTAACCTACATTTCTTGCACAAAAGACACGATTACATGTTGATATCAACTCGTATTATTTTTAACACTTAAAATGATTGCTCCATTTTCCTAAGATAAGGCATTAAGAATAGTTTTACGAATTGTCATTACCTAATCGGACGTAAAGGGCTACTTTTAATGCCTACAATAGAAAGAAAATATTTAGTCATACACTAAATTAGTAGCGTGACGAAGCTTTCCAAATAGAAACCTGTTGTTAGAAGCACCTTATATATTAATTTCTAATAGTTCAGTTTATACATTTTTAACAACACTAGGTGCATTGTCAGGGAGTATAGCAGCGTGGAACCGTACCGGGCGATGCCTGGATGCAAAAAGAGGACCAAAGTTTATAGGGAAAGTTGGGCTGATATTGTATTTATTACCTGATGTATAATTGTAACTTTACAATATTCTTATCCGCAGTCTTTACAATTACATCAAACAGTGTTCGCTTACATACATTATTACTCTACAAAGCACTTATGATTTTTTAATTATGTGTGGAGCTATTATAATTCATTATGTCAACAGTTGCCAGCGAATTTAGAAAGTGAAAAATAATTTCGTTGTTATAATAATATTGTTAAATTTAATTCATATCGGCTAATTTAAATTTAGTTTATATTTAGGCCACGACAGTCTGCGTAATCGCTACTGAATAACAATATTTATAAATTATAATTATTTACACATATGTATATCATTTGAAATTACATAAAATTTTGATAATAATAAACAAAATAAATAAGATCAACTACATTAACGTAATTATGGAATGACTACCGTGCGTTTTTAAAAAGATTAGTCTGTTACATGACATAACATATTAAAACAGCTGGAAACTGACTTAAAACAAACGACAACTACGGTTCCTCGTCGAATATAAAAAGCGGTACTTTTGAACAGCGAAGACGAGTATAAATAAGATAATCTACATATTTAGAACGGAAGTCAACGGGCGAGATTTCGAGTCAATATACACGCGTACGGCGATCGGGACGGGGAGTAATCGATGTATTCCACTTTGTTATATTATAAAACAGATTCAAAGGAAATAATATCAGTTGTGTTATTCATAATAACTGCATGTTATTATTACTATTATGAGGAATCAACTGCAGATATAAATTTATTGTGATTTACCTTGCACTTACTTGTTGGTACCCATAGTAAAATAACAAGCGGAATTATAAAATGGTCTATTTTGTTCTTTCGAGATAGTGTAAAGTTTTTTCCGTTCCACAGTAGAAGAACAAAGAATTGCATACGGAGTGAAAGCCTGAGCACTAGTTCAATCTAACTGAGAACAATACGAGATATTTATTACGTGAATATAATCACCAAGTACTTAAACTGTGATATCGATAGTTCTGATTATAACATATTTTTATGCAACAGCTACACTATTCCAGAACAGTCGGTCGTAAAGCTATCACTCTGTACGTAATCCTCTGTGGTAGAACTCATTAAAATAGCAACGGGGAATACACCGAGAGGATCGAACCGGGCGATGGGGCTCTACGGGGCCGCGTCCGGCTAGAAAATGTCCGGGCAGCCGGCCCAGTCCTGGCGCGCCTTGCACTCCCAGTAGCGGTGGTTGTAGAGGTGCCGCAGGTGGGGCTGCCCGGGGGCGGCCTCGCGGGAGAACCAGGCGGGGCGCGGGGGCGCGGGGGGGTCCACTCCGCGCGCCGCCGCCGCCTCGGCCGCCGCCTCCAGCTCTCGCCGCGCGCCGCGCTGCTTCTCCTCGAGGCGCAGCTTCTCGGTGTTGGCGTCGTCCCAGAGTCCCTCCTCCATGAGGCGCTGGTCGGGCCGCAGCCGCGAGTCGGTCGGTGCCACGCCCGGCTCCGACTCGTTCAGCTGCGCCGCCAGTAGCGTGAAGTTGTACCACCTGTGAACACAGTCGTACCTTAGTGAAAACACGCACTTAATTATTTTATTTACAATGCACGTCGGTGCAACAAAGTTGCACCGACGTTCAATAAATAAATAACCCTAGACAATTAACACGCGCCATCTAGTCCCACGTTATCAGACAACTGATATAAATACGTAGATATTTTGGTATTTAGTCATGTTTCATTACTCGTATTATCAACACGTCATCTATAGATAATATTTAGTTACTTGTGCGAATCGGACGGTGCAGGGATCCGTTCCCAGGCGAGCGTGAACTTGCCCGTCTTGCAGACGGTGTTGTCGGCCGATGCGCTGCTGACGGGCGCCACCTCCACGCGGCTGTCCCAGTGGCCCTGCAGCACGTACCGGGGCTGCACACGAGACAATATGCATTCAATTAAAACATTAAAAAATATATAATACTCAATAACTTACATATAGAATGCTAAATGCATCCTAGATATACGTCGAGTTGAACAGGAAAATAAGTGTTCTATATATTAATTATAAATATGTAAAAAAGGCGTTAAATCTACACTATAATGATTATTCAATATTCACATTTATTGCCCGTGGTTTCACTCGCGTGCACAGCTATTTATGGCCTTCGTCAATTGATTGGCTCCTCCTTTTAAATCATTTGAAAAAATATATACATAAGTAAAATGAGAGCAAGTACCACTCCCTGCGGATCCTTGATGACGCCGGTGACCTTCCGTTGCGTGTCCTTGCTGAAGTAGCTGTACGGCTGGTACTTGAGGTGCGCCACGTAGCCTGTGGCGGGGCCCGCCTCGCCCACTATGTCCATGTCGCCGTGATTGTCCACCCACAGTTTACCAACGATTATATTGTGGACGGTTGTCGCTACCTGATGAAAGTAAATAAATATATATATATAAAACTGAAGGATTTGTTGAGTTATGAATTAGTGCTATTACATAAGTTGTTGTTTTTTCAACTAGTATAACACGAAAGGTAATCTTTAAGATATATAAAAATTAAAAATGGAACATTTGAACATTGAAAACGATTTCCTAATCATTGTGGGCCAGTATCATGTACATTGTGCTCATATTACCGACAAATCTTACTAATATTATAAATGCGAATGTGACTTTAATACCTTTACGATTGAACCATTGTTTCATATCCGCTTGATATTTGGGAAAATGTTTGGACACAAGATTTGAAAAAATATAAGCTACTTTTGATCCTATTCAATCAAGTAATCACACTAACGCAGACGCTGACAAAAGCTATTAATGACATAAAAACGAAATATAAGACTACCTTCCTCCAATGATACTTGTTACCACTAGCGCAAAATAGGGCAAATGAGTCAGCGTTGGGATCGATAGTGATGAATTGTCCTCGGTAGCGGCTGCTGACCACGAACTCCTGCCACGAGAGCCAGCCGCTGGCTCCCTCACAGTGCACTGCCGCCGTCGGCGGGTGGTGCATCACCTTCACCACACTTTCAGACTCGTTACGGTATCCGTTAATTGTTACCACATAAAATGCTAATACTATAAAACGAAGTCGTTTTGACTTAACGGTCAAAGCAAATATTTATATTTGTTTGATTTTCGTGTAAAGCTGAGTACATATTAAAGGTGAATACTAATAAGTAATTAAAGAATATAAGTCATATTCTTATATATAAATGTCGAGTTACAATGTTCGTATAGCATAAACTAAGAAACTACATAGTTTTTTTTATGTAATTTAACTCACAATATGTAATTACACACAATGATTTAAAAGACATATTAGTTAATTAGTTAAGTTATTATTGTTTCAAGCACTGAACATAGCGTGTCCGAACTCAGTTATTATAAACTTGTTTCTTATAAAGAATCAATGTTTTTGCTTCTAATTTATAATAGTATCACCTTCTGTATGTGAACAGCTTTATCCGTCAATAACCCCATACCTTCCTCCATGTGTATTTGTTGCCTGAAGCGAGAAACATCGCGGAGGCTCCCCCTAGAGGTATGACCTGTAGGTATTTCCCCCTAAACTTGGTGGTCATGGTGAACTCCTGCCAGCATTGCCATCCCGATTGCCCTTCGCAGAACTGCGCTACCATTGGGGGATGATGTGACACCTGACAATTTTGATTTATTTATATGACATGCCAAAAGAGAAAATAATTATGCATTTTATTTATTATTCTCATAAATATAACAAAAATACTTAATGTACTGAGCGAGGCTTAAATATATTGTTTCGTAGGAATATACATAGATAGGAATAATAGGTAGTAAAGGATTTCAATCGTGGCAAATGCTGAGAGGAAGTAGGAAGGAAGTGGGAGGGAGGTATGAGGAAATAAGGATTTAAATTTTCAAATTTAATAATTCACTATTGTTACTTATAATATATATAGAAAATATAACGAAATGTATGTCATAATATACAACCCTAGAACTAAGTGTATTAGTAGTAACTAAGATACGGTATCGAAAAGTATTTTCCAAACTTGGAATACCTCTTTGTAAGTTAAAAAGTTCAGGCAACCCCCTAAGGGCTTAGGCTAAAACTATAATCTACGTCAGTTACTTTGAAGGCATCATAGTAAATAGTAGTTTCTTATGGTAGTGTAGAACTAACAAATAATAGTCTGTTTATGTTACCCGTGATCCCAAGGAATGAATACGCCCACTTAAGAGTCGCGACTCATAATTTGAAAAACACTGCTGTAGAGCATACACACTTGCAACACCATATTTACATCAATACATAATTGTGACTCAATTGTATTAGCATAATCTACCTGTTCAGAAATAGACCTCCAGCCGAGATCCGCCATGCGGTCGCATTCGAACGTTTCACCTAGTAGCGGGTTGAAGGGCTTGTTTGTTCTAGACACAAAATAATAAAATTTTATGCACAATTCAATCATTGTTCAAAGTCTACTTAGGTATCTCTATGAGCATAAGTGGTTAAAATGTCCTAAATTGTACATTATTGATATTATGCGTTAATAATCTGCAATTACACTGCCTAATCTCACCCATTAGTCAATACACCGCTAGCAAAGCACGCTGCTTGACCGCCGAAAAGGATGCGACATAAATACCTACGCTGACGACTTTGTACAAAATCTATAATTAATAAATAATCCTGAACTATCACAGTAGCATCTAGTTCTACTACAAGCAGTGCTTGTATTATGGGTACTAGACAACTGATAAAAATACTTTTTTTTTTTTAAATCCATACATAAAATACATAGAAAACATCCAGACCGATACCAACAATCATACTCATAAATACAAATGTTTGCACCGCACGTGGAATCGAAGCCGCTAGACCACGGAGGCCGTCAAAAAATCTACCTTTGTAAATCATGATGCTTGATGTAAGTCGACAGTCGACAGCAACAGTGTATAGAAAATTCTATATAAAATGTGTTAGAATCTGGAGCATACTGACCTGCAGGAGGTGGTGGCGTAGGAGGAGACAGTGAAGGCGGCGACGTATGCTAGCTGCTGCGCAGGGTCAGTGAACTGCGCCGCCTGGTCCAGCACCGACGAGTACTCGTACTCCTCCGTCAGCCGCTGCAGCATCGACAGCGGCTCGCTGAAGTTCACCGGGATCGGAATCTTCGATAGTTCTTTGCCTGTTACATTGAACAAGCATTTAGTAGGTAACGGACTGCTATTACGTGTATCTTATTTTTAGCATAAATATTCTTTATTGCACTTATATATATATATATTTTGTATACATATATATATATATATATATATTTATATATATGTATACAAAATTTTCTTATTGTTTATATTTACTCCACCTACAATTTTTCACTGCTCACCCTGTGGTTGACTGTAAGGCGTTAAGTGCGCCATATGTACTTTCAGCTTGAAATTTTGTGCATTAAAGTTATATAAATAAAATTAATATGTGTAGCAAAAACTTAGTACCTTTTTTTACGAAATATGCGCAGACAGGTGGATATTTCGCACACTTGTTTATAGAGAAAAAGTGGAGTTATAATATTTTTTTTAAATCAATAAAAAACAATATAATCTATTTAACAATATAGTCTTTGATAATAGAACCTTAGTATTGTTCAAACTTATAATTTAAATTAATTATGATCGAGTTTCGACCTTTGGGCGACATTAAGCGTAAATTACTCGTAGAAGCCTGATATGTATGAGGATATTTTTAAAATCACTAGTATCCTGACGACTTAGGCGTAATGCCGGTTGGTCAGGGAGAGAAACACCTCAATGCCTACAGTAATCACAATTACCTATCTCTTATTTGTTTTTATAATAATATCAACACTTTCGCTCCAAAACTCCCGTTGCCTACGTTCAATCATCCCTCATCCACTTGTCAATGTCACATAGATTACTTTGGCTCTGGCCTCTGACGTTCGTTTCAGGTTACATGATTACTGACTTTACCATTTTTAATTAATGGTGCGTCACACGATAGCTAACAATATAAAGGTAATTTTTATTTTGCTCCATAACTTAATTAGATCCTACTAAAATTTAATTAGGTTCGATACAAGATCGTCATTATAAATTTACAATCCACTATTTTATAATATAAACATAAGCTAAATCTTATCAATTTAATTCACTCCCTAGCAGTTTTATCACTTTGTTAAACCTAGGTAATCCGTGAAAATCCGATCAAGCCAAGTAAATTAAAATATTTTGTGTAAATATAAGAAATTGAGCGTTATGTCACGAAGATTAACAAAGCTATCAGTGATACAGTTACTTTACTGAAAAATAAAAATATATCACAACTTTATTTCATTATAAGTGTCTTCCTACTAAGAACTTATGTGTGCAGAGGATAATATTCCCCGTTATAGTGCTAGTATATACATCATTTTCTTATAATCCACACCACACAACCTCAAATTTGTTCTATCCTATAAAAAAAATTTTAACTATTTGCAATTTGATTATCATTAATTCTGTAAACTACTTAAATTGAAATCCCTAAAAAAAGTATATTTTTCCTTTGTGTAGACAGATCTAAGTTGTACCTATGCAATTCTTCATGATGGACCAGAGACTGAGCGGGTAGTTGGGCTTATCGGGCACACATACACGTCGCGCACGGCCATCGATCGAGCTCGTAACTTGAGACACATGTGGCTGAAACAAATAAATGCATTACTATTTTATAAATTACATCAGACTTTTATAATATACATATAAAAAAATTCTTATATGTCCCTATCGGTTGCTCATAAAAGTTACTTTTATTTTTATCCTTAATTACTTTAATATGATATTCTAATTATTATTCTAATTGGACATGCATCACAATCCTATACATGTACAATTATTGTAAACAAATATTATATATATATATATATTTACTATAAACCATATTTTCTAAACATTTTCTAACGAGTACGTAAAAGAAATACATTAATTACTAAATTTAATTGATACTAATAACTCACCCAAACTTTAAAATTCTGCTCCTTATCTGAAGCCTTGGTGGCCACGATGCCTGCCTCCGCCCCGCCCATGGCACTTTCTGCACGTTCTTTGTCTTCCACAAATATTACCTATTGGAACCACTTTAATCATATAAATATATCCATTTATAAATCTGTATACAATATAGAAATCACGATTTTAAATTAAAATTAATTAATTAATGATATAACATATTATGTAAACAATGAAATCATATTTTCAAACTGTTAAACGCTTTTTGTATTTAAATGATTGAGTATATTATAACTAACTTCCTATGACTGTATTATATCACAAGAAGCGGCAATATGACTTTTAGGGCTTCATGATGTCAGCGCTAGATATCGTAATAATAGCTACAAAATATACAGAATATATTTAAAAATAATCGCAATAAGCGGATCGCATACGACACTAAAACACTACAATAAATTTATATTGGGGCAGTTGGGATGAGAGTAAAGTCGATTCGGCCGGCACACTACAGACGCTACTTGAGACCAGAAGAGATCCAGGAGAGAGAAGCGATTCAGAGAACATCGGTAACGTTGATCAGATATTGCCATTTATTTTAGAGTCGTGTGTAGCCGCGTCTTATTCTAACCGCGACCGCTACGACGATATCAGTCAAATGGCTGAGGAGGAAATTTATTATAGCCTGCTCATATTTACGTTGAACTTTAAAATTTGTGCTTGTACTGTACTGTAGATTTAATATTTATTCCTTATTATCACTATTTTATTTTTGAAGGTATATTAAAAGTAATTAAATATAATCCCTTTTAATATCCTTGCATACAATCTCCAATTGCTATCAATTAAGTCTATTTCTATGTAATGTAACCATTGAAAGCTAAGCTCCATCTTTTAGAGAACATACAGTTATACTTATTAAAGCAAATGACTGTGAGATGGGCATTAGTATTAATATTGAGGACTCATGAACCATGAGTGGTAAAGAATCAGAAATAAACGGCATTGAATTAGTTGACTGACCTGCTGTGTTTCCGTCACAGTTTCACCTTCTGATTCATCGGAACTCTCGCCACTTTTAACCTTATTTTTCCTATTAACCTGCAAATGATATGACACATGACATGAACACCAATGTGTTACAATTATTGAAACAGAATTAATTATATGATTGGGCAACTGCATTGTTTTTTTTATATTTGTTCTACGTGTGGCGTTGATTTACTACTTTCGTTAGACAATGACGGGTCAGATGTGGATTATGTGTATTTATTAAAGCAACTATAATATAATTAAACAAACAATTGTTACATTTTATTGTTATAAAAATGTAACAAAAACAAATCGGCAAACATTTTACTTTCATATACACGCCCTAGTGTATTTCTAATGTTTCAGTGTGCTCCATATAAGACAAAGGCACATTGATATAATAACCATTGCATGGATATCTATTTTATATAAATGCCATATTACTTGCGGACAATATTGTCCATTTGCAAATTAAAAATCTTTCAGTATGTAGAAATGTATACATTATTAATGTACATAACATACATAGTATACATTTCTACATATTGAAAGATTTTTATAGTCAGTCATATAATTTATATGCATTAATAACAAAAATATAACACGTTTATAATATTAGTTCAGACTTCTTTCCTTCAGATCTTATTACATTTATATAACAACAAAGTATAAATTATGTTTATTCTCAACTCACACAGAAGTCCAACAAGATCACATCACAATCACTCACTACAAATGTAACAGAATAATTACATACCGGAACTTTGATTACAAATGATGTCTTATCATCCATTGTTGTTGACACACCCTCCTCCATAGCATCAAAGAATTCATGATCTTCATCCTCCGTCTCGTTTCCTGTGCCAGAGCCGTTTCCTCCTGAAAGTATACACATCTCTTTATGGAAACATTCAAATTAATCATACACTTACTAGTGACGTCATTTTGAAAAGTACAAAGAGTAACATTTGTAGTTCTACTTCTTTTACAAATAACAAGTTTGCAAATTGTAGATTAATAAGCATTGTGTAATTAACATAATGACTAATATCTAACAGTGATAATGACAAATTCATTGCTTCCTTGTTATCAATTTCTTTCATACTGTTTGGTGATTAAATATAATATTTTAAATACTCTCTGTTCATGATTAACAAGTCCGATTAAATTGTTTTATTATTTTAAGAAATACCTATACATTTATTTAAATGAATGTCCAAATTTGTATAAGTATTATCATTACTTGTACATGTATTGGTCCCTACAGCTGATATTATTACCATAATTGTTTCCACTATTCATTACACACTGCCATATTAACATAAGAAAATAAACCAATGAGTATATGCAATACTCTAAGAGTTATTTCAAATATTGATAAACAAGATACATTATTTAATGTATTTAAACTTTCATGTTTAATATACATTATTTATTATTATTAACTGGGTCTTAACACAAATAATTTTTATGACACTAGCCATGGTGGTGGTGACAATGGCTAGTACAACCTAGTTGAACCATAGAGAGTGGTACATTACCTTTATTTGCCACAAAATTATTTGTGTTAAGACCCAGTTAGTAATATAAATAACTTACTTTAATTTACGCTCAATATTAAAATATATATTAAACATAGGAGTATTGTAATGGGTAATAATATGATAGCATGATGATATTGATGGATTATATACTTTTGTTACAAACATGAATTATGGTAGCTGACATGTAATATAGTTATTCAACAATTGCAAATAATAGCGAGAAACAAAATTAGCAAAATTACATTAATAAAGATACAAATTAATACATCACTTTGATCATTCCTTGTCGAATAGAATATATTGAAAAAATAATTAACACACCATTGTAATGCACTATTCATTTCTTCCTGGAGCCAAATTTTACCTACAATGGAAATATAAATATGTATGACAGAATGCCAGCTAACCCCGCTGCTCCATTGTATCCCATAGATCATAATATTGTCAATTTTTTTTCAAATGTTTGCGGTATGAATTCAACGTTCCATTATATGGGAACATTCACTGGTATTTTTCAATTAGGCCTATAAAAGATTTGCTAATCAAGTGACAATGTATACTTAGAAGGGAATGCCATGTAGTGCAGATTCATTCAAATCAAAATATCTTTGCTCATGTAAGTCTATTACAGACTCTTATGATATGTCAAATCTAACTTTGGTACATAATGTTTTCCAGCCAAGACGAACTGACAGGAAACACATTAAAATGGATATAATAGTAGTATAAAAAAATATATGAATACTGCAAATATGTAATAAATTATATACATATTAAATGCTAAAATAATTTCATATTGTTCTTACGATTAAAAACAACTCCTATCACAAATTAATTTGTGGATGCATTTATTGCAATTACTCTAGAAATTAAGACAGATTTCTAGACCTATTTTTGTCTTAATTCAATGAGGTGATTAAATTTCTGACATAATTGTACACACAGTAACTGTAATTTTATTGTGTGATATCAAACTCAAACATGCTTTACATAGTTAATAATTACAATCAAAACCATATTATTCATCTTAATTCTTATAAAAATGTGCATTTTTACTTCTTGTGTAACTTATATTGTCTGTGACTGTGGGCTGTGTATTTCAACAAAATATATGGTGAGACTGTTACCAATTTTATAACAACCAAGGAACACCCACTAAATTTATAAAGCAACCCACAATATTCTAATAATAATGGAATGGTCCAAACCATAAAACACTCTGACGGAATTGGTGGTATAGTGCAAGCATATATATAAGTGATGATATTTCACACTATTCAAATGACTTCCTCTATTATTATTTATTGCCTAAATAAAAAAGCATTCCAAAAACCAACATTTCCTATAACACTAAGGCTTCACTTACCACCCATAATTTATTGCAATGATGTATCATTCAAATTTGTTGCAATAATTATTATTCAACCTTTAAAATTGATAATCAAAGCGCACAAATACAAGGCCAAGATCACGAATTTCAGACAACACGGTCGCTCTAAACACTGCCAAAACTCTACACTTCATACGCGGCAGACGATAATTAAATAAACGAATGCTTAATATTCTACCAATTACTACTGCATTGCTTTGGACAGCATAATAACCTTGAGAACATCAAAAAATTAAAGAATCTACGAAAAGGAGAACGACAAACGAATCGTATTACGAGGCAGGAATTACGTACCGAAATCAATGTTTCTAATTATTTAATAAACATTTGTATTTGTTTTAATATACAGAAACAATATAAAACACATAACAACACGTAAAAATTTATGAAGAATAGTCTAAATTATAATGTGCAAATAATAAAAAACTTCGTTCGATTTTTAGATCCGTCACCAACCAAACTGACGTGCGTCAGTAAGCGATCGTGACGTTCCATTTCAAGAAGACTCACTTATAGAAAACAATAAATTTAGGGTCACTTCAGAACTTATTTCTGGCAACACATAAGTGAAAATGTGAATAAAAATTCAATTTTTGCAATAAGTATTTTAATGACGTAAAATTAGGAATGGGATTTTACAACGTTTTATTTTGTTTGATATTTCATAATTTTACGTACAAATAATGACCATGTCAAATTTAAAAACTAATATAATTTAATGAGTATTGTAAATCTTAAAGATAGTACGAATACAATTGTTTATTTTGAGGATATTTTAAGGCTTTTTACACTTTACTCTGAATATTCCCGACCTATCTGCGATAAGCATTTATATTTTAAGGGCCCTGGGTGGTCTAGCGGTGTAGCACACTACTTTACATTCAATGGTCGCGTGTTCGATGCCTTACACGGTATTAACTAGAGCACGATTGTTTGTATCAGTCAGGATGTTTTCTATATGTATTAAAAACAAAAATGAACACCAGCTGTGCCCTCCGTTTCACCCGCATTTTAATTCAATAAAAAATATAGCCTATGTGTTATTCTAATGCATAAGCTATATTACCTACTGTAGTTTCATCCAAATCCGTTCAGTAGTTTTACGTGGAAGAATAACAAACATCCATACTTACAAAATTTCGCGTTTATAATATTATTACGATAAGTATTCCTATCAGTTGTCAAGTACTATGGGTACTTACAACGTACGTACTTATACGTACACAAGCTCTGCTTGGGCCTAAATGCTGTGTGAATTTTCTAGCATTTTTAACAAGTGGTAGTCCTCAAGTACTCCTTTTATAAGTGGTCTTCTGATCACCATTACAAGAATTAATTATGTTTTTATGCCTTACAGCTGAACGGCATGTTTATTCCGATAGTCGTAACTTTGAAACTATTTATCTAAATTACTTAGTGTAAAAGAGAAAGTTTGTCTACTTTACATGCTAAAATCGAATATAGTAATCATTTTCATATGAATTCATTTAGTGCACTCATTACTATTACAAAATCCAAATTAAACATATACTTTTAGTTCACTGTTACGTCTATAACTGCCTCCACGTAATATATAGATATATGCTGTCGTGTACTTTTTTAGAACAATTTAAGATAAATATGTCTACCATGCATAATTTTAGTGTACCACTAATGGTAAAATTGAAGAATTTCGATATATTTGAAATCTTACAATTATATTTCGCTCAATTTATACCATATATTTTTAATAATTTAAAGCCTTACCTGTGTTATTATGATGTATAATAAGTTATATGACTGTAAAGTTGCAACGAAATCCAGTCAGTAGTTATTGCATGAGAGGTTAACAAACATGGATGTTAAACCGAACAAACTTACGCGTTTATAATATTACTAGAAAAATATGATTATCATCTTTTTTGTTATTAACCAAAATAATAAAAAACCAAATGTATTTTTATTATTACGTTATTATTATTTATCAATGTACTTACTTCATAAAATGTTTACTTGAATTATATAGATATTTGTTATTGAATAATAATTTTACAACATAATAATTGTGGGTTGTATAAAATGAACCCTATCATTACTGTAAGCGCAGCCTTGTCAAGAACAGTGTTGCTCTAGAATTACGAAATCATTTTAGCATTAACCGAAATGTGGTTCAATTGTTACAGTAGACAATAAATTTAATGAAGTTTTAATAATATTTTCTATAATATTTAGGAATTGGAATTCGAAAACTTGCCATTCAATGAAAAAGTAAATAATTTCCTATGACCTAATTATCATCTAGACTCCCCTACCCCCCATGACATTCCCGTCATTTTGGCCTTTTTACTAGCATGTATACAATTTGTTAGACCCCAAGACCGCCTCTCCAGAGAGCCATTACGAAACCAGATTAGATGAGACACACCACCTTCCATCTCCATTTACACAAAAAAAAAACACCATAAATAAACACTGACCTGTATGTGATGTATTACGTGCTGTAACTGTCTTTTCAAGATTGTCATGCTGCCTTGCCAACTGCTCTACGACTTCTTGCAAACGCATCTTCTGATCACGTTCATGCTGAAGTGCCCGGTTCAAGCGTGTGCCGGACGCTGTAGCCGCATTCATAAACTCCGAACATGCCTTTTAAAGGTTTATTATACATGTTTCAATACAAATTACATTCATTTTAAATATGCAGCACTTTTCGATGTATATAAATATGTATATATATATACAGGGTTTATTGAAAAGGGTATACATGTATATATTTCGTATTTTGTATTTAAATCTAATAATAATGTCTAGTTTCTGTTTCCAATTTCATATACCTATAATCAAGTGTTGTATTGTTTCTAAATAAGTTGCCTCATATGTAAATCAATATGTAAAGTTACTTGCAAGAATAAATTAACTTAACAATAATTTTACGCTAAGATGTACCTAACAAGTGAGTGTAAATGGATGTAAGAAACAAGACTAGACTTACATTCATCATGGCATTACAGGATATCCTGAAAAGCGTTGCGCGCTCTGACACTTGTTTTGCGGTATCTGTAGGTGGTATTTCCAAATCTGCCAAGGAGCGCTGCAACGATGTTCCATGTCGGGCCACAAGTTCAGAGCAAGTACGAAGGTCATGGAACCTAGCCGCTAGTTCTCGATCTATGCGGCCAGCATCCTCTCCTTCTCCCTCGCCACCACCCACAACAACTGCCCCACTAGACATTTGATCTTCATCATCATCGGATGCTCTACTGCAATAAGTACCAGAAAAGTTAAACAACAATTTATTCTTATATTTAATAATATAGTAAAGTATGATGTCACCATATTTACATAAATTACAATATTCTTCATGAAACTCATGTTGTTGTTTGCATGAATGCCAGATGTCAGATTTTACTGTTAAAAATAAAATAGGTAGCCAAATTTAAGCATATTAGTAGGAAGAGACACTTGTATATGTTTTATAACCTCCTTCATACTTCCCTTTATAATGTTAGATTTCATATATGAATATTATTTGTATATATAAACTAAAAGGCTTTTACATACTACTATAATACAAAGTTAATTTATACCTTAGTGGTATAAATTAGAACAGATTAGAAACAGAATTAGTAAATTCAGCAAGGATAGCAACAGTAGTAGTACAATCCAGAGTGGTAAATTTTGTTAGCACAAATTATTAATACAAACATCATTGTTCCACATAGTATCAATTAACGACCAACTAACACTAACATAGCTTTCGCTTTTGCAAGTTCTAATGCGGTGACCCAGCTCTGGCGCTCCACCTCATCCTGTGCACGAATGTAGAAGGTTTGTGTTCCTCCATTGCTGATGACAAATGTGCATGAGTCTGCTGTGTGAATGAGGGCACCAAGTAAGGAGATTGTACCGCGACATGTGTGCGCCATTTCTGCTTGATTTCTGAAACAAAAATGTTTTATGAAGGCTATATACTCTGAATAATAACTACTATTAGTATTTTCAAATTATATAATAAGTAACCATGAGGAAACCCGAAAACATAAATATATTTATTTGCCACAAATCAAAAAGATAAATCATAATAAAACAGAATATAAAAAAGTACATTGATATATTGTTTATATAGATATGGGACGACACCTTGGATTTGGGGATTCCCTATTAACATTGTATTAACAATGTTCACCCAGATTACAATTGACTTTAATCTCCTTGATATAATACTAAATAATGGTTATGAAATTACTTTGAATAAGTATATAACAAAAAAGCTTTAATTCTAGTTTTAACAAGTTATCTAATATATTTAATTATTTACTAGACCCAAAAATTACAAGGATTAAATTAAATAAAATACAAACTTGTCATTTATTAGCTCATCTCTCCCCCAGCTGGCATCTAAAGTGTGTACTAAAATAAAGAAATCACATATTCTCTATATCTATCTATTAATATTTTCATATATTGAAGCTAGGAAGAGGGTTGATATGTGATATTAATAAATGGAATTGATAGAATATGCTTAGATTGCATTATAAAATTATAGAAATAAGTACAATTAATTAGTAATGTAAACATATGTAACAACAACATGTATAAATACAAAAAATTTACTTATTTTAATTTTATTTATTTTTTCGTATATTGTGAATAATTTAAAATATTGTGGAAAAATTAAAAGAAATATGACATAATCTAACAACTTCTAATAACCCTCTGACCTTTCGAAAAAACAAAGTGCATTTCAGTTCTTGTAAAATAAATATCTCAACATTTGTTATCATAGGTAATATTTATTTGTTTTGTGATATAACTATATTTACATTTGGTTTTCCATTTTTGCAAAGACAAAAAGAAGAGGGAAGTAAATATCATTTTTATTGAAGTATGAAGAATTGTAAGAAATTTGTTTTAAACTGTTTATAGAAGGTTCCTAAAAGCAAGAACAACCTAACAGTGCCATGTAATTTTGAAAAAGTCCATCTAGTGTGCACTTACCAAAATGTATTTAAATATTATATGTATAGATGTTATATATAGTAAATATGTATAACATGTTACTACTCAAGAATTTATTTAGGTTTACATTCACTGTTACATATGAAAAATCATAGTCTATTGACAACATTTCCTTTTTAGGTAGCTAAAACTGAAATAGTAGTGTAACTACATACATGGAAGTGAAAACATTCTATTACATTTGCACTGGAATAGCTTCATAAATTTATAGCCAAAGCAAGGCTCATATGAAGCATTGGCTACTTATGAAGTAGTTAATTTTAGATAGTCTGTTAGTCTTAGTAGTTGCAATTTTCTTAATTACATTATTAAATTATTTGTAGTTAAATTAATAAAATATAGTACTTTGTAACTACTTTGATTTGGGCTTAAAACTGGGATCTCATTTAGACATTTCTTTTTTAGCATGACATAACTTGGAACTGTTGGCATATTATTGGTTAAACCAAGCAGTGCAAAATAGGCAGAAAAAATTATATAAGATAGATAAGATAGCAAATTTAAATAAGATATACCAAATTTAAATGTATATTGGTATCTAATAAAATAATTATTAACTTTTATTATTGTCATTTATTTTTATTTGTCCTCCAAGATGACTTGAATCCATGACTGATTTAGTCATTGAGTAATAAAGTCAAAGGAGCAGTAGTAGTAGTAGTAGTAGATGGGCTGTTTTACTAATTTAATAAATAGTTTCCTAATTTAACTAGATATCTTCAATAAATTGTTAAAAAGGGTTTGTAAGCAGACCTATTTTTGTTATTAAAGTTACATCATAAAGGTTTCTTAATAATATCAATGCAGTGTGTATGCCTCTATATGTATGATTAAATTAGATATGTTTAAACAGGATTATATGATCAAAATATGGGAAAACATTAAGTCGCATTAACACAATTAATTTAATTCTAAAATTAACAATAAATACTATTCCTAAATATGACAGTGTTCGTGATCATAACCAGTGCCGTAAAAGTTATAATAATATTAAATCTATATGATTGTACCTGTAATACGAAAGTAATCCACTGGACAGAACGAACCATCTTCTCTGATAACCCTTCAGATAATTTGTCCACTTGAATAACCAACCCTTCTTCTCCGGATCACCAGGAATTGGCTGGCCCTTGGGCACTACCGCGTCAGACATTTTTATTAAATTATTTCTTGATTATATTGATGAATAAAAACATAATACAAGATTTTTATTAAGCCACGTCCGTCATTGCACATAATCTGTGCGACGATTTTATAGAATTATGTGATTATGTCATTAATTTTCCCGTTTTGACAGTTTTAATAGCAGAATACAATTTTACTATCTGTAGAAACTAAAGTCATTATGACATACCAAAACAAATTAATGACGCAATGTTTTTTACTGTTTTGACGGATGAAAATAAAATAAAATTGACGCGAATGACTGACATACCGTCCTAGTACTATGTAGCAATATTCTAAATTATAATAACTTGTGCCAAGCCATAAAAAAGGAAAAATATAGAACCTACAATTAGAGACGAAAATAATTTAGTTAATTATTGAAAACTTTATTTTGAGTTTAAAACGCATTGTTTGGAGTTTAACTTAATTAATTCGGTGAACTAACAAACATTTAAAATCTGCATTATTTAAATTATTAACCGGGTCTTAACAATTTAAATAATGTATATTAAACACGAAAGTTTAAAATTAACTATTTAAAATCTGTATAGACAAGGGCACAATTCTCATCTTAATTTTCGCGCTTTTATTACGAAATAAAAATTACTACATGTTACATTAAAACACCATTAATTATATTATCAATGAAATACGATTCAAGTAACGCATATATGTTACAATAAAATCTCACACAAAAAAAGGTAAAATTATCGGATAATGGTAACATTACTTAGAAACGTCAAATGGACTGATAATCTGTCAAGTCAGAAGAAATGTTTATTATCAAAAAAGCAAACGCAATATCCATACGTTTATTGAGACGGTCATTTATTCTTCAAGGTAAATCCTTTCCCTTTTCCAGTTATCCATGATTTCTGTTCTAGGAAATACTAAAAAGTACTGTAACCTTCATTATAGAATAATTGTGCTCATGTGACTTTTATTAGTTGAATAAAATTGTGACAAAAAATTTATATTTTATTTTCGTAATCTGCAGAGCCAGTTCTGAGCAAAATGGGTACTTCATTCTCAAGATCTTATTCCCCGAATAGTGGTAGATGTAGCGATAGTACCGAAAGACGTGAGTATCCTGTTTTTGCATATTTTTCCAATTTATTTTATGTATTATAATATTCCGGTTCTTTCCACAATTATATTTAACTTTACCCTCATTTATTTACAAAGACTAATTTATATTAGTCTACACCGTTGTTTAATTTTTACAATAAAATACTACATATACTTTATTATTTTTTATAAAAAAATATATTTACTTATTCAAATTATATTTTTTATGAAAGTAAACATTATTATTATTTATATAATTATTAATAAAGAAATTACTGAGTATGTAGTAGTATAGATGTTCTTGTCATAGTTACAATATAGACCCTTGACCTAAATATTTTAAGTATTGACTTCTATTTACTAGATCCTAATTATTTGCATATAATCATATATATTTAATACTACTAAACTTTTTCATTATACAAAATTATCAGTAAGTGTAGTGCAAAATTGAACTATTATAATCAGATTTAAAAATATTACATTAAATTCTATAACAAATGATATTTTGTTTTTTGCCATCCCTTATTGTAATATTATATTTAGATAGAAGTTTTTATATTACTTGTTAACAATGTAGGTATATAGGTGAAAGAATTTTTAAATATGTCAAATATATTTTGATTAGATATTTTATGTGACTTGATTTTCAAAGTAACATATGGAGCATTTGACAGATAATTGTTATAATGTAATGCTACATTATAATGAACAGTGCTAGGAACATCACAACCTACATTATAATGCCTTTCAGTTTACCGAAACTCTTTAATACAGAACTTAAACTTAAGGAGGAGGTCAAGTATTTGGGAGTCATACTAGACAGTAAACTTCTTAAGAATAGAATACAATAGAAAATCATTTATTCAAATAAACTTACATTGAAGCACTTTTGAATAGTCATTACATTTTTTTTTAATCTACCACTCGTTCGAAAAGCTGTCTCATCACAAGAAGAACGAGCAAGAAACTTGCGTGTTGCTCTTTTAAATAATTTTATTATTACTTTACATTTTTAAGTTTAAGTGCGTGAATACAAACCACCAATTAGCACTAATTCAATTAAATACTCAAAAAGAAAAAATATTGAATACATAACCAACTGGTTAAACAATTAATAAGAGGAAATCAGTCAGAGTGATTAGAGCAGACCAGTCCCTACAAGCAGCACCCGTTCACGAGTATGACGGATGAGCCAGCCATCACTGCGCTCGACCATATTTTAGGAAGCCCAATGACCCAGCCCACCACGCCGCCAAAAGTCTGGACATTTTAGTGAGCATGACTACTCAAAACACTAGACCACGTCAAAGCTACTCACAATTGCCATCTGATAGTTATAGTATTCACATTTTACATAAGAATGCATGCGGCAATTAATACAAAAACCGCTACGCTTTCATATTTCTAAAATCAATCAATTAAATCAAGAAAGCAATGAGAAAATAAAATTATAACGTTGTATGCTAATAAACTAATTATTTACTTGATATGTTGTCATCTATGAATTCGTCTATCCTGTAATAGGCTTTCTTACATAAAAATTGTTTAATATAAGATTTGAATTGCCTCTCTGTCAGATTTAATGCAGATTCTGGCAGTTTATTATAAAATCTTATGCAATTACCATAGAATGAATTACTGATTTTGTGAAGACGGCATATATGTAAAATAAGCTTATTTATATTGCGTAAGTTTCTACTTGTACAGTCTTTGAGTTTTTTAAAACTCTCTCTCTTCTCTGGAATAAACACCTTGATCACAACAAAATTAACAAAAGCACAATTGCATTCTATCAATGCAGGAAAATGCTTGGTAATAAATGGGGTGTCTCCCCGAAAATAACTCTTTGGCTATACACATCAGTAATAAGGCCAATGCTGGTATATGGGGCCTTGGTTTGGTGAACAAGGTCGAAACTTACGACCACAGTCAACAAACTAAGATCTTTCCAAAGACTTGCGTGCTCCTCAGTTACTGGATGTATGAAAACAACCCCAACAATGGCAATGGAAATAGCCCTTACATAACACCCCTCGACCTATACATACAGCAGGAAGCAGCTATAGCTGCCACAAGATTATACCATCTTGGTCTATGGGGCAAAAACCATTACAGTTCTCACACAACCATCCTGAACCAAGCAATCGAATATGAACACTTGATTGCCGCTCCGTGTGATAGAACTCAAGCATACCACTCATTCAACAGGTAATACCAAATACAATTGAAGGAGGAGGAAAGGGACCAATCTGCAGTAAATGAACTACGCATATACACAGATGGCTCCAAAACACAGAACGGTTCAGGAGCTGGGGCACATTCCCTTGACCTCAACATGAACATATCTATACCGCTCGGCAAACACAGTTCGATCTTTCAGTGCGAATGTGTTGCCCTGACCGAGGCAGCAAAAGCCGTGTACAGGTTAGGGGTCAACAATTTCAACATTAAATTCATATCGGACAGTGCAGCCGTGCTTAAAGCACTACAGAACAGAAAATCCAACAACAAACTAATAATTGAGTGCCACATCGCCTTGGAAAAAATTGCAACGCACAACGGAGTAATTATCCAGTGGATAAAGGGGCACAGTGGATCATATGGCAATGACGCCGCGGACGAACTAGCGAGAGTAGGATCCGGTATGGTGGTTGCGGGCCCCCTCCCACTTATGCCAATACCATTCTCGCAACTTCGCACCTGGATTCGCCAGAGATCCACCGAAATACAAAACCAAAGATGGAACCTAACCACTGATTGCAAACAATCTAAAGTGGCAATTCCAAAAACGAACCACCGGTTAACAACACGTCTACTTAATCTAGATAGACATAACCTCAAAATAATGATAGGGACAATAAAGGGCCATTGTTCCTTAAACAAACACTAATACAAAATTGATGCTACAGACAGCCCCCTTTGTCGGGGCTGCTTTGAAGCTGAAGGAACGACGGCTCACGTAATCCTGGAGTGCACGGCAGTGGCCCAACAACGAAAACAAATCCTCGGAACGGTGAGGTCGCTCCGTGAAGCCTGTGAAGACACCAGGAGTCTTCTGCGCTTTTGGGAGGAGCTTGGCTGGCTACTTTAGTAGTCTGGCTCTACACGCACAACGGCCCGAATGAGAGGCTAATTGCGGAGACTGGAGTCCAACATACAATACAATACAATGCCTTATGGAAAAAAAACATTTCCCAACTATGGCACTAATTCTTAATTTAGGCTAAATTTATATTATTTCTTATTGTTGACAAAGTTTAAGTTATCCCTAGTAGTTTATGACGTCCCTGGAAGAGGCCTGCAATCCTGTTACCTGGGAGTCATTGCTCCCAGAGCAGATGGCAGGCAAAAGGTTGTGTATTGACGCCTGACTAACCTTGCTATTCTAGGGGTTCATCACATCACCTTACTTTCAATGGTGGATTCAAATCTTGCACATTACAAACATTCATTTTCGTAATATGATTGTTTGTAATGATTTGGGGTGTATATTTAAAATGTATTTATCTATTTCTATTAGTTGATTAGTAGAAGCTTTGCTTAGTTTTTGATTATATAGAGTGTGAAAAGAAATTGAAAGTTGGTATTCAAATTTAAAAAATGTTAATATTTTTAAACAGGAGGAACTATCTCCCGTGTCGACTCGACAACCGAATATGTGGAATCAATTGTCTGCAATGAAAATGACATAAAAGAGAATGAAATGAAAATAGTTGATATAGGAGAAGATGGAAAAGTGTTACTTGTCAAACAGAAAGGTGAAATCAACGCTCTGGGCACTAAGTGCACACATTACGGTGCTCCGCTAACATCCGGCGCTCTGGGCGATGGCAGAATTAGGTGTCCTTGGCACGGTGCCTGCTTCAACATCAAAACGGGAGACATTGAAGACTTCCCAGGATTCGATTCTCTGCCGTGTTATCAAGTGACTGTTACAGAAAAAGGCCAAGTTAAGGTAAGATTAATATTTCGTATGTAATACTTTCGCGGTATGTATAAACTTAATTAAATATATGATCTGAACATGAGCGTCATGGATAAGCAATATTAGTTTCCCTAACTAATATTTTTTTTTATACTAATGGGTTGCGTATAAAAATTTTGACAGAAAATGTTGCATCCGTTCGGAATACTATTGAACAAAGAGCAAATATATAAATAATTAAATCATTTTGACTGTCTGTTTTTGCTGTAATCTCTGAAACGACTGAACCTATTTTGACGTGACGTCACTCGCAGATAGCTAACGTTCTATGGAGTAACTACTTTTATTTTACTAAAAATTATAATCCCACGTGAAGCATGCTGTGGGGAACAGCTATTCCTGATTGTATTGTATTTGAGGCCCTAATATTACGTAGGTTAATTGTGTTGTCAATCATCCTTAATAATTTCCAACTTTAAATAATGCGCCGTAATATGTGTTTGTAGTCTTATTTTTGTAGTTATTAGTTTAAGAAGCAGTTAATTGCATAAATTATTTTATAACTCGCTGTCTGTCGTCGGAGGCTATCTGTAGACGCAACTATCTCTATAAATTTTCAGACAACTGCAAGTATTGTATTTTTTTATTTATGAATATGGAATAGTACGCTCTCCTTCAAAATTCTTGTGCAAGATTTTGTTTTCCGATACCTCGCAGAGCCCACGTATCACCATATTTAAATAGTAACGGTATCCACTTGCGCGGCATCAGTGTCAGATAATGCTCAAATTAAAACGAAATCAGGTGGATTCCTGGTTTTGAATATCCAGCTTTCGCGTGGAGTTTAATCTGCCATGTTACTTTGCTAGCAGAGGCGTCTCTAGTTCCCATTACTAATAATCCCCTCAGACATTCATATTTTTTTTATTTATCTAGTCATTTATCTAGTCCATGACAGTACACGACCTCTGAAACTAAATGCTTGCAACACTACAGGCATAATTCCCGCGTAACTTGCCCTTCTTGCTTATGAAGTACTTTGTTTTAATTCAGGTCAACGTCAAAATAGCGGACGGTAGGTACATGTTGTAAATGATCATTTCAGAATTGGGAATGGTCATATCGTTCCTGTGGAGGGAAAATAATTGTGTGCAATTTGTTAACAATACTTACAAATAGTAGATATACTACATACGTGACATTTAGAAAAGTGAGAATGTCATGAAACATTTTACAATGTAATTGTAAGTGTAACTAATTGTTTCGTACCGACCGATTTTATATGGGTAGGTCATTACAATCATGCGATACTTAGGTATATATAACTTGTTACATTTTTAAGCTACTCGAAAAAGGTGGACTTTTACATTTTTTTTCTATGTTAGGGTGACTTCATAACTGACTGATTCTGAATATTCATTTTGTAAACTATTACTTTTATTTGTTTTGTCCCAATAATATAAAATTATTTATAAGAAACGACTACGTTTTTTTCTGTAGCTATATAAACGTTTTTGTGGTATTTATTATTCGTTATTAAAGTACAATGAAGAATTATTAAAGTAATTACTACAGAAGCACACATTGTTAGTCCCCGAAACTAACATAGTATGTAAATATGTTTGAGAAATCATGCATTCCGCGCGCTTCAGTATGCTTTTTATTAATTTTTATCTCCCATGTCATGCCATCCTGTGGCTCATATTATTAATTATTTACAGTATATAGATATATCGATTCATCATTTTATAGATATATAATGATGAAAAGATGTATAGATATCTATTCATCAATGTTAAGAATACATTTACATTTATGTAGCTATATCGCACATCTGTGTTGTAGTCATATTTTAGTCATCATACATATTTAGAAGTCACTCTGTACACTTAATGAATGAGTAATAACTTAATAGCGGTCCTACACCATGCATTTTTCTAGAAACTTTTTATCACGTACAAGTCGTAAAACTGTACTGTGAAATCAACTCCAGCAGACATATTTTTCCACGGATATGATGCTGAAACAAAGAAAAGAGTATATACCTATTTATAAGGCGGGCAACATCCCCAAAATTCCTTAATGTTCATTATGGCTGTACTGATTTACCACTAGATAAGCCGCATGCTTTTTTCTCTATATCATAAAATTATTAATCTAAACAAAATGCTAGATAGCCATAGGCTTAGCATAGCCAGGCAGAACTTATCTCTATCAGGTTGTATAATAATCCAATTAGGTCACACTTACACTTTTTTTTTAATTTCAACAGTCGCGATATACTTGAACAGCACTAAGGACGATACCATGGAATGGCAACGCATGGCTGGTATAGCCATGCGTTGCCATTCCAGACGACTAAGACGTCAACTTATCTTGTAACTCCAGATTCGCACCGAAACATAGCTTATAACGCAAGCTGTAGTAGTAGTAGTAGTAGTAGTAGTAGTAGTATAAAAAAAAGCTGCTTGGCGGCTAAAATAGGTGATAGTATCTAATGTTATATATATATATTTCAAATAAAGTATCTCAAGTATCTGAAATATAGCACTGTGACCGACAGACAAGGTTGCACCATTAGGGCTCCGTCGTATATTTAGCTCGCAGCTATAAAAACGGTTAGGTATAGCGAAACAAACGAATCAGTATGGTCACGCGCAGATTTCAAGGACGGATTTCAATTCATGGTGAAGATATCATAATGCTATGATATCTTATTTATTTAATTATGAATATGACACCGTCTACGTATTGTTGAACTTAGCTGGTTCTATAAAATACAAAGAAAGAAAATGGTCGTTATATGGTTACTATTAGTAGTGATTTTCTATTACCTCATGTATGATTTATGACATCATGAGACAAAAGGCCCAGCTCGGATTAATATTTCTATAACGAGTTTTTTTAAAAGCTTGCTATTGATATGGTTATAATCTACACATTATTAAATTTGTGTCCCCTAAGTTCTCCTGAAATAAATAAATAAGTTCATATTGGCCATTCTTAACGTACTAATTTATATATATATATAGATTAGGCTGTACTGAATTGTTAATGAAAAGTCCGCATTAACATAAACATACATTTATATATTTAATATTAAATTGTAAAACATTTTCGGAAGCCAATCATTGAATACCTACCAATAATAATAATAATAATACCATTTCTTTATCTAAAAAATGTAGGTTGGTATGACGTCATTCCATGATCGTTCTATGACTTCACGCTGTTAAAATCGAAATGTCATCAAGAATAGTTCCATTTCTTAGTCTATAGAATTTACGTCGTAAGAGGAATAAAATTTACACCTGCGAAGATATAAGCAAATGTCTATACTTGAGCAGAAGGTGTAAATTTTATTCTATTTAACTTGGGACACACGAACAGCGTAGGTGCATGATAATACATTGTAGTAAATAATATTACGAATGGTATAGTGATCGACTTAGTCGATATTATGAATATTTGAAACGTAACGACCTTGAGCTGCCTTGACCAACTACCAAATTGGTTTGTTCGTAAATCTATACGTCTCTACGCAGTTTGAGGAAAACCTTAGTTTGATTTGTCATTTTATAGCAGGTACATGTTTAGGTATATGACTATGTTGGTTTTATTTATGATAATGAAATAGTACACCTGTTTGCGCTAACGTTTTCGCTAGCACGATTGAAGGATGATATGATAAGAATGAAGTTGACTTCATCCTTACCAGAGTCAGGCAGCCCAATTTGGCGAATTTACCAGTATTAATTATTTCCAGGGGGGGCCTCATGGTGGTCAATCTGATAGGTCACGTTGCTAGTAAAGAGGCCGCTAGTAATTTTCTTCAACTTACATAGTTACTTAGGGGGCTAAGTTACTATATAAATTGAAACAAACTCCTTGATATATAACTCTATCTATTATATTTTTTATTTAAATATATTTCTGGATTGGGGATCTTACAGATAAGCTATTTCTTATTCTTAGAGTTAGAAAAATAATTTTGTTCTATGCTAATACTATAAATAGGAAATTGTTTTATTTTTCTACCTATGTTTTTAATGGCTACCTAATACCAAAACAAAGGTTTTGGTATTACAATTTTAAAATATCTTTTGTTATATTAGGTATGTATATTAATATTTACAAAGGTAACCAAGTTATCACCATTCGGTCGGAGAGCGGCGGGCCACTAGTTCCTTATAAAACAGTTAAAGTGCGCTTCGGAGCCATACACCGAGGTAGTATAAAATCTAGTTAGGAGTATAATTTGTTTACCTATATAATTATAATTAACTAAGTATATATATAACAAGTTACATATATTAATGTGGAAGGCTTTCCCTTGTTTAAAATAATTTGTTAGAAAGTAGAACCGCGTTAATTAACCATGCACAATAAAGAGACTGCGTGGTGGTTTATTGATAATTCCCATTATTACTATATCAATCAATCTGTGAACACTTGATATATATGTCGCTAAGAATCTCTAACCACAGTATATTGTTATGATACATATTATAATAATATTACATATTAAAGACATTTTAGATGCGATTTGTTATCGCATATTACCTAACTGGTCTTCTACATTCTCTATGTAATGAAAATGTTTCTTGCATTTCAGGTAAAAGCAAAGCTGAGTGATTTAAAGTCTAATAAACGTATCAAAGATATGGGTTCAGTGTCGCCTTGCGACGGCTCTGTTATAGTGATAGTAGGCGGAGGTCCTTCTGGAGCTACCTGCGCCGAGACACTGCGAAGTGAGGGTTTCAAGGGCCGTATTACAATCATTGCTAAAGAAAACTATTTACCTTACGACAGAATCAAAGTATCCAAAATTGGCACTGTCACCGACATCGAAAAACTACAAGTAAGAACCCAAGAATACTACCAAGATGCTAACATTGAAATTTTAAAAGGCGTTGAAGCCACCAATGTGGATTCTGAAGAGAGGCTCGTCTATCTAAACGACGGTTCCAAAGTCCGCTACAGTGCCTTGTATTTAGCCACGGGATGTAAGCCCCGTGTTCCCGAAATATCAGGAATTAATTTGAAAAATATCTTCACTGTCAGAAACTTTGAAGATTCCATGAATATTCTACGAACATTGGGTTCAGAAAAAGATAAAGACGTTGTAGTTCTTGGCCTAAGTTTTATTGGTCTAGAGATTGCGGCTTCCTGTTGTGCAAAAGCGAAATCTATGACTGCAGTCGGCAAGGATACCGGTCCACTTGCACAGGTATTTGGTCAAGATATAGGTCGTAGCCTCCAAAAGTTGTTCGAAGAGAAAGACGTAAAGTTTCATTTCGGCACCACAATAGTAAAATGCAACGGTGAGAACGGAGCGATAAAATCGGTGGAGTTAGATAATGGAACCACACTAAATGCAGACATACTCATTTTAGGCGTGGGAAGCACATTCCACACCGATTTCCTCAAAGATAGTGGTATTAAATTAGAATCCAACGGTGCGGTTAGCGTCAATGATAAATTGGAAACGAACATCAAAAACGTTTATGCTGGAGGTGATATAGCATATGCGCCGGTTTATGCTCACGGGAACAAACACATGTGTATAGGACATATTGGGCTCTCTCAGTACCACGGTAGGGTTGCTGCTCTAAACATACTGAAGAAAGAAACTCCCTTGAAAACGGTTCCGTACTTCTGGACAATGCTGTTTGGGAAGTCCATACGTTATGCTGGATGTGGCAAATCTTCGAATATACAAATTGAGGGAGATATAAATGAGTTGAAATTCGTCATTTTCTTTTTCGATGAATCAGATAAGGTAATTGCAGTAGCGTCCTGTATGAGAGACCCTATTGTCTCACAGTTTGCTGAGTTTCTATATCAAGGAAAAACTCTCCACAAAAAAGATTTAAAAGACGATCCTTTCGCTTGGACTAAATCTATAGTTCAATGAATCGATTGAGCTCAATCACTAATTCATTATCACAACTTCAGTTATTTATTGCTACCTTAGATTACAATGTTATGTAATTAAATTAATGTGATATATTAATTTAGTTCCGTAATATTATTTTGACTACTCAAAGTGCAATCACCGCAAAATAAAGAAAATTGATCCCCCTACAGGGTCAAAGGGTAAAAGGTTGTTCATTTTTGGGTGATTAGTGATTATTGAGGGTAAATTAATATATGTTATGTTATATTTATTACTTTCTCTTTTATATTTTTCTCTATATACGTGGTAATTAAGATTTACCTTTTGTATGTGATATGTTAAATTTATCTTAAAATATTCATGTCTATATTGTTTGCATGAGTTAATAATAAGAATAGAGTGGTTACATTTCATAATTTGTGAAATGGTATATCCATATTCGCAATACTGTTAGTTTCAATATATTCTTAACGAGAATTTAAATACAAAAATTATAATAGAAAAGAATTTATATAAAATTGGAAATAAGTAAATGAACGGTATATTTAATATTTCAAGACAGATTGTAGTACTAATAAGAATAAAATTGAAGGCGTATATGTACGCCTCATGGCTATTTTATAAGAACTAGGCGGCTTTAATCTCCACGAAAAATATTGAATATGATTAAATCATATAAATAATAGGTACAATAGTTTGATATTAATATATTACTACGAAAGTAGACCTACTCAATATACTCGTATATAGTCAAAATTTAAATAATTTTAGTTTAATGTTTGGGTCTAACCGGAAATTCGCCGACCCCCCATTTGATGTTGTAAAACAATTATAATATTGAAATAAAGCAGTACAATTCTATATATTATTGATGTATAACATTGCTCCATCCGGGACCAGACTAACTAGCGCTCGTACTGTGCGTCTCATTCAGTGTATATTGCGCTAAAATCAATATTGAAAGTATATTTAAATTACTATTTGCAAAATAGTTATTTTTCTCTATTAAATAGGGACCATGATATGTACACTGATGATGTTTGTCTTAGATGAATAACGCATGGCGAGTCTGCATTAGGGTACTGAGTTCAGGTTGGAGCTGTTCAAATTGCGTCTTACTATTATTACTGTACTATGTGACATAAAACACAAGCTTATAATATAATATTATATATATATTATGTATCCTTGGACACGTTATCTTGTGTGTAAATTTATATACCGGTTCTTGTGTATATTTTTATATATTCAAGACCGACTTATACCAATTTAATACGCTGCATTATATTTGTTACTGCATTTAATGTAATAGCCGCTTCGACATAAATATTGTTACTACAGTTATACATATATTTTAGGCTTCTTTCTTAAAGTCACGTCCTAGCGACCAAGTGTGCTGTGTGATCTCCTATTTAAAGGTATTTCTCCGTACTTATCAATGGCGATTTGGTATTATGTATAAAGCGAGGCGAAATCGCAGCTAAACCGCAGGATTTTGCTGCATTATATTTGTGAAGAAGCTGGGATTTAAATATGCTAGCAAGTCGCTAGTGTGATATTACTGTAGGACCGTTTAGAGAAGAGGGGCTTGTGAATTGATTAGCTGGAAAAAAAGATCGCGGGTTAGCCACTTCATAAAAAATACTTTCTCTTCTCCCGCACAAAATTGAGGGATTAGAGTTATGTACATACCTGCTGAGCTTAAAATAATTGGATTATTACAGCATGATTATAAAATATTTTTATATTAGTTGTTATATTATTTGTTAATATGAGTAGACTATTCGAATTGTTGAATCTCAGATGCACAACTATGATCTATATTATTACTCGTTTATGTATCTCGAATATAGAAAACTCGAATTACAATGATCACTTTTATAATCTATCGTATGATATACAACATTTACCGTCATGATACAATAACGAAGCTACCTCGTCTTAATATTACTTCGACGAGATAAGTCATAATTTGGACGATCTTTTGTAGCGTCGTGAATGTATGTGGTAAATTTATAATTTAAAGTCAGTCTATTAATACTATACATTGTATTATATAGCCTCTGTTCACAATAAATATTAATTGCTGCCTAAATTACATCGTATAAATATATTATAAGAATACTCTCCGATTCTAAAATCTATTTACGTTTTTGGTGCACACAGTTTAAGTTGGTTTACTTTAACAAAGAAATGCCATTGATTGAGAGCAAGACAGTAAGTAGTTTTCTGCTACTGGTTATGATTGGACAGTATTTTTACTCATACATTATATAGAATAGTTTTATTTTATTTTGCTTGCAAGTATGTTAAACAACTGTGGCAATTGTTATTGATAATATAAATTCCTAAAGTAGATTTTTCAGTATTGTAGTTATGTCATATGTGATGTTCGTTGTGATATTAATTTGTTCATCAAAGATATATATTGTTGATGAATAAACATATGTATTTAAAACTGTTTTATTTCTACTGCATAAATTTGCAGCTCGTAAGTATAATTTTACCGAGATAAACAGAGTAGACATCGTCTGAGTGGGTATCTCAGTCTTACCTATTTTAGTCGCCAGCTTGCTTTGTAAGCTGTGTTAAGAGACGAGATAAGGTAGTGAACTTATACTACAGAATACGAAACACGACATTTCAGTCGTCCGGAATGGTAGTGTATCTTTGGTAACACTAATGGCATATAATCATGAGATGTACGTAATGTTGATCATGTATATAAGTGATGGTTAGCAGTTTAAGTTTTCGACAGGTGGGCCATCAGCTTTTTACTATTCCAATGTATGAAATATATCAAGATCGAAAGGTTTCTTTTTAAAATTGTAGGAAGTTCACTCTCTCTCTATATTTAACCTCACTGTCAATATCTACATATCTTCTATTCAAAAATACATATTAAGTACCTACATTAACAAAATAAAACATAGTCTACTTATTTTTGAACTTCCACATTTAGTCTGAATACGTAATCAAAAACTCATACTCGTATAATAATAATACACGACAATACAAATGTTTAAACCATGCAAGAAATCAAACCCGCAACCATCGGAAGTAAGCTGTGCAAAACTGCTAAACTTCAGAGGCCGCCTAAAGAGCTATGTCAAAGTACTAAATAAAATCTTCAAAAGTTATAAATGTCAGAATTATTGATTGATTTAATGGCAGATACAGAAAAAAGCCATCTCATTATAGATGCTAATATAGAATATAGTAAAATCCACAAAAACATTTTTTCTATATTCTATATTTTTATAATTAAATTTTTACATACTCTACAAAATACATTAATTATAGTACATTAAGTTTATTCCCATCCCTCACTGACCCGAAGATGTTTCAGGCGTTCATATAAAGTAACATCTTCTTTGAAATATCTATGGTTTTGTTCCAGTATTTTCTCTTTTCGCTGTTCTCGTTTCCCCAAAGCTTTAGCATGACCACTACTTTCGACCTGCAACAGAAGATAACTAATTTCAAGTAGGGTTATTGATGAAAAAAATTACTGATGCATGGCATCACTAACACAATATTTTTACTACTACAAACGTGTCATACTTTTGTTTATATTATCTTAAATTCTTTTATAATAATACATACTTCTGATAAATAAGGAAACCGGAGATAAAACATGTTTTGCTCTTCGACAGCAAAATCTTGCTTGATACGGTTTAAATGTTTTGTTTCAACCTTTTTTACTAAACGATCTTTTCCTCTAAAAAGATGTCCATTTGGTAGACGGTTACGTCTAAATAAGACTGTAGTTATTCTCATTTTAGAGAATTATTAAGAGAATAAAATAAATTCAATAGAAAATAGTTTTTGTCCCCAAAAAAATAATTAATGTAAAATATTAGAATAAGAAAAGATAGAAGTGACAGATAGGGTTTTCCAAAAAATATCGATATTATTTTTTTACATATGGATGAATCGACTAACCCAGTATCAAACGTATTTTATAAAAAGTATCTTATATCCAGCGTTATCACTTATGTCATCAGCGAAAAATTTAATCTTTTAATAATCATCCTACACACAGTGCAAAATTAAATATTGTTGGATTTATTGATGATAATCACTTTAATTCTTGACATCCATTTTTACACTTGCTAACAGTCTATATTCAATCCAATATTCTTAATTAATGTAACCTATATATATTTCTTATCCGATATATTGATATGTTTTTCATAAATATCGATATGTTTTTGAATCCCTAGGACGAAAAGTCAAATTTATTTTTGTTTAACTATGTTGTTTTAGAGAGGCTACGAGCATAGCTTATTCTTCTTTGTTTTGTGTGACACTTTATGATGGAGTGGAGAGACTCTTTTCGAATAGAGGATAGTAAATAACATATTTGTTGTGGTGAATTGGCTTTATGTGATTATTTGCAGTATTTTAATTTTTTTCTGATAATTTGATTTGTCTCTGCTCGATATTAAGTGTTATAAGATTGAGCATTTTTCCCCCATATGGAGAAATTTTCTGGAGATGGAGAAATTTGTGGGAACCAAATTATTCCATCATTCCATTCAATAAGTCCATGTAGGCCTAAAGATTAAGAACACTTTCCCTTACCCTAAAAGAACAAGAATATTGAAACAATAAGTGCCCTAAAAATATTGAATAATAGTTTTGAATTATAAAAAAAAAAATATCAACTGTAGTAGATCAAAGAGCTTGATAAAAAACTTATCAGATTACAAACCTATTTTATTCAAATTTTGTTAAAAGTTATTTCAAATCCAAGATTTGAAATAACTTTTAACAAAATTTGGTGGAATACCATACAGCCGTCTGGTAGCACTGGCAATGTTTGTCTATGGCAGTATGGCTGTCCAATATTGTCCATACAATTTCGGTGTACTTTAGTGGTGTTTATTTGAGAAAATATAACTTTCATGTAATAATATTGTATCTGTAGTAGTTAATTATTAATTAATAAAATATGGAGTCATTGGGCTGATAGTTTATAAATATTTAAAACAGTCCTCTTGAGGGTAAGTTGTTTGTCTGTTGTTAATTTATAAATAATTTAAAGATATTATATATTTCTGGCATCATATTTTCAGTGTATATAGTAAAATCAAAATTTTACACAATAAATCGTTTAGTACAGCTCAATTTAATTTCTTTCACTATTGTTTTCTGTCGTGAAGTGCCAAAGTAGGTACATTTCGGTACCCTTTCACTTTATTGTCTACATATTTTCGTGCTCTACTTATTTCCAACTTATTTTTTTGGTTCATTTCTTTAAGTTTCTTCAGCAATAGAAACTAAATAATCGTATTTATGTCAATATTAAATTATTAAATGGGCTTGGCTAAGCTGGTCATTAGTTTATATTGATAATTTATGCGACTCGCGGCTCGACCCGACTTCACTAGTAAGGAACATTACATCTTATGTAGGGTCTGAATACATCTCCAATAATATCCCGGCTAATTTTTTAATAGTTTAATTGCTTCTGGAGTTTACCCTCCATATACAATCACAAAAAAATATTCCCTTTAATATGCATAGCATGTACGCATTTATATATAAACAGTTAGAGAATTTTTGTATAGTATTTTGGCAATATTTTTTGATAATGTAAGAAGTATTTTAATGATATTTTGTTTACATTTTGTTCACATATAATTATAACATTTCACTACATGTTTATGTCATTAAATATTAAAAGTGTAAAGAACTTAAAAAAATCTGTTTCCTATACAATGTTTATGCTGCAGTTTTTCATTTATTACTGTTATAATACTTATGAACCTTGATAACAAATAGCCAACTGACATGCTAATATTAGACTAGATCATCCTCTTATAAGGAAAACCTATGATCATTACATATTTCAAGTCTATTTATATCTGCATTAAATTATTCTAATCAACTTTGAGTTTGAAATTGGATGGAATAACCAATTTCAAACTCAAAATTTGTAATGGATGGAATAAAAATTTAATATTTGTTTTATGTTAACCAATGACAATTTCATAATCATACTGCAAATATTGTCTCTCTGCCAAAACTTTAAATTCAGAATATATACAAGTTTTGAAGTGTGCAAAAATAAAATTAATATACAATTATAAATAAATAAGTTATTGCAATATTAAAAATACAAGTAATAAGATGTTTAATTTTCATACATATTTCATTATTAAACTACTTACATTTAGTCTGTTTTACTATATTACAACTTACAAAATTAGGATGTGAGTAGCAGACAAATTACTTACATTGCTAATATGGATTTATTACATGTTTTGCTTTTTTATGAGTAAGGGTCTGAGATACTTGCATTGTCTGTTTCCATCAATCTTATCAGTCTAATAAGTGATTATGATGTTATTTTTGTTTGATGAGTATAGCATTCCTCTATAATTTTGCTATCTAACACTAAAAGGATATTCAAAATTAGATTTGTTATAATGGAGATTTTCCAAATATCCAAACTCACAAACATTAGCTTCTTATAATGTTAGTATAAATGTAAAACTATACTATCCTCCTTACTTTCTCCGTCGAAAAATTAGAAATAATTAGTTTTGATAAAAACTGACACTTGACTCTGTGTAGCTTGATAAACTGGCACAGTTACAGAGAATTCATTAAAAACTTTTTACACACTGTTTTTACTATTTTACATTAGATTTCAACATAAACACATGTGTGTTTTTTTATTGTGTACAGTTATACAGAATAAAGAAATATGATTCTGGTCCACAGTTTTGAATTATTATATTACTTCACTTGTTGACCTAAGTAATTTCTTCTGCATCACACTTACCTGACATTTATTGTTGTATTATATTGTATAATATACATAATATCTATTTAATTATAGCATGTGTATTATTCTGATATATAAGCTATATAGCTGTAAAGTTTCATCAAAACTCTGTTCAGTGGTTTTTGTGTAAAAGAGTAATAAACATCCATCCAACTATACAAACTCACAGACTTTCGCGTTTATAATATTATTATATATTAAGATATATACTAGGCTACTTGCTAGTATATACCGTTAGAGCAAGAGACTTCCCAATTCAATCGTCACCCACAAAACACAACTCATTCTGCTTCCATTTCAAATTAACACTCTCGCACCTGTACTATAACTGTATAAATAAGTTTTATATATTCGCCGCCAAATCTACTGGTATCTCACGATTTCGTGTAGGTGTTATTATTAAACTACAGATAGTGTTCCACAGCTGTGTTATGGGATATACCCAGATTGTTACCGTAATATTAAAATATCAATATGTTAACATACTTACATTACTCCAGTTTTGTATTATCTTAACTGCAGACATATCCATTCCTTCCAGATAACAATTTGTTTTATGCAAGTAATCTAGCCTGGGTGTACCTGTATAACTTTATGACTTTCTTATATAGTAATGTATATATGTAGTATATAGATTACTGTGAAAAATGCTTTTCAGACTAAAATAATTTTACAAATCTCGTGTTTACATTCTTCATACCATAATCCGCTCTTTCTCACTCTCTCTCTCTCTCCCTTTCATTGTAATTCTAGTATAGATAGCAGTCCGTTCTGATTTTGTCCGGATTTAGTAATGTACGTACATTACTAAATTTTAATAATTGTAAATAATATTGTAATAATACGTGTAAAAAATGTGTACTGTAACAAAATGTCATTGTATAGTTTATAAAAACTAAGTCTAACTCTCATACTATTTGCTGCAGATTAATAGGAACATGATATCTCTTTTAGAGTGACTCCAGACAAAAAAAATTGTGACCATCAGTGGCGCGGCTGGACATAGCGGTAGAAGAAGATGGCACAAGTCGGAGCCAACATGGAGTACCAGGAATACAAGTGGGCATACTCAATCATGGATTCATCCAAGTAAGATATTATTATAGATACTATTTTATATATATAACGCATATCTATTTTTTTATGTCAATGGCATTAGGTTGACGATCCCTTGGAGACAGATGTTACCAAGTAGGCAACTTTGTTATTCTTAAAATTATTATCATTTATTATTTATTTATTCCAGAAATAAGACTTTTAGAATAATAAATAATAATTATTCTAAAAGTCTTATTTCTGGAAAGTCTGACACTGCTTTTTTTATTGAGGTATATTTTTAAATCTAGTATTATTTACATATTATAATCCCCCGGCCGTGTTACAGCAAAACTAACGATAAATATTTTCGATATTTGACTAGGCATCCTTAAAATTTGCCCATGTTTTATCAGAATCAGCGGATCAAATTATGTGGTACAACTTGACCCCGTTAATTCGCTGATCAATATGACCGTTTGACTATCAAACTGCCATATCAACATTTTTATGCATTCCTTTTTCCCTTGTTACTACACGGAAAGGATTTCTTTAAAAATCCCATGTTGAGAAATAAATGGTTACTGGACTCCACCGCACACCGGTAAAGCGAGGGGAATTGACTTATAAATAGTTATAAAGTATACAAACACGATAAATGTGTTTGTATAAAATTTTGATCGATTAACCGAATTAGATAAAGTTTTGTCGTGTGATAGTGAAATATAAATAGTACAAAATAATGAAGTTGCCTTACAAATATAGCAAAGGCGCATTCTCATGTAATTTTAATATTATTACCTCTGTAAATGTAGCACTAGGGTTCAATTCTTAAACGAGACTATTTAGGTAACTAACGAAAATGATTTCATATCAATTGCGGAATCGTTAATCATTAATAGTTGAGAAAACTTACGTTCCTTTTAGTCTAACTCGGGCAGTGAACCACTGTTAGGACGCGCTCTAAATTAATTATAATGAATACTTATAATGCCCGTATGGCCTGCCGCCACAATGGTGAGTTAACACGGCTAATTGAAGGGGTCTGAGGAGTAATATAACGTTACATTGGGGCAACGTGGTCTGGACATCGTACACTTAATTAGTCTCAGGTCAACAGGCACTTCACAACTTGACTGTGTCGATATTGATTAGGTTTTAACAACTCGTGTTTTTAGTGCGTTTATTTAGCTCAATTCAGAATTGTATTACATTGAAATATTACGCTGCTAAAATATTGGTTTGTATTTAGGCAATCAAGATAAATAAAATAAATCTGGACAATTAACACATCGTATCGTCCAAACACTAAACGTTAAGTAAATCTTACCACAACACATTAGGAAAATCGCCTCATATCATAAAATGCGTTTCTGAGTTCACACATAATGCAAAAAAAATAATAACAAAGATGCAATAGTTAAATATTTGTCAATTATTGTTTGGGTTCTATATCGTTACCCCAATAGCTTTACTATTGGGGGTATAATAGTGTCTCTCATATATCTTCTATATACCGACATCGTTTAGTTATATTTCTGTTATATATTCTATATACATGTAGTCCATTATATTCTCATATACATTTATGTTCTGTTATATAATGCAGTTACTTTGTTCAGGGTGTCGGCGTGCCTGATCTCCATGCTACTGATCGTGTATGGTAGTTTCCGTTCCTTGAACATGGAGCGAGAAGCACGGGAGAGGGCCGAGAGAGAACGGGAAGCCTCACTGCTGGGCGGTAAACCTACCCCTACCACGTCTACTAATAATAGTAAGTATCCAAGACGATATCAGATCGGATAGTCAGAAGGGAGATAGGGAGAGGCATTGTCAACCGAAGACTCAGTTAACAATATAAATTGACACAAAGTTTTTTTTGGTGTTGTCTAGATTTGAACTACGACCTCTTAGGCGTAATTCAGGGTAGTGAACTAGACCGCGACCGCTTTCAATCTCTATTGATGTTTCAGTCGGCGTATTTGGTATGTAAATAAACTTAAAACAAGTTCAAATTGATATGACGATAGTGTAACTTCTCGTTTCTTAATGAATGATTATTTATCTCCTAGTCGACTGTGACGACCAACGGTAATAATTGAAGCATAATTATGTAACGCTGTAGCAATACTTAATAAAACAATTCATCATTGCTTTTAATCTGTTTGAGATGAGAATTGTTAGTAAAACACACCAACTGTAGTATTGTCTTTAGGATTCATAACAGAAAAGTAAAATGGCGCGTATAAGTGATCAATCAATCTGTAAATCAAATGATCAAATCATTTACCCTCGGGATATTAACTAATTTGATGGAAAATGCGCATGCAAAAGATTTTCAATTGGAACAACTGTTTACATATTAACTTTATGTGTTTAATAAAACTAAAGCAAAACATTAAGTGCTCTTCGGTAACAAGGAAGTTTAATTTGATATATTTAATTATAAACTTTTATAGAAAACGGCAATTTTAATTATTGTTATTTTCCTTATGAAATATTGGCGTGTTAAATTAATTAATCAGCCCAACTGAAAATAAGTGGCAATGTTTAGCAATATCTGTAGTAATAATAATAACACTGGTCAAACCACACAGCGCCATCTAATCCCAAATTAAGCAGAGCGTGTAGTATATTATGGGTACTAGACAATCGATATAAATACTTAAATATTTTTTCTCGTAAATACATACATATATATATAATACTCATATAAAAAACTTAGACTAATCATACTCATGAATATAAACACTGTGCAAGTAATCGAACCGCGACCATAAGAAGTAATGCGGTGCTAAACCTATAAAACCGAGGCCATACGACGGAAGTCTACGTCGTGGTCAGTGACAACCGTCGTCTAGAGGGGGAAGGGCATTATTAATAATGTGGACTGATGATCCCATGTGTGATGCAGAGATAAGTTGTTGGCGGTGCAAATACTAATAATGATATTTTTTATAATGCATCATCATCATCAACTTTAGCCCTTCTCATCTAGTTATTACACGCAACCCTACGTATGTCGTCTGTTGTAACTGGCTAATCAGATATGTATTTTATATTCTAAATTTGTATTTGAATTTATAGTTCTTTTATATTACATTCTTGTTTTTGATACTTCAATTCCTTCATTCTAATTCCTAATTGTCAGTAGTCTATAGTAATATATTTTCTCCGTTTACCTAGTCTTTTTTCTTATTACTACAACATCGTCGTTACACCTACCTGCAGAGCGTCCTACATTACGTTTGCCAATTCGCAGTCTCCACTCTAGAACACGCCTGCTTATAATGCATACACATATATTTATATCCCTATAAATATTCATAAATACATATCTAATAATCACGTAATCAAATAGTGAGTACAGTCGACAGAGAAATTTATAGTTATAAATACTTGTTGCAGATGTACAAACTCTAAACACAATGCAGGCACTGTGTTTCCCCCTCGGATCGTCAGTGGCGCTACTGATCATGTTTTTCTTCTTCGATTCAATGCAGACCCTCGTCGTATTAAAATCTGATTTAATTTAAAAATAAAAAATGTTTACATGTGAATATTAAAATATTGGTACCCACTGCCAAATATGATATATACAAAATACTTTACAAACAAGGTTTTTATAATGTCGCTCAGATATATCGATATGCACAGCAAGTAAGTAATATTGCCCTAGAATGTTGTGTTATTAAAATCTATCGTTCGTGTATGTATTAAAATCTATAATTGCGATTTAATCTATGTAGGTTAAAATAAAAAATGTTTACATGTGAATATTAAATATTGGGTACAAATATACACTGCCAAATATGAGCGAAACTACTGGGTGATATACAAAAATATCAATATATGAATAAGAAATAATAGACACAATAGTTTGTTTTTAATGGACTGGCCAAAAAAGCTGTCGCTCACTTTATGTTCATCGTTAAATATCACATACATACATGTAATCCCACTCTCTCGTTGATAGAAGACTAAGATATCGTGCCTCTTATTCTGTAATTTAATTGCCTAATCGCATCTGCACCTTCCAACCAAAACGCAGCTAATAAAGCGAGCTGCTAGGCAGCTGAAATAGGTCTGAGGTACCCACATAGACAACTTTTTACATACTTTACAAACAAGGTTATAATGAGATATATCTGTCTATGTTGTTATTTTATTTTACTACAAGTAACATACAGGTTGTAATGATTTATAATCTTACTTATATTATAAACACGGAAGTTTGTGAGTGTGGATGAATGGGTGTTACTCTTTCTCGCAAAAACTATTGAATGTATTTTAATGAAACTTTACAATAATATAATTTATACATTAGAATAACACATAGGCTATAAATTTCTCGCGGCAGAATCCGCGGGCTCATGTAGTGATCATATAAATGAATTGGTTCGAATTCCGTAACAGTGGTCCTCAGTAACAGTGTTCAACATACCGAATCCACCGCTACATAGTACAGTTGCAGCGTATATCCCGTGTATTGTTTATGTGTTTAGGTTTTGCAAACTGAATAGAATATAACTGTTATGAAGTCACGGCTGTACAACGAATTGAGGTATAGGTATAACATTAAGTTTGAATGTAACACTCGTCCTATATAATTATGATATTATAAAAGCATTGTTTTTAAAAGATTCAGTTACAGCTCTACAAATGAAAAAATTAACTAATAAAAAAGGAACTCGGTTTTTTTTTCATATAATTATTGTATTTCACAATTAGTTTTTGTGTTTACAAACTAAAAACACAATATAGTGAAATTAGGATGTTAAACGAAGTTTTTATAAACAGAATATCAATATAAATGTTAGTAACCAGATTATATATGCTCCAAAGTACTATGCATAGAGTATAGTTGGACATATCTAATAAATAATATAAACACCGAGACTAGACGAGAAATCATACTCATGAATGCGAATGTTTGCACCGTGCGAGGAATCGAACCATCGGAAGTAAAGCTGTGTGTCAAACCACTAGGCTATCGATCACATAATGATAGAATAGATTAGAAAAACTAACTATTACATGGTCCATTGTAATATATATGGTATTGTATATAATTGTGCGTGGGTATACAGTAATAGCGTGCGCGGCGCTGGCGTTCCTGCTGACGCCGCTGTGCCAGTACGTGGCCGGCAGCGCGGGCGTGGGCTCGCGCGGCGCCGTCTGCGGACGGTACTCGGCGCCCGAGCTGGCGGCCGCGCTGCTCGCCGCCGCCATCGTCGCCGTCTGGGTGCTCACCGGCCACTGGCTGCTCATGGACGGTGAGTGTCATTATACAGTAGAAGCGCGCGCGACGCGCTTTTAATCGTTACATGAATAGGGATCTTCCGTCGATCACATCAGGCTCTATTAAACACGAGGGGCTGAGGTGGAGGTAGTTCGGAAAAAATCATGTAATATCACAACAATAAATTTTCTTTTGTTGAATGCGCGATTCTTTATCTCTAGTGGCATTTCTTCTGCGTTGGTTTGGTAGAATTTATTTATTGATTTATCTTCACTTGCACAGCATTTTTAACAGGTCCTAACTTAATACTTAAATTTGACGCGGTCACTATTTATAATATATCGGGAACTCAATAAAAATAATTGAAACGTAAGATGTTGTGATTTTTCCTAATTGTACGTACATATATAAAATATTTATGATGTTATTATCTATAATATGTAATGTATAATATACAAAAGTTACTTGAATGATTGTTACTTTTGTATGAAAAATAATAATTACCCAACAAATGAGGGCTTTGACATATTGCCCAGTTTGTTAAACTAGTTATATATAATTGCAGCTATGGGCATGGGTTTGTGCGTTACATTTATCGCACTGATCCGGCTGCCGTCTTTGAAGGTGTCCACACTGCTGCTCACGGGCCTCCTTCTCTACGACGTGTTCTGGGTCTTCTTCTCGTCCTATATTTTCACAACAAATGTCATGGTCAAAGTTGCCACCAGGACTGATAGTAAAAAAGTATTCTTACCATTATCATCATTGATGAAATTAATTAATTGATTTAGGTAGGTACTAAGTCCAATGACTTAAATACAAAGCTCTGATATATACAGTTCTATTATATTAGTATTCCACGACTCTATGTAATTGGAATAACCAACGGACACTTGCAAAGTCATATTATATTTATATATAATATGACTTTGCAATCTAATGTCGTATATATATACATACGACATTAGATTTGTTATTTAATTGTAATAATTAATACACTTGACAATTACATGGCCGCTGTCTGGTACCAAAATAAACAAAGCTTCGTAATTTAATACAAATTAGCTATACATTAAGTTATATAGATATACTTTTATCTTGAAAAAAATTATAGAAGACTGTTCATTCTATTTGTAACTTTAAGATAAAAAGCCAGTCAACAATTCTTATCAATCATCTTATTAATCAATATATCAATTATATTTATACTTAAATAAACTGAGTATTTTGTTAGGCGCGGTGGCACAGATTGACGTTATGTGCCCGTTTAATAAAAAATAAAGTAAATTTAATATTTATGTATTTATTGGCCTCTTAAGTGCAACATATCATGTTTGTTTTGTTTATTGATAGACCCGCAGAGAACCCTATGAACGTGGTGGCGCGGCGGCTGCAGCTGGGTGGCGCTATGCGAGATGCGCCCAAGCTGTCTTTACCCGCAAAACTGGTGTTCCCGTCCATGCACCATCAGGGACACTTCTCCATGCTTGGTATATAAATCTTTTTAACTGTTGAGTATCAAGTGGGGGGTTATCTTGTTTGCCATTTTAATTAACAGAAAAACGATGTTTATTTCATGTGTTCCATAACAGAATCGAGATTGCGCAATGGATACCCATTTCGATCGCAATTGTGCGTTTAGTTCGAGACATGTCTGTCTTAAATCATATAAATACTGTTTCCTCATGCATAATGGTGACAGATATGGCAAATTATTTTATCGTGGCAGTTCTACCATGAAACGAGCAGTAGAGCTTGTACCAGAAGAGTATGATAATAAATTTCCAGTTATGATGAGCTTTATCAAATTTTATATGGAGCCCACAACACTCTTAACCTTATTAGTGTAAACCTTGTTACTGTTTTATGAGATTAAACAAAAATCTTATCATATTTAAAACAAGAAAATAAGTTCTTCAAATGTTTGCTCCTGACATTTATGTAAATTTTTATGTGTTGAATTTACAAAGTAGTTTATTAAAAGCAAATTATTAACATTATAAAACATTATTTTTTCAGGTCTTGGTGATATTGTTATGCCTGGATTGCTATTATGTTTTGTCCTACGCTATGATGCTTACAAGAAAGCAACATTGGTATGCCAAATGGGTCAGGTGCCTGGTCCCAGGTCTATGGTAAGTTGATGATTTGTAAAAATAACTTTATATGTGCTAACATTAAAGCAGTGTTTCCAAACGTGGCGCCCACGCACCCCAGGGCCGCAATTTGATAGTTAAGGGGGACAATTCGAAAATGAGCTCTCTATTAAAATTATATGGAATATGAATTTCAAGTTTTCATTATATGTTTTGAAAGTTTAATTTCCCATTGATATTTTTTTAAAAGCTATTATTTCATTTTCTTAAAGTAAAATAATAGCTTTTAGAAAACTAAAAGGTGACATGGCACTAAAAAGGTTGAGAAACACTGCTTTTAAGTAACATGCGACCATCTACAAAAGGCAAATATTTTTTTATTCTCATCTATATATATTATATAGGCCTTAGAGTAATATTGAAATGGACACTAAGTGAGAATGTTTTGATACAGAGTTCCCGTCTGACATACTTTCATTGCTCGCTGCTCGGCTACTTCCTGGGGCTACTGACTGCGACGGTGTCTGCGGAGGTGTTCAAGGCAGCGCAGCCGGCTCTGCTCTATCTCGTGCCCTTCACGCTACTGCCGCTGCTCACCATGGCCTACGTGAAGGTACCTGGCTTCCTTAACGATTTAAACTGGACATAGTCATCTTTATACAAAGTCATATGCCTAAAGATATATTTATATTAGATAATAGTCTATAGTCTATAGTGAAATTTATAGCCAGTGCTTTATGTAATGTAAATGTAACTAGTTTGTTCATACCTTTCCATAACTAGATTACAGTTACACACAAAAAAATATGATATCTAAATCAGAAAGGTAAAGTGTTATAATAAAATAATTATTAGTACAAATTATATATGTATATATTTTAATAATAGTTTATCCATATTAATTAATTAAATATTAGCAATATTTGTGTCTGTATTAGTCGAAATAAATATATAACACTACAGTGTATTCCGCAGTATGAATTAGTATAATATCTATCCTATCTACACATTCAAGATCTATCTCATATTATATTTATATATCATATTTAATCAAAATGAAGTATACTTTTATTAGTATATTGTTATATGCTGGTTAAGAATTTCTATTTAATGTCGGTTATTGCAGTCGACCGGTTATAACGAACAAGCATGTACCAGTTGTTGAAAATAATAAAATATGTTATAGGGCGATTTAAGAAGAATGTGGAGTGAACCATTTATAACTCCACCGAATGGCAAGAGCAGCGCGGACTTCGACGTGTGACTGGCTACAGGCTCGCTCGTCATCTTCTCCGCTTGAGAGACTTCGCCCGCCGCCACGCTGCGCCTGCGTACACTCAGTTAGATGGTATACTCACTTACCGAGATCGATTATGGATTCTCTCTATGGTAGATTTTTACTTTTATATCTTCATATTGTGCTAAGGAATTCTCCGAATAAGTATCATTTCGAAATGTATAACAAAAATGAAATGGGAGCGCCGCAGAGTCAAATATATAATATTTGCCTCTATGTAAAGTATCGGTGGCGTGTGTTTTCGAAATTCCAACATTACAACATTCATAAAATTACTTTTGCAATATTACACAAATTTATATAAATGAGTATTCAGACTAACTGTAAGCATGCAGGCCAAATTGTGAATTGATGTTTTTGGTAATATACTGATGTATGTTTAGGTTAGTGGATACGCTTTCATTTCGTTACTACGGATTATTATAATTTGGAAAGTTACAGCACAGGGTAACTAAGAAACCTCTACATAACAAATATATTACGCTTCAGTATCAGGACCGGAGCACAGGAGTCTTGTAATAAATTATTCCATGACAATGATATATATTTCACAAGTACTCAATAGTAATTATATTGTTTTGGTCATTAACATGAACAAATCAAGATATCTGCCTACTTTCATTATAGACCAAAATGTCATTTATCATGTTGACCCTAAGTATTCTAATCGAAAACAACTTTAAAGAAAACAGTATGGTGACAAATATGAAGTACATACCATAAAACTGTTGAATGTTTTCACTCAGTGTCAGAAAAGTGGATGTCAGCAGTTTAAATGCGAAGATTTTATCCCTCCCAAATTTTATAAGGTATTATGAATTATCCTGGTAATATTGCCAGACTTGTGGGAGGTGCTATTGTGCTGATAAAAAAAACTTTTGATTACATACATTAAGGTCTATTTTATTTCTCTTATGAACAAAATAACAATTCGAATATGATGTGTAGGTTTAAGATCTTTCTATGAGTCTCAAATTTTGTTAAAAGTTAAGATGAATTTGAATCTTTCTTTTAGATTTTGTATTTCTAAAGAAGATTGTTTTAAATATGACATATAGAATTTGTTGATGTGATGTCTATGTTTTGCTTCACACTATGTTTATAATATGTTTTCTAAACCATGACAATTTTGTTCAATATGGTCATTTGTTGTCACTGCCTTAGACTGATGTTTTCAATGAAGATTTTTCTATAAGTATGTTAAATGGAGTATTATAGACAAAGTGTTAGTCTAAAATAATTAGAATAAGCTACTAACTATTGTTGTTATTATTATAACAACTGTATTGTTGTTGTAAATTATTTGATTGAATTTAATGAAACATGTTAAGACACTACATCTAAGAGATAGGTATACTTGGACGTGTGATTTAATTTTTTATAACTTTTTTATTTACATTTAAATTAAATTATAGATCATTATTTTGTATTATGTAATTGTTAATTATAAGTTTATTATGTGAAAATTATGAATACATCAAATAATATGAGCAGTATTTATGTTGACAAGTGATATTATTTTATTGAGGCTTCTATTGGAAAGTAACTAAGGGTAACAGTCATATACTATAATCTGATTACATATTTTATTAGTTATAATTTTAAAACTAAATTTTTATACCAGAATTTGTTATTTACATAATTTCTGTTTCTGAAACTTTAATAAAATAGTTTTGATGTATTTTTAGATACTCATATTTATATATATAAATTCATTGGTCACATGCAGGCATTTTCATTGGTGTACATAAAGAGTATAATATAATAGAATAAGTTTGATGTTAATTGATTTGCATCACCCATTTCCAAGAGTATGTAAATATTATCACACAACTCATTACCTATCCATAAAACTGGGAAAACACATTTAATATTTTTATATGTATCTGTGGATGTATAACTGGCAATACTGAATAAAAATATTAGATGATTCTATTAAATGGTTTCATTTTATAATCATGATGAACTGTTAATTTCTAATTAAATTATTTAACAATCTCATATCCTCCTAAATTTTATGACCCATGAAATGAAATTACATTGACATATCCAATTATAACCTGTCTATTAAGAATAATAGGGCTCATAATGCAATGCATATTATTACCTATAAGCTGTAACAATGTTTTTATTAAAGGTAAAGTTTTGAATGACTAAAGATTTTAATCTGTATCTTATATTCCTATAAACTGAAATTTTAAGAAATGAAAAGACCATAAGACCAAGATAAAAATATAAGAATGTTATTTATTCTTGGATTCAATGTCAGTATTAGTATCTCTCTTTTGAATGAAACGTAACTGTTTCTTCTTCATTCTTTTTAACTTGGCTGTGTTTGTTATTACTTGTACCACTTCTGCTTTCCGTTTATTCTCTTCTGAACGTTTTATGTTTTCTCGTCTCCGCTCTTTACGATTAACTTCTTTCTGTTTTAATTCCTCCAAGACCTGTTTTGATAGTTCTTTTGTGCGTTTCAGTTCTAAACGTAGAGCCGTTTTCTTTTGGAAATCTTGTTTTAGTCCTTTTGTTTTGTTTATAGTCGAAAATCTATAATCAAGTACATTAAAAAATAATGAAAATATTTTCATTTAGTTAATATAAAGTAACCCAATCTCTTATTAATTTTATTGAATGTAAAAATTTATAAATTTATACATACTTATTTTTTTTTGATTTCCAAAATCTTCCTGATTTTGGTTTGCCGGCAATTGGTTTATTTTTATCACTATTACTATTATTTGCAGACATTGAATTATTAGTCACATTTTCTTCTTGAATATTCTGATCCTTTTTTATGTTTTCAAGAATGGCAAGGACTTTTTCGTTGGTTCCATCACTCATATTTAAATCAATTTTAAACAGGTTTATTAAAGATTACTTTATTTATAATTAGAATTGGTAAATTTATTACTTATACTCAATAATTACCTACTAAACTTTTCGATTAACTGATACTAATCGGAAAAGATTTGGAAAAATAAAAACATTAAATTATTAAATTATAGGTTATAAAATTGAAGCACAGTGGAACATGTATTACAGATTATATAGTCTGCGATTGACTCATTCATAATTCCACAGATTACAAAGTTAATATCGATGTAATCAATATTGCTATATCGATATTATCGTTGTAAAATATTTACATTTAATAGGAACGAAATTACTATGGCTTGAAGAAAATATTGCTTTGGCAGATATTGTATTTAAAAGAAAAAAAATCGAAAATATACACTATATACTTTTTTAATGTCATTATGGTTTAAAGAAGTGTATGTTACAGAAAGGAGTCAAATTAATGTAAATGAATGAAATTCTGTTTATTGATGTACTTTGATAGATTCGAATGTTATTGACGTCAATTCCATAGTAGTTTGTTTTACTAAATGTCAATGTCAAATGATTCATTGTATTTAATTTCGACGATACCTTTTTACAGAAATAATTGTTATTATTATTATTATTTTCTTGTACTATTTCACAAATTAAGTGTAAAGACTGTTAAACTGATAATACAGCAATATTTTTATTACTCAATATTCCTTGCACAGTTTATTATCAACAATAGCCAAACTAACGTTTGCTTTGTGGGGGAAGCTGAATGCCTATTTGACGGATTTCTAAATTATTCCGTATACAGGAGTCTTCAAAGAAAATAAAGAAATGCCGGTAAAATTGCTAATTTATATTAGATTACATTTTGTTCTTATTCCATTTATGTATTCCTGAACTTAAGTATCTAATGAGTCAGATGTTTTCCATAGGCGTATCATTCGACGTTATCAGACTACACCCAATCAATTGGTAACTTGGCATTGTTACCAGTAAGAACTACGTTCAGAGGCCCGGCACCGACAAATGCTAAGTTGGAACTTGATATTGTCGACGAAGCCCTGAATTACTTTAAGGCAAATGTTTTCTTCAGATTCTATGAGATAAAGGTTAGTGTAACTCTGTAGATATTAGTGATGAACAAAAATAGTTTAAGATAAATGGGGGTAAACTAGTATTTATAGTGCAAAATGTGGAATCTATAAATATAGACATACCCCAGTACTAAAATATTGATTCTACATAATAAACTGGACACTATTAATTAGGCTGTGATATTTTAATGACCATTAAATCATGACAATTATTTTCTGTGTATAATATTATTGTTAGTTGCTTTTTTTGAGCTTTTTATATATTTTTAATAACTTTTTCAGTCAGATGCGGACCGTGTTTTAATATACTTGACATTGTATGTTTCGGAATGCTTGAAGAAGCTGCAAAAGTGTTCAAATAAGAGTCAAGGCCAGCAAGAGATGTACATGCTTGCTATTTCTAAGTTTGACATTCCTGGGGAAGCAGGCTTTCCCTTGAACTCTGTTTATGCCAAACCAACAAGCCCACAGGAGGCTGGTATGTTTGAATAATTTTTGTTCTTTATATTGTTTAGTAGAAATAATTATAATTGATATATTATTAGTCTCTATACCACTATTATAAATTAGAAAGCGAATAGATGTTTATTACCTTTTCTCAACTGAATGGCTGAACAGACATAAATGAAATATGCTAAAAAGAACAGAATTGGGGCATAGGTTACCTGTAATCTCTAAAAGGCCAAAGTTGAGGGTATAAACTAGTAAGTAATATTATACATATGGAAGCTTATAATGATCTTGTTCCATAGTCACTTATAAACAGCTAAATTAATCTTCAGATACTTTGTTATATGGGTATATTGATATCGCAGGACAGTTGTTATGCCCAAGCGAAATGGATTTAAAATTACAATACAAGTTTAATTTTCAAGCACTACGCTTGAAAATTAAACTTACTTAAAAAAGTACTACATACTGCTATATTTCGAGAAATTTTTTTTGGTTACAATAGGAATATGAATAATACTGTGTTGTAAGAATTGTTATTTTGAAAATATAGTTACTAGTTATTTCACGAATAACTTTATATTTTCAGATTTAATGAGGCAATACCTCCAACAGCTGAGGCATGAGACTGGAACGAGGGTCTGTGAGAAGGTGTGTACATAATATTTTCGCTATGTATTTTGATCAGTTATATGTATAATCCATATACTGTCTTTATGATTATTCCAGGTGTTTGCTACAGAAGATGGTAAACCAAGTAAATGGTGGCTCTGTTTTGCCAAAAGGAAATTTATGGATAAATCACTATCTGGACCTGGTCAGTAAAAACAAATTAGCTGAAATTTAATGTTTAGAATACATATTATTGTCTATTAAATGTATTTATTTGCGCTTATTTACAAGTTACTTGAATTTATAATTAAACCTTTTAATGTATAAAACATTTGAATACTTTAATTGACCACATTGTGAGGAAATAATATACATAAATATTAGTCAACACTACCCAATGGTTTATAACCGTCCTCACTTATTTCACATCTTTTCCTTAGTTTTATAATATATATATTAAATAAAAAACGAATAAGTTTTAATTAGTTTTATTGCTTAGACATACATCACATAGGAAGTATATTCATGTTTATGATTTCGATGTAATAAATATTACTCCTAATAATACATAATACTAATTTAAACAGTCTTAATGAGTTTAAAAAGAACAGACCGAAAATATATTCACATGTACTTAAATTCTACTATTTAATAAAAGTTGAATGAAATATATTATTTTGAGCAATATATGTACGAACCTATTTAATATCTGAAAAAATAGTATACATTTAATAAAACTAAATTTAAGTTACCGCCGATATTATTAGCATAGGAACCATATATTATTTGCTGACTTTCCAAACAATATATATTTTATTTATATAAAATCGAAACAGTTCCTAAAATCACACAAACTTCATCCCCGCTTGGAGAAACGAATATATTTATATATAAAATAGTGGTCTCTGACTATTATTTATTAATAGGCAGATGGGGATGAAGTAATAATTTAATGAGTCATATTGCAACTTGTTTTTAACCCTAGGATGTCATAATATATTAGAAGAAAAACTAGATATGTAAGATCCATTCCTGTTTGGGATGATAATGGGTTGTCATGATAATAATGATGATAGTAATATTTGTGGTACATCATTCGAAACATCTTCATCTATTTCTTAATTGCATATTAGTAAAATATGTTTTCCTAGATTAGTTAAATCCATATTCCTTTATGATTTGTCCAGCGATGACTAGTCTTTGAATTTCTGAAGTTCCTTCATATATTTCAGTTATTCTAGCATCTCGATAGTGTCGTTCTGCTGGCATATCAGAGACATAACCCATGCCTCCAAGAATCTGCAATCAAAGTTTATTTTCTAAATAATGATAACAAAGAATTAATTTGTGACGCTTTTAATAATCCTATTATAGTGATAATGGCATAAAAAAGCAAATAAATTGCAGTCAGGTGAATTATATAACTCTGCTAATTGACAGTCTGTGCTCTAGCTATTTAAGACACCGCCTTACTTCAACATTTATGTTCATATAAGTATAATTTTTATTGGTCTGTTTTCTATGAATATAATATATATATTGACATACAATAAAAAATGTATATAATTGTTTCTATTACTTGTCTAGTACCCATAACACAAACTCTGCTTATCTTGGGACTAGATAGCGATGTGAATTGTCCAGGTTAAAGAAAATAGTTTATCTATAATGGCACACTGGTAATTCCAATCTGATGAAATATAATTTTTCTATGGATAATTATTTTTGCAACAACCTATTAGTAGTAGGATGAGCATGAAGTCCAACTGAATTAATAAGGAATTAACAGTAATTTCCAGGAGTGACTGCATGGAGATCATACTGACATATTACACTTCAAGCAAGGGGACTCGTTAATAGTGGTGCCCATTAACATTTTCTTCTCTCCCATACCTTAGAATTACAACAGCAATAATAACATAACATCTTATCTACTTTTGTTGAACTAAAAAAAAATTATACCTGTATGCATTGGTGGGACAAAAATGTAGCTGCCTCAGATGCTGCTAACTTGGCCATTGCAGCTTCTTTAGTGTATGGTTTCTTATTGTCTTTGAGCCAGGCAGCGCGCCACGTAAGTAGCCGTGCGGACTCCAACTGAAGGGCCATGTCAGCCAGTTTGTTTTGTATAGATTGCAACTTCATAATGGGCTTTCCGAAGGCTGTCCTTTTTGAGGCATACTCTGCAGCCACATCCAAAGAAGCCTGTGGAAAAATATTAGAGAGTATAAAATTACTCTGTCTATACATTGAAAAATTGTTTATATGCTTGTAAATGATAAATTGAGACAAAATAAATAAAGAAAACATATATAATGGCAAGAAAAAAGCCCAAATAACAAGATCCTGGGAGCCTAATTTAACAGTATGTTCTAATTTATCTACCTACATAATCTACATAATTTTACAAAGCAATTAATTGTCAATTTAATCCTTATATTATCTGTGCAAACTACAAACCTCTGGAATAACTACTTGTTATATTGTACAATAGCTTTTACTTATATAATACATTGAAATACATGTTTCAGAGATGAGAATATACTTGAGATATCAAAATTACCTGAGCAATGCCTAACGCCTGTGAAGCAATACCAATCCTACCAGCATCTAATGTCATCATAGCTATCTTGAAACCCAAACCTGGTTGTCCTAAAATATTCTCTTTTGGAATCTCACAGTCTTCATACATCAGGGAACATGTTGATGATCCTCTAATGCCTAATTTGTCTTCCTTCTTCCCTAACTCAAGGCCCTTAATTGGCTTTGGCACTATAAATGCAGAGATTCCTTTATGTTTTAAACTCTTATCAGTAGTAGCAAAAACGACAGCTGCTTTACTCTCAAAGCCATTAGTAATCCAACATTTTGTGCCATTTAAAATCCATTTGTCCCCAGCATCTTTTGCAGTTGTAGATGCAGCACCCGCATCTGATCCATTGCCAGGTTCCGATAGAGCAAAGCAACCAATTGTGTCACCTACAATTATAAGTATATGATATGTAATTCATTGTATTTTACTTATCAGAAATATTGTGCTTACAATACATAAATAATTATTGAAATTTAATAATAATATAAACACACAGTTAAACTTTCAATAAATTTTTCATTTATGTAATTACCACCATGGTAGTATTACTACCACCATGTGTAATTACTGGGTGGTTTTTTAATTCCCGTATCAGTGTTAAATCTAATTTCAGTATTTTAATTTTATACTTTTGCTAATGACTTAGTAATGAAAACAAAAATAATAGTCTTAGGCATACCTGCTAATCATAATAAATCATGTAAAAATGCAAGAGTTCTCACTTATATCAACAATAATTATTTTACAAATGTGAATAGATATTCTAAATTCAGAATCATAACATACAGTCTATAATTTCCTGTGCTTATGTAATGAGTCTTTATTTTTTTTTATGTATTATAGTTAATGGAAATTAACTGACCAGTACAGAAAGGTGTGACAAATTCTTTTTTCTGTTTTTCTGTCGCCCAACCCAATAATGGGCCAAGGTAAAGAGAATTGTTCACTGACATTATGACTCCAGCAGAAGCACACCCTCGAGAGATCTCCTCTAATGCTATAGAATATGCTAGGTAGTCCAGTCCAGCGCCGCCCAGTTCCTCTGGTGTAGCTATTGCCATAAGTCCTAGTTCACCCATCTTTTTAATAGCATCACCAGGGTATATGTGCTCCCGGTCATATTTTGCGGCATTGGGCTTCAATTCACCCTCAGCAAAGTCTCGGCAAGTTTTATACAACATTTGATAGGTATCTGGTAAAGCTGAGAGTGATGCTATGCTTCTACATTGGCGGCCAGCAGTACCTAGAACAGAAGGTTGTTTAAATTATAGAGCATATAAAATTTATTTTACGACAATAATATTTGAAAACTACCATATATTTGAACTGTTTTCGATAAAACACTTAGCATTTTGTAACTAAAATTAAATAAGAATAAAACAAAAAAAAAGCAAAGTAAAAATTTAAAATTATTTAGAATTGTAAGAACTTTTTTTATTTGTTGATTTGAAGGACTTTGAACTGTTGTTTCGTTCACAGATTATGATAATGTCAAAATGTTCCGATTCAATTTTTTCTAAAGATTTAAATAATTTGCTTTTATAAAGTTGGACTTGTAGAACAAAGAAGTTACTACTTTAATTAAAGAAACATATATGAAAGTTAATTAATTGTCTTTTTTAAATAGGTAAATATCATTAAAATACTAATACTAATAATAGATTTGAAATTGGTTGAATACTATTGAAATATATATGTCAAATTCTATTGTCAAAATTGTCATTTGTCAAACAAAAACAATTTGGTATATAGCACAAAAAAATTGCAAATAACAATGATAAAATGGAGATATTGTTGAGATTGGTGCCCACGAATCCCATAAGATTTTCAGCTTCTAGGATATTATTAACCAATGTAGCAAATTACACAAGGTATGTTTAAATTTTGAAATTACATGTAACTTACATAACCTACAATTACAAATTATTCGATTTACAGATTAGCTGAAGTGGGAAAACTAGAATCACCAAAAACATCTGGTAAATATGATACTGGGCAACTAATTTTACATAAAGTGTTTGGGTATAGAGGAGTTATACTGTTTCCCTGGCTTGCTCGTGTATACGATAGAGATGCGACAAGCAAGAAGGAAAATACTGAGACATCAAGTACCACAGAGACTTCAGGAGATACTCTAACGAATGTGGGGAAAGAAGTTAAGGGCAGAACTCATACTTTTTATCAGGTTCTGATAGACACAAGAGATGCACCTTACATAGTGAGTATTTATATTATTAACTCTAATTTATTGATACATATTTAAAAGGCTATTTATGATAGTTGCAAATTTATTGACCTTATTATGTTTTGGTTTTTACTCAAGTGAATTTATCCATTAGTGTCAAACATGATTATAGTGCATTCACTGCAATGTCACATTTAGCAAAGATTTATTGTAGATTTAAATTTATTTATTACAATTTTAATAGGGACTGGTTCAGTTATTTCTTAACAACATTTCTAAAATAAATGTAATTTGTTCTGCTTACAGCTTAATTTTATTTTATACATAGTTGTGATTAAATGTCCAATGATAACAAATGATAATATTTTATTTTTAGTGATAAAATATTAACCTCTTTCAATCAGTATCAAGTGCTATAGAGTTATCTTTAATTTAAGTGTGATATTATGGGGAATACAAGTTCCCCTAAACCTCAATGTTATTTTATATATTTTATTGCTTTTAAATGTTTTATGTGATTAGTATCTGAGCTGTATTATAATAATTTCATATTATTCCATGTAAATGTCATTAGTTAACTTTTTTTATTAACCATAGCTCCGGTGTTATTTATGTATTGACTCTAGCTTAAGTTTGTACTGTAGACTGTTGTTTAAAGTATAATTATATGATTTTAAGAGGTGTACCCTCAAACGCATTTGAATGGCAGATTTAATTTGATTATATATGTATGTAAGATAATTATATTGAATTTCACTGTTGTTTATTTTGTACTATAGGATATCATTGCATGAGTGGCTTATAATAAATATATATTTGATTTTTAAATTCAATAGAATGTGAAAATAAATTATATTTTATAGTTTTTTTTATATATATATATATATGGATCATAAATATTAAATGTGAGTGATATATTTTTGACTGTGCAAACAAACATCGACATGAGACCTGAGTGGAAGAAAAAGGTATACATACAACCAGCTTAAACATTCTGTGTTGTGTTTTATGTATTAATAAATTAATGTTGACAATGTTTGGTTTCTAATCAGTTATGTTGCTTAGGCCTATTCATATCACATTTTGCATTACATTAATCATACAAGTGCATGATGTTTACACTGAATTAAATACTAAAAAATACTAAGTTAGTTCATATTAGTGAAATATTTGTAGCATGCAAATACTTATTTAAAAACATGCAACGCTTGATCATAAGGCTAGTAATGCAACATGTAGTACAGTGAATTATGTAATAAAATAATTTAGATTATGTTACCTGTTACCACTATTATAGTCCCACGGTTTTATACAATAATAATAAGGATAAAGATATTAAATTTACTTTGAAAAATGTATAAGGACTTAATTATGATGAAATATAATGAATTTAATAAATAATATTGTTGTTCCAATATTGGATCAATCAATTGTAGTAGTTATAAATAATACAAACATTTACTGGGGAATACAAACATTTGAATTCATGCTTATGTTTGTTTGTATTAGTCTGTGTTTTATTTATATACCATAAATTATGTATATTTTTACAAAAAAGTAACAGTTTTCAGGGTATGTCTGACATTTGTATAGTACCCACAGTACAAGATCTGATCAGATTGGGACTAGATTATGCTGTATGATATGTAACTATTTAACACAATGTAATTAACATAGAAACATATATATGTAATTATCATAGTAATTTTATCATAAACTAGCTGTGTCTGCGGTTACACCCACATGAAATTTATAGCCTATATGTTATTCTGATGTATAAGCTACATATATCACTGTAAAATGTCATCAAAATCCGTTCCATAGTTTTTGCATGAAAGAGTAACAAACATCCATCCATATTTACAAACATTCGCGTTTATAATATTAATAAGGGTTATATTTATAGTAGATGCTACAAAATGCTATGTCTTATTGTAAAATACAGTTTTGAAATGTAACTTATTTCAGCGGGCGCAGACAGAAGCGGTCACATTTCTTGGCAATCAAGAGTCAAGTCGGAGTTTATATGCTATTCCTGGGCTGGACTATGTAGCACATGATGACATAATACCGTATACTTCAGTGGAACGAGTACCATTGCAACATGAGCTGTTCGATAAGTTTCTTATGAATAATCCAGACAAAGGTTAATAGTTGTAGTAATATTTAATCACTTTTATTAACTAAGTAGTTATCTTAGTAGTCTTCTATATGTAAATTTGTAGACGCTATCTATCGGCGATAAGAACATAAGAAAAATAAATACGAGGCGTCTATTATTTTTATTAATTAATTAAATAAAAATACGCCATTTTAAATTAATAAGAAATAACACAAGGGGTTACTTTGGTAACAGGTATCAGGTATCAGGGTAAAAATTCAAGGATATTTTTATAAAATTATCTATATCCACATTTCTAAATTCATTTTTCCTTGAAACCTTCCTTATACGTCCTATTCACATATAGGAAAATATTTATATATACATATTCAATTAAGTATTTATTAATATAAGAGGGATATAAGTTTGTGTTATATGTACTAAGATGGCACTGAGTGAATTGTCTACGGTTATTATTATTAAATGTAGAATATGTATACATCTTTTATGAAATTATGTACTTAATATGGAATATCTCTTGATGTTCAGACCCACCATTCATAGCCCAAGAGACATTACGAGCGTGGCAGAAGAAAAACCACCCGTGGCTAGAGCTGAGCGATGTCCACCGCGAGACTACAGAGGGCGTGCGCGTCACCGTTATACCTTTCTATATGGGCAGCCGCGAATCACAGAACTCAGCAGTCTATTGGGTGAGAAATCTTAATACGTCTGTATAAGAACTATTTTCGATACATCTGTGAGAGATGTATCGACGAAGTGTGACGTAGTGTGACAATCGATGGGAGGAGTTATAAATTTCGTATCCTTTTTAAACTTGCATTTTATTAATATTTTTTAAACAAATCTAATTTGGAAACTGTTATATCTTTATATTAAATTTGAAGATGTACAAATTTTAAATTTATAGATAATCCCTATATAGATGTTCATACGCAGATAAATTTGCGCTGCTGCCTCCATAAACTTGGATAATTAATCACTACTGGACACTTTGAAAACTGTGCTAATGATATTTTAGTGGCGGTATTGCATTCGTCTGGAGAACCTGGGACCCCAGGCGGTGCAGCTGCGAGAGCGTCACTGGCGCATCTTCTCTCTGAGCGGCACGTTGGAGACTGTGCGCGGTCGCGGTGTGGTCGGGCAGGAGCCAGTACTGGCACGACACTCGCCTGCCTTCCAGTATAGCAGCCACGTCAGCCTGCAGGCGCCCAGCGGCCATATGTGGTACGCATAGACCTTTACATAAGTGTGGATAGATTGGGGATTAAGTTTTGTGTTTTTCTATATATTAATGAAGACACAATTATGAGGTTTGCTAGTAGAAGTTTTATTTTACTCCACTGCTTATACAAATACATAGATATATACATATTTTTTGTAAATACATGCATGATATACATAGAAAAACCAGAGAAACACGAACAATTGTACTCACTAATGCAAATAATTGTACCGTGCGAAGAATCAATCCCGCGACCATTGGTAGTAAGGCGGTGTGCTTAACCACCGAGGTCATCAATTATTGTGTATTATAGGATTTTATTCCGTGTTCTTTCCCATGCACTTTAGGGCAAGAAATATATATGTATATTGTATATAATTTGTTTCCGTAATAGCATCTTACCAATTCCCAGTGACGAAAAGGATATATACTGTTATTCCGTCACTATACGCAGAAGACAATATTCCTATGAACTTTATTTCAGGGGCACATTCCGAATGGAACGTGAAGATGGGTACACATTCGACTGCCGCATACCACCGTTCTCGTTAGAAAGTAAACCGGACGAGGGCGCTCCAGTGGCACCGACGCCGGCCCCATGATGTCACCTGTCCGTCCTTCGACCATGGCTGTTGCAGTTAAGACTATGAGACCCGATGTTGATGCCAAAATCAATAGTTCTACAATAACGATATCATGACGTCTGAAACCTAAGATCACGTCAGTTTGTTAGGATGTGATGAATATTGTTTTATTTGTGATGTTCATTCAGTCATTATTTTTAGCAAAATATTTTTTCTCATGGAAAAGAAATATTTGATGCTGTTATTATAATTATTATTTATTGTGTTCGGAGTGGGTGGAGATCCTGTTAGGTATATTCATTGCATCCATTGTTTGTTTTGACAAATTCCTTAGTCAATATTTTATTATCCTAGATCTGTAATAAATTACAGTATTCTGTTAATTTTCAATGCTTTTATTTGAGTCCACATTTCCATAAAGCTGTGTTTTCAACTTAGGGAATGTATGGCCGGGTAGACCTCCACGCGGTTCCCTCTGGAAACCATCGTTAAAAATTCTTCGTGACAGTGTTCATCTTATGTTTCACCATTGGTGCCCCGCCAATGTAAACCGTTAGCACAGGCGGATGATGAGATCCTTTCAGAGAAGAGGGTGAGGGGGGCTGAACTGAAAGTAATATTTTTAATATTTCATAAGCTCTTGTTTGGAGCTTTAGGTACATAATAATATAAAAAATAAAATAAAAAATAAATATTTTTCTCAACGGGATTTTAATTACAGAATTAAAATGTCTATCTACTCTATTATTGTACACAATGTGCAACATAAAGGACCACAAACCAGGCATAATAACGAAAATGAACAACCTTCCTCATACAAGTTTCATGAGCATGTACAAAATACAAGTGAAAAATTGTAAATATAATTTAAATATGTTCCTTAATATCTGTGCTATATTAATTAATATACTGAAAATTATTATTGTCTAACGCCATGCCTGTTTACCTTAGCAGTTTTGTTCCTTGAGGAAAATTGTTAGTTCCATTGTTGAACTTCACACTTCTAGATCCTTTTCCCTACGCCTTATACTATACTATACACTCAAAATGACTCAAATAAAGCTGTACAATAAATATAAATTTGTACATTGTTTTAGTTACATTAATAGGTTAGTCGTACTACAACTCTCATTCTCTTTACTCAATAATAGAGTTAACCTTTACCGTTTATTGCTATAAAACTTTATAAGGCTGGTTACACGTTTTATAAAAAGCTCTTTATAATAAAATTGTATGAAATTATGATTTACATGATTTAATTATATTTAAAATACTATATGGTGTGCGGTACATTCCTTGTATTGCTTGGTAGTTCCACAGTATATGAATATAGATAGATACAGACAGATAAAATTAGGGGTGTAATTATGTAACGATGTTATTAACAATTCTTAAATGAAAAATAAAGAGGTTTAATATTGGGGATTGCGATTTTCTCATTGAGATTTGTAGATGCGAGCGAAACTGTACAATACGCTATTGCATCTATTATGGCGTCTGTACATAAGTACAAAATTAAAATTATAGCTTTTAATTCGTTACAATACAGAATTATTAATAATATAATTACATATAAGACCCAGAGTCTAAATTTGAAACTAGTATGGAAGTTTCTATAAGCTATACGAAAAGTTAAAAATTGAAAAGTTACACCTTATGAAATACGCAACGTCAATTCTGTGTGGTGCTGTAACTCCGGATGTATAACGACTAGCTCTGAAGAGTGGCAACACCACACCTGGACTTTACAAGGCGATATAATTATAATTCTTATTTTAAGTATGGTATGCCACTATTATGGTATAAAAACGACACGGTACTTCGATTATTCAATTTTAATTAATTAGTTACAGTTTAATTTATTGCTTAATATAATGAGGTTTGATCTGCCTAATATTTGCTATACAACTGTATTCATATCATAAAATAAGCAATGCTAAATGGAAACAAAATTAATATTTACATAATTATTTATATTATGCCTGTCACCTAAGTAGTGAGCCCAGCTCATATATTAATGTAATTTTCAAATTGTAAGACTAAAAGCAGTAGTCAAACTCTAGCGACCCAATTAACAATACAATGACTAAGTAGGCACTTACTGTGGACTAAGGGCTCATGGCCTTCTATCAACTTCTAACAATTACTATGCATTTTTAACGGTTGCATAATCTACTTCCTTGCAATTATTTACTATATTCGCACCTTCTCCCATAAAAAGAATGTTAATGTGGAGATAAAGTTCGTTCAGACATACAATATTGGTAAAACATCTTTTATACATACAACATAAATATATACAAAACTTGATATCAACACTTTGTATAATTCATGTATACTAACGTATATTTGGTCGAAACAATTACTCTACACGGAGAATTTGGAAAAATGCACTGGCATGCATGATTGGCCGGGCGATAAGCATAGACTGTGTATAGAGTATGAATACTCTTTAATTAATTTCTGCAATATTTACTGCTTATTGAGATTTTTTGCAAGTTATTTAACTAAAATTAATTATCTTTAAGTACTGTAATACTATACTTTGTATTATCCTACATTTGTAGATCGAATTGATCAATAAATAAAGAAATTCAAATTATTTACATAAGTGTAATGTAAATTATAAACAAGTGCACTTCACAAGTTTACGCTCACCAACCGTTTTGTAGACGCCCACTGACCTTTTTTATCTTTATCTTTTGTATTAAAATTGTACAATAGAAAACGCGTTTTAGTTCCACTCCGTGAATAGAGATGATGTCATTTATCGAGCGAGTTGTATAATTAACGCTGCACACATCTCGAAGAACTCCATAGTGTGATGACCAGTTGCCAGCGGGGAGCCTGGTGGCGGCAGAACTAGTGGCGGCGGCGGCACCAGAGGAGACGCGGCCTCTTCTTCCACGTCCTCCTTTTCGCCAGACAGGGACTTGAAGTCCAGCAAGTATGACTTGTAATCCACTTGATACAGTTGCAGAGACATCTTTACATACTTCTCAGTCATCTTATTAAGCGTTCGCACCCTGTTATGGAGAAAAAATATAATAGTTATAATAAAAACAAAAACTAAACAATAAATAATTCGTCACGACTGTATTTAAAGATGCCGGTTGTTGTGGTAAACATAACACTTGGCAGCCGTATGTTTCTCTAAGTAGATATATAGTATAAATATTATATCACATTTTATGCCTTGATATTTTTTTATGATTATTTTTGTACCAACAATTAATCTCAGCACCTATGGTTGACCTGTACAAAACACTACATGGTGTTAAGCCTGCCATATGTACTGTTACTCTTTGTACTGAGTACTTTAAAGTTATATATATATATAAATATGGAATCTAACGACACCTCGTTAATGCAAAAAAACTATGATTGACTCACCAGCCAATCATAGTTTTTTTTGCATTAATTTGGTCTGTTATCAATAGTTGTCACCACCGGGAAGTGAGTTGGAATTTTAAAGTACAATGGCTAAAACGTTCTTTACATATTTTTAAGTTTATCGTAGAAGGATTATAACATACCGAACATGATAAGGATTGATCACTTTCCACTCATAGTCGAGTGCTTTCATAGCGCGGAATACTTCCAGCATTATGTCGTTGGGTTTGCTCTGGGATCTGATGCCGAGGTGCCATTTAGCCCTGTAGAAAAATAATTTGAAAGCTCAAAATTTATATAGTATGGTATAGTTATAAACAAAGTTGCTAAAGTAATTCAAATAACGACAAAAAATATTTGACTATTCATACATTACACGACCGTGGTGTTTTGTCACGGGTTCGAGTCCTTGCATGATGTGTATAGTTGTGTTCATGAGTATGTTTGTATCGATGTGTAAATGTATTTATAATTACAATAATGAATAGTAATTACAAAAGTATTTAAGTATTTTGTTCAGCTTGGGACTAGTTTGCGATATTTTTATTATATTATTATACAGGGCCAGTAGCCGCGAGTGCCGCCGAGGGAGACTGGGCTGAGGGTGAGACACGTACGACTTCGCCCTATCATATAGTATACAAACGAAGCCGGGGTGGAGTACCCCAGTAGCAAGCCTGAGTAAAGAGTGCAGGATGAGGATGAGATATATAATGCGTACCTCTTGACGGGCGTGCCGCGTTGCGCGGGCCTGTCCTGCACGGGCTCCCGCAGCGGCGCGATGCGCTCCGGGTGCGGCCGCGCCGCCTCCGCCGCCACGGGCGCCGCGGGCGGGGACTGGCCTGACACACACAGCACATACACGCTTATTATGTTTTTATTATCTATGTAGAATCTTATACTATTGCATGAAATTATATTATGAATATTTTATTATGGCATGTAATCGATTTGCACAATGTAAATTACCTGACAAGTATGCACAAAAAGTTCATGTTTCTGTAAGATCGAGAATACGATGCCATTTATGCTACATATAGACTATAACAATAATTGTTTTTATCAAAAGAACTCACTAGCAACATAGAAATCCTTGATCTCAGCTTTAGCGGCCTCGTCAGCAATACGTTTGTTGTCTATAATAAGGTGGTATGCGATGGCGAGCTGGTCGTGCGGGTCGCCGCTTAGTAACGCGTTGTGCACCTCATGCTCCTTCACACTAAACTTGTCGCACACTTCTGATATCGCCTCTGTGTCGATTACGCTGCTGTCCTGATGATATTTGAGAAAACATATACTTGATACACAATTTTTCAAATATGTATACAATGATAAAAGGTAACTCGAACTTAAATATATGAATGTACTAATTACTAATATCCTAAAATTCCTTAATTATACATGCTATATAAGAATGAAGAGACATGAGTAAATGTTATGTAATGCAAAAGATATTTTTTGTAAGAAATATTGCATGATATTTTGTGAGATTTTCTTTCTACCAAAAATTCAAGATTAAGCAAAATATGATAATAGAAAACATTTTTTAGGCACTAGTTTATTTTTCTTTTTATTTTAAAGCATCTGTCACTAACTTTTATAAGCTTTTATATTTGTTTACATACTTGCTCTACAGGAGATGGAAACAAGTATCCAGGAAGCTCCTTCTGGAACCAGTCATGCTTCTTTACATCTTCAATATTAGCCCTCTTCATTGGATCTACTTGTAGCATTGTGCAAAGCAAACTCACAACACTCTTGTTTAGATATTCAGGAATGGGAAATATTCCTGATTTGATCTTCCTAAACAGTGTTGGCACATGCTCATCATCAAAGGGTAATGTGCCACAGAGTAATGCATATAGAATGACTCCACATGACCACACATCTACTTCTGGACCAGCATACAGTTTTCCTGATATTACCTATAAAAAAAAATGTATCATAAATAATATAAGATACTTTACAGCATTTTACATATATAACATTTGCTTATTAAGGTCATAGAGATTTGAGACAAATATTTTTCCTTTTTTGAACTTTGAAATATTTGTCTTGTTGATATTCCATACCAAAAAGTAAAATATATTAAACAGTTCACCTACTGAATTAATTTTACATTTTGGTATTTATTATTTTATAGGTATATAATTGTCAGATGTTTAAATTTGAACAACCTTTTCTTTAATTACAATTTCCACTTACTATCAAATTTATTTAGAAACCATAAGTCCACTCAAAAATGTTTATAACTCTTTTTTTTGTTAGGGACTATGTGCACATAAAATACTTGAATCTCCGTTTCTGAATGAAAAAATGAAAACATATTTTAGATATATGAAAGTAACTGTGATTTAAGTGATATAAATTATATTTGGTACTAGCTGTGCCTGCCCCAAACATTTAACCATCCATACTCACAAATTTTCTTGTTTATAATATTAGTCAGATATTATAAACAAGAAAATAGATATACCTCAGGTGCAGCATAATTTGGCGATCCACAAGATGTCCTCAAAAATTCACCATCCATCATCATGTTTGACAATCCAAAGTCTGCAATCTTCACATGCATGTTGTGATCTAGCAACAGGTTCTCTGGCTTCAAGTCCCTGTGTACAATCATGTGGCGATGGCAGTAGTCCACCCCCGAAATTATTTGTTGGAAGAACCTTCGTGCTTCATGCTCTTGCAGTTTGCCACGTTTCACAATATAGTCAAACAGCTCCCCACCGGATACATATTCCATAATCATAAAAATATCAGTAGGAGTTGATATTACCTGTAAAATGTTTTTCCATATGTATAAATTCAAGTGTTTAGTGTTATTACATAATTCTAAAGAATAAAATCAGTTGTGGTGCATTTACTTCTTTTAGTTACAAGTACAGTAAGTACAGTAAGCTGTAACTGTGTAGCATACATGGAAAGTATGTAAGTAAAATTAATAAGGTTAGTTAACAGTAACCATTATTTAACAAGGTCACATAATAATAGCCACCATACAATACCACTTATATTTTCATGAGATTGATTATTAGAAATAGACAGATATGATGTAATTAATAGGTGCAGTCAGAACTTTTTGAGTTTTAAACTATCATCAAAATTAAGCAAATGATCAAAACAACTGATGTTGAATGAATGGTTTTGAGTGTAAATGTAGGGTTTTAAATTGATTACTATCTCCAATTAAAGATCACACATTGAGAGATACAACCATTAGATGGTATTGTTACTTCATTTTTATTACATAGAGTTCTGTCTATAGTTTTATGTTGGTCAGGGTTAACAGTGTTGTACTGGATATCAACTTTACTTAAAAACTTGTTTCCACATTACTTACCTGGTATAATTTTATAATATGGGGATGCCTAAAAAGCTTTAGGTTCTGTATTTCTCGCTTTATCTTGCCGACAACATCTAGAGACTTGATTTTCTGCCTGTTGAGGATTTTCACAGCCACTTTGTGCTTGGTCAATTGATGCTCTCCTATCTTCACTTTACCAAATGTACCTACTCCCAGTGTAGCACCAAGCGTGTAGTGCCCAATCTTGACGATCGGCTGGGTGCCACTAGCTACAATTGGTTTTTCTGACATTTTTTCTTAGTACATAAACTTCATGAGAAAAGAATATTTTAAAATACGGTTAAATTATAATATAGTAAATTTTGATGCACATTGTTTAACAACAAAATGCGAAATTGATAAAACTTTATTAGTACATTTATAACAAGGTACTAATTGCACAACTTTAGGAAAAAATACAAAAATAAATTAGATAAATAAACTATGACCAGTTACGATTGACAAATAAAATTATAGAAAAATTGACAGTGAGTCTATACTGACAGCTAGATGGTAAGTAGTAGACAATCCATCAGTTCATTGGATGTCAAGACGTCAATCTGATGCTATCTAGTTTCCATGGTTGCGTTCTTATTTGAGTTTTTGATAGTACTATTTCGTATTCTATAGATTTTGTACTCTGTAGCTATTACCCCGCGTTCCCCTCGCTGCGCTCTCTCCCCGCCCCACCCCGTTTGACTGTCGCCAATAAAGATATTGTGATGTACGAAAAATACTAATTTTCTCGAATTTTAAGAGTTTATTGGTGACAATCTTGTATATTTGTGATAAATTATAATGGATAAATGTGGTATCTGTTTAAAACCCGCAGTCGTAAGTAACTTTTGATACTTTATACTGTTGTTTCACGAAATCCGTAAAATTTTTATTGTTTTCTTTACAAGATAGATATAAAAATAAAGCCACTGGCAGTATTGGAATTTTTTTTCGTCCTGTTGTAGTATAATTTTACTATTATGTTGAATGATCTTTCGAATTATATTGAGATAGAGCGTAATGCAACAAGAAAAAAAAAATGCATCGGAAACCTGCCCGCGTTTTTTTGTCCCGCCTGTCGGACGGTCTGTTTTTTTTTGTCTGGCTCAGCTCAGCGCCCTGTAAAAAAACAAGTGACTTTGTTTTTTTCTGCACAGTGACCACAATGTGCATGAATAGTGATCCTTGACTTTTGTACCAATGTCTACTAGTTAATAACAGTCAACATTAACTTTACACAACAATTTCAAGGAATATATATGTAAGAAAACTGTTTCTACAGAAACTGTTATATCTGAGTATACTGGTTTATTGATAAATAAACTGAATACGCCCTATATTTAATTGAATGCTGAGAACAACTTTCAAAAGTTTTAATATTGTTTATAATATATCTACTGATATCTATATAAATATTGATAGTTATTCATAAATATAAATTTTAGTGTATTAACATCAAATCTCTGAAGTTTAAATCTCATTCTATTAATATGACCATTGACCAAAACATGAAGATATGTTGTTTATTTGTGGACATAGTTTTGCTTATATTAATAGAAAATATCATAATACAATATATATCTATAACATATAATACATAACAATAAACATATATTTATTTGTATTTGGAAAACCAAGATAATTTACAAACATAATAATGAACATAAAGTTGTTTACAGACAGCAAATTAAAAAGAAAAGCGAGTAAGACAAGATTTGTGTCTTAAGATCCTAATATCCATTAAAAACGATGTATTAATGAGTTATTTAATGAGTAATTTTAATAAAATAAATTGAACATGAACAATTCTCTCAATTGACTTCGTTTTTTGCTCATCACATGAAATTAATACATTTCCTACAACATAGTGAGATATATTTTTACAATAGAATATATTCCAAAAGTCCAATTGTATAAAGTATTTAAAACCACCACTTTAAATCCTTACTGAATTAATTATAATATGGTATGCATTATAAAAAACATTAATAGTTTCTGCATAATTAAATTCTTTTCTTAACTGGTATTTTCTAAATGGAATAATGTATCTAAATCTTTATAATTTAGTTTTTAAAATTGTTTCAGCAATTATTTGAGACTGGCAAGGAGGGTGTGTATGCATGTTTCAAGTGCCAGCCACTTGTGCCTGAAGTGACCATTGAAGACAGTTCGGCTGAAGCTCTTGATACATCTGAACCTACTGCCTCTAATAGTGAGGAGGTGAGGATAATATCAATAAATTATGTATATTATGTATGAGGGAGGAGTGGTATCATTTTCATATAATAACATGCCCATAATGCTATTCATGTATATAGGCGACTAACTAGTGTGCCAGGTGGACCATTGAAAGTGTGACATATATTTTATAATACATATATGTATGTAGCTTTAAAGAATTTAAAATTTTATATTATTCCACATTTCCATTAATTTCCATATACAGTATATTTAATTGTGAGGTTTATGTCTAAAAATATTATAATATAAATTTCCCCACTATGTCTGTATGTATGTTTGTGATCAATCACAAAAAGTACTGAAACTGATTTTCACCTATCAAGAGAATTATTCCTGAGAATTGCTTTTTATTTACGTCTATATGTTCGAAACCGGGGTGGGTCTCTATGGACTATTAATATTTGTTTATATATATACATAGGAGAACAATGAAGCCCTATACTGCGGCATTTGCGATAAAACGTTTCAGAAGACGATGCAGTTGCAGAACCATTTACGCAATCACCGAGCCGAGAGACGTTTTGTGTGTACCTACTGCAATAAGGGTAAATTTTGATTATATACTATTTAAAGTTTTATTTACATTATTTTCTTTTCTTTTTTAATTATAAATGGGGTATAATTATTTTTTGATAAAATTTATGAACATGAAACGAATGTTATTTGTATTATAAATTCTAATAAATATTCTTTTCTTATGAATATTTATTAGAATTTATAATACAGAAGGAATTGTTTTGTAATAAAATAGAAATAATCTTTACTCATATAAACTTGATATAAGCTGTTTTGAATAGCATTTTTTTTATTCTATCGTAAATTATTCGTAAGCAAAATTTAGCACACGTAGAAAGAAATTAGTCTGGTGCGCTTTTAAACAAATGTTCAACTTTAGATTGTTAAAATTTTGTGTGAATACAAATGACCTAATAGCAAAATTTACTAAAGACAGTATATCTTTAGTTACTTGAGTAACAAAACAGCTATTGTTATCAGGCTGACCAATTTCTACAAACAGTACCCTTTCACGAGTATAAAGGCTGAGCCAGCCATCATTGCGCTAAATCATATTTTAAGCAGCCTAATGAACCCGCCTATCACCAGCTGTCTGGATGTTTTAGTGATCATAACTTTGGTTTAAAATTTTATATTATCTTGATTTTTAATAATACTTATTACTAATTACAACAATATAACATAGGTTTATAAATCTCGATAAATGTACATATGTACATGTAAGAATTTACAGTTGCATATCCAAACTTGAAATAGCAAAATTTATTTTTAGGTAACCTGTTATTTCCTATTATTTTTGTATTCACAAAAATATCGTCATGTGTTAACAGCATTTTCCCAGTCAAACAACTTGAGAGCGCATCTCCGTATTCACACCAATGAGAGGCCTTTCAAGTGCGTTGAGTGTGGGAAGGCCTTTACTCAGGTAAACATAACCCTTCACTATTGTTGACCTAATAACTGAGGAACTCAAATTGCTTACATACACAAGGTATTCTCCTACTAACGTCGTAAAAGAAGTAGAAACATCTGACTATACATATATTATGAATGTATTTAATTAGATATATCTAAAATTTTAAATATTTAAATTTTCATATACATTTTTATATCTTTTATAAAAGAAAATACATTGATTGTTACTCCTTACTTTTTTAAATCAGTTTACAATGTAGTCATTATGAGTGTTACGTAGCCTATTTACTTCTTATTGTCTAGAGCTTCCGATTATGAAGAAATTTGCATTTTTGCGTTTATGTTTTCCAGAGGAAGACTGTAAAAAGTCATTTACATGGGTATTCATTCCTACCCCTTTGAACCGCCAAGTAGGAATTGCAACGCATGAAGGGTATCACGTGTTTCACATGATAACGTTTTCATGAACATAGGCTACGGTTACCGCTTACCTTCAGATGGGTCGTTAGCTTATTTGCCATTCTATTATACAAGAAAGGTTATCCAAAAGTCTATTAGCATAATAATTAGAGAAACTTTTAATTTGCAGGTGACAAATTTAAACAACCATGTGCGGCTGCATACTGGGGAACGTCCCTTCGTATGTCCAGAGCCGGGCTGCAACAAGGCATATGCCCAGGTACTGAACAAGCCACACAAACTAGTGTAGATTATATAGATCAGTCGTTATGAAAATAAAACTAAGCAATAAAATAGGTAACCCCGAATAAAAAAGAAATTAATAATATATATTAGTTAAGAACCATTAATATCATGTTCCATTATAAAGAAACAAAAACGTATCATAATGGGTTCTTTCGTTAACAGCTACGATGCCATAGACAAAAAGACGGGTCAAACTTAGAACACCCACCTTTTTGCATTGGGTGTCAAAAATAAACTTCACTATTAAATAATTTTCTTATTATATTTATTAATTTTCGTAATAATGAAAATTGTGTTGTGAGAATGTTTTTGTCAATATAGCATATTTTTTTATATTTTCGTCTCTATTAAAAATCATCTTAAATGTAATAAATTAAACAAAATTTGCAAGACAAAAAGTAAACGGAACGGATTTTAATGGCATTTTGTATGTATAGTAGACATATAGGTGTATATCACATTTATCTAAAATACGCCAGAGCCGCCAATGTCTAGTTCATTATAAAATAATTGTGCAGGTAACAAATTTGAATCAGCACCGCAAAAGACACTTGAACGGGCGACCAGTGGAGGCCACGTACGACTGCAATATATGCGGCGAGCAGTTCCAGCAGCGCAACCACATGTATACTCACAGGTGACTTAAATCAAATCAAAAATAATTTATTCATTTAGGACATTATAGCTAGTTATGAACGTTTTTTTCATTATTTCTCTCTATCTATTATTATTTTATATATTTTTCTATCTATTTTTATCATTATTCTTTCTTCCCTACCATAAAACCCTTAGAAAGACTATTTTATTTAACAAAGTGAAAATTCACCCCACGTAATGGGATAAAGGCAATGAAACAAAAAATATAAGTTGTCGCCTACTTGCGCGTCACAGATACGTATGCACACGTAATACATAACATGGGAGTGAAGTTTTTTGCTGTAATTTCAGAGAATAATTCAGAGAAATTTCTAATTATTAGTTATTATTGATTGTAGTTGTAGTTTGACAACGTGTTATTTATTTATTACTAGCTATTCGCCTCGGCTTCGCAAGGTTGTGCATGTATTATACATATAAACCTTCCTTTTGAATCACTCTATCTTTTCCTGTAAACTGCATTAAAATCCGTTGTGTAGTTTTAATCTAAGGGAACAGACAGCGGAAGCTACTTCATTTTATAACTATGTAAAGATAGGGAAACTAGGGTTATACTATATATATATAAAATATACAATATACTAGCTGTCCCGGCAAACGTTGTTTTGCCTTAAAATAAAAATAAAAAAATTTAGGGGTGGACTACACCTAACATTTAGGGGGATGAAAAATAGATGTTGGCCGATTCTCAGACCTACTCAATACGCTCACAAAATTTCATGAGAATCGGTCAAGCCGTTTCGGAGGAGTATGGGAACGAAAACTGTGACATATATATATACATACAATTAAAAAAACATACTGTGGTTTAGTACAGGCATCAGGTATCACAAATAACAACAGAATAATAGTGTTCATCGACATCACCACATATCGACATCGACATAACACAAATCAAGATTATAAAGTTAAGAAACTTACTTCTATTTGCAGTAGAATAAGTCCTATTTTCGTTCTTGTCCCAAGTTCTATTTGCATAGAACGTTAAAGTAAGTAATTTGATATTAATATATTATCATTATTTGCATTTATTCCAGACGTGAAGCCCACGGCGAGTCAAAGACATCGAGCAATCGTTCTGCTAGTACCGGTAGACGTGGGGGCCGGCACATATGCCAGGTTTGCGAAGCGGTGCTGCCGAGTGAGCGATTGCTGATGCAGCACGTCAACCAGCACGCAAACGAAGATGGCTCGCTGCGGACTAAGGATGAACGTTAGTATCGCATTCTGTATAATAAATCAAACGCAAATTGTAATTCTCATTAAAAAACTAAGAATATCAACGACCGGAATTTAGCCAATAGGTGACAGAGAGATTATTGGTATTTTAAACCTAGTGGAGTTAAGCAGTTTGTGGAAGATAAATTAATATCTAAACGGCCTAATCGATTAGCATAACATTTGTATCGACACTAAAAACACTTAAACTGTATTGATTACAAAGAGTACCTACCAACGAAATTTGTTCAATTATGGCGAAGGCAATGACATATACGTAAGTAAAAATAGAATATTGTAGAACTTTGGAGTTTTTACTGTTGACCGTCTGGACAGTCTGGCCAACAACAAAAATTCAAATTTTGTCAATTTGTTAAAATTTGTAGATTGGACATTAAACATCTATAAGACACACATAACATATTTTGGTTGTCTTTACGTTGTAAATTCATTCAGCTCAGTTGAATATTAAACACATAAACTCTCATTCTGATTTAGCGTTATTATTGCTAGATATACACATTTTATATCAGTTACAAATAGATAGTCACAGTTGCAATAACTTTGATATCTTAACGAATGACGAACTCAAAATTATCAACCAATATCATCAATTCATATCGTCGTTCGATCGATCATAAGCTGAATTCAAAGGAAATTTCTGAGAAGTGATCTTGAAAATGTGGAAGAAGATAAAAAAATCTGTATTGACTGCATAAGTTGTCCGTGCAGGTGCGGAGGAGGGCGAGGAGGGCGAGGAGGGCGAGGCGGTGGAGGAGGCGGGGGAGGACGGCGAGGGCGACGGCGAAGGGGAGGGGGAGATGTCGTGCGTGTTCTCGTCGTGCAAGGTGCGCGTGTCGTCTGCTCGTGCGCACTCGGCGCACCTGTTGCGTGCGCACCAGCTGCGAGTGCTGCCCGCGCCCGCCGCCGCAGACCGCCGCCACAACAACCACGAACAAGACCATCTGCCCCCGCGCCGCGGTCGCCCACCCAAGGTAAGGCTATATTGTTTTGAATTTTTTTTTTGTAATCGGTGAGGCACAGGAACTGACGGCCTGCGTGATAGAACGTCATGTAATGCTCGTGTACTTTCATGATATTAATATAGTTAAATAAGTTTTAATTCGATTTTGACCTGTCAGCTCATAGGTTGGATACACGATCTAGTATAGAACCCATTGTACTTCTAGGCAGACAAAGATCTTTTAGAAGATAGTAAGTAGTAGTAGTAGTTAAACACTTTAAAAATGTATTGAATGAAGTAACTTAACCTATAACGGCCCTATAAAAAATATAGTTGCACTATTTAAACTCAATGGAAATATTTTTGATCTTGTAGGTAACAAAGCAGCAGGACCCTTTACTAATAAAGGACTCTGAGTATCATGAGGTAAGATATGATATTTCAAATTATAATTTATTTCTAAATTGAGCTCCACCAACAAGTTTGTGGATCTTAAATTGGAAACACATGGAGAACGGTACTATGATCGACATTAAGTCGCCCATAATACCACTCGTGCGTTGTCATTATTTTTTGCGCAAGTCCATTTTATTACTTAATGGCTGGTCGCCAACACTTGTTGACTATACAAGGCCTAGTCTTGTATAGTCAACTAGTGAGGATTCGCTGGTCAGGATTCAGCACTAAATCTTTGTGGTCTCATACATGCTAATAGTAGTGGAATGAAACAAAATAATACAAATCCATTAAGTAAAATACACCTTACAATTCAGGTTTGGCGGTACCCCTGCAGATGACTTTGCTCATTGTCTGGTATAGATTCGGCTTTATAACACGTTTTGGGAGCGCAACCGAATTCGAGACTCGAATCTTTATTCTCGAATCGAATATGTCTATGCCATCGTCCTAATAATTTACATTGTATAATCATTTTGTGATACTTATTTATGTGATATCTCATATACTTTATTTCATTTTGATATTAACTTGATGTGTTTCAGGTAAAACTACTGAACGCCCGACAAGTGCAGTTCCTGCCGAAGCTAAAAGTGCAGAGTTTGTTTCAATGAGTGATCGGCACCGTTTGACATTGACCAACTGTGCCGTGTGACGAATATCTGACATTGTTACGTCTTTGATTAACGTTAGATTTATGTGAAACTAATAACCCGTGCTTGTTCTAAGCCTGTTGAACACGGCCATATGTGTAATGCAAGAAGCTTAGTTATAACAAATGACAGATACATCACAATGTAAACACAAAATTGATGTCAATACATGCTTTTGTAACTTCCCGTAGCAGTGTCGTAACTATAGCGTTCGAGGCCCGTGGCAAATTCATCAGATGCTCGATCTCCCCTGTTTTTTTTTTCAACAAATGTATTGAATTTGCAATTAAGTAGGTATCTGAAACAAATTAAATACATTTTTTTAACGAAATGTGTAAAAATAAATGTCGCGAGTTGAGATTCTCCTCTGACCAGATGTCCTTTTGCATTTTGCGACTTGCCACAATGTAGTTACGCCACTGTCCCGTAGTACTACTTTGCGATATATGTAAAACGCTTTTTTCCGTCATTTATAAATGTCATTATGTCATGGATTACGCTCATAACGTTAAATTAAATTAAAATTATATAAAAGGAATTTAAAGATTTTTTAAGAAATTTAAAACAGTATATATAAGGAACTAAAAATTTCCTTTTGAATATTTTGATCTTGGTCGTCACCGATAATGTGTTTTTCCAAGCGAAACTCATGTCTGGCATCTTTGTTTAGAGATTCACTCGGCCTCTGGGGCCTATTCTTTTGAGAAAGGCCTGGAGAAAGGGTTTTTATTTACGCTACAAACCTACATGGTTACAGACTTCTTCGCATAATCTACTATATAATATGTAATGATGATCTAAATCACCACAAATTGAATCTAAAGTTTATTGAAAGCGTAAAATAATATATTAATAGGATTATTATTATATTTCCATTTTCAAATTGCGTTATAACACCATAAACTTGAATTTTATTTTCAACATGAAATATGTCATTGTTGTGTTTTACAAATTCTCGTTTCATGTACGTCGTACTAATGTATCTTTGACTATACATACAAAACGCTAATATCATGTTATTATATTTTAGAAGTATTTTATTATATGTACATGAAATAAATGACAGTTTACCTACATATACAGCCGCCTTAGCATAGGTGTTGAACTGTAATGATCACATGTTAGTCAAATTTTAAGAAAAGATGAAAAATAAATTTGTTATTTAGTTACACAAAGTAGTGTAGGATCGGGAGAATTGTTTCACTTTAGTACATACATGTATGATTCAACTTGCATTGTATATTCAATGAGAATGGCAGGAGGATTGTTTTTTAAAAATCACATAGAAAGTCTTTCTGTCCATACACTAGTTGGTTTTATTGATATACTCATAACTTTAATGTTGTTTTTCTATGATTATTGATTATAATATATAAATATATATATGATGATATGCTATTGATCCTAAATAGGAAATTAAAATAATATTTTGAATACCTACATAATACAAGTACTATTTCATATATATAGAAGTATCTTGTACATTCAAGTATGGACAGAAGCAAATGGGGCCAGGGATACTTATCTTTTCATAGAACGTTTATTTTGTCTTCTGCCTACAAGTGGTTAACACGTGTGCTGAGTTGTATATTATTCTAAAAATATTTGAAAATTCGCAAATGATCTCCAAAAATATTCGAATATTTATAAGTTCAATATTTTTGCATTTACGTCCAATAAATATATAGTGTTCAAGAGTGCGACGTGTGGCCGGCATTCTTTTGCATTTAGAGTGAAATTATTAAAAGCAAATTCATTCATAAGTGATATTAGTAAGTGCAATTTTTTTTATCTTTGTTAACTTTTAATAAATAAAATAAATAGGCGTAGTATAAGAGTACATTCTATCAAAGTTTAAGTAATGTTTATGTGTTATCAGTAGACAGATATCGCTATTATATTTTAAGTAAATTAGTTATTAACCAGAATTGTATCGAATCACAAACCTTACTCAAATATAAGTTTTTTTAGAAGTAGATTGCTTTCAACTTAAAATGACATGCGAGTATGTATGAAAAAGAAGCTAACGCGTCTAGTCCGCACATCGTTCTTAAATAATTAAATTCCCTGCGTATAAATGTGTAGAAACATTTAAATGTTGGTTTGAACTAGGCGTTTTTCTAGTTTAATACAAACCCACTTAATTTAATGTATAGGTCAAATGTTTGTTATGAGTCATACGCGCTGTTTAATAAAATAAAAACTGGTATCAGTATCACTATTGTTTTAGAAATGATGTTTTGAAACAAGTTTGGATGGTCAATACCTTGTGTTACAAATCGAAGCACATGTTCACGTTATGTCATTAGGTCTGCCCTAGTGACGTAGAAGAACTACATTTAGATGTTGTTAATAGAAGTTTTCAATGAATTACTTATAAGCATTTAAATATTTATTTTAAAGAAACAAAAAAACTCAATAATTAAATTATAAGCAGATACAAACCCATTTTATTTATTAAATTGTATTGTTACTTTCTTTCAAAAGATTTTGAATGATTAATAGATTAATAATTTAAATTGGTTTTGTACATGTTTAACCTATTGTATGAGTAAGGAAGTTAGATAGTATCTTTAACACATTTCCAATACTTTAAAGTTATTCAAAATTGAGATTTCTCAAAGCTTTACGATCGAATTCGGATACATATAAATGTAATATATTAATATACTTATTTAATATAAATTAACTATCACAGTATTTATGAACTAACATAGTTGAATTTGTCGAATAATTTGAGTTTTATTTGATTTAGGTGCCCCTTACTCTATGGTTTTGAGTTCGTTTTGCCGTGGTTTTTCTACAGTTGGTGGTGTGACCGACGAAACTTCTAGTATATAGTCATTGACTGATACACTAGAAAATAACATTTTGTTGCTTTTAAAAGTTAAACATTATTTTTTAGGATAATTCATATTTAGATAACATTCTGTTGGAACAATAATCAATTTTTATTATGAGTGTTGCAAAATGTTCTGAGAACTATCGTGTTATGGGCGCAATAGCGTAGTGCTGTATCATCTGTTAATGTCTATGTTCACATTGAAGAAGGAGATTGTCTGAAATTAGTTTATCTGTATATAAATAGAATTCGGTTAAGCAGTTTGTAAGTTTAAAAAATAGAGATATATGAAGAGTATTGAACCTTTATAAGGACTTGCCTTCCTCACTGTGAACGTTTGGTTTCCGATTGATGGCCGATGAGAAGATCGAAGAGATTTTATATTATTGGATTTATATGGGCAGTTTAAGTTCTCTCTAGACGGTCAAAGATTTTACGTTCATGTCAATTATGCCTGTGTTTTAAGCACTAATTTATGTGCATTTACTACTACTGATGTGAAGTCAAAGCTGTACTGCATAGTACTCGTGACCTTTATATAGTCTATTTATGGTTCCTACTTAATAAGAATTAAGCATATCTATAGATCGCCATTTGATCATTGTGTTGGGATAACTTGGGTTTTTTCGGCAAATATTGCAAAAATATAAATTTTCATCTAGCAAGTTTCCTTATTTAGTATTTTGTGCGTTATCTAATTTTTTTAGCTTTAACCGCAAAAACAGTATCAAAAGATATATTAAACAAATAACATTTAAAGATAAGAATTTTTTTAATTTTAATTTCAATTTGTTTAATTTCCGCAAACAACTTATTTTACTCTCAATGGTTAAGTGCTAAGTGTAATTCTCGTCTTAAAAGTAAGGTAGACTGCCTAGAGAGGCCTCTAAACTTAATAAATTGATTATTGTTTGTTTTGTTTAGTGTTGAGATGAAATTTTATTTAAATTATAATGGTTCATCACCGTTATTATTATTATTAGGCCTATAAAATTTTGCTATTATTCGATCATCTTGTATATTGAGCACAAACGGAACCAGCTTGATGTCGACCCGTAGTTTACGTCTAGATTAAGGTGCAAATGTTCCTATGAGTGTCAGAATACGGTTCGTATAATTATATGTATTGTATATTGTATATGCCGCGTGTTGTATAGTCGACCATTTCAATTTCGATTTAGCCTTGTTAAGTGTCAGTATGTCGGAGATTTTTCTATTAACATACAATTATCATAATGAAATATACAATTTTAAATTATAATGCATTTTATTTGTGAGATCACTGTTTATTTTTTTTGTAGTCCTATGCCATTTAACATCATTTTTTTTAAATAGACAATTTTTTTGGGGTTATTACGCGATAGCTTAATCAATTCTGTAACCAATTGCGTAAATCTTGCAATTGTTTGTGAGATGTTTATATACACTATGTTATTGGTAAGGTAACGTACCAATTTTGTCACGATCAAAGTCAAATTTGTTTTAAGGAACAAATTATAAATGATATGCGGCGCTGTTGTGATTCTCCCTGATGTTTATGAAGAACTCTTTATCAATATTTATTGATACAGTTGATCTATGCCAATACCAACCTAATTAAACTGATATAATCTAGATTTCTTATTACTTTATTAAAATTAATATTATATGGGAAATAGATTAAATTAAATATCGTATGTAATGGTAAACTCATAAATACTTAAGCAATATTTTCACCTGTAGAAAGTTTGATTTATCAGCGAGTAAGACTAGCTATGTACATTTTATTAAAAAACTATCCTCTGCAATAAATGCACCTGTGATCGATTTGAGTTTATATCTTGGAAATAAATATAGATGTAATTGTGTAAAGTTATCTGTAGTTGGGTAAAGCGCTAGGATAAATAATACATATATACGAGTATGTAGTTACTTTCATTTTCATTTTATACGGTTGTCCGTTCAATAACCGGTTTAATCTCAGTGGTCCACATTGCCTCTGCTAGCCACAGAGATAGACGTGTCGTAGAACAAATTAACAGTTGGCCGTAAGTTTATACGAGGTTAGTACTCCAGCTTTTTAATATTTACATAATTATTTATACTTTATTTTTAATATTGTTGTAATAGCTATCCTGAAATTAGTGATTTAGTAGGTACCTACTAAGTGTGGTAATAATAACTGGAAAATTATAGTTCGGTGCATGAATTTGATTTTAACAACTTAAAAGAGGTTTTCAAATACAATGGTATTGTTTTTATGTTTATGATTCTTTATATTTTATATAACTTTCTCGGCAGTAATTCATTAAAAAATCTGATATAAGATTATCAAAATTTAAAAGGTTTTATAATATATAGAGTTAATTGGCACGTTTCACAATCGCAATTTTTTAATCTTCGTAATTTTCCGATTTACTTACTGACTTTTGTGTGCAATTGTGTAGGTACCGATCTGTACAAGAAACTGTGTATTATTAGTATAAATTGCTGATACCTGTTTGGTATGTAGGTACCTAGGGATGTAACGGAGGTAGTTTTATCGGAACCGAAGTCGGATTTGGAGTTTTTAAATTTGATTTATCGGAATCGGAGTCGGAGGCAGGGTCAGAAGTGGTGGCATGAGAAAGAATTTTTATAATTTTATAAAGCATTCTTTAACCATTTTTTTTTTAATATAAAATAAAACACAAGCAGTGAAAAAAAATTAGCATATTATTTCCATCACAAAATTAGCATAATTATATATATCACAATCTAACAATGTTCGCACACACAGTTGCAACTGATGTACAGTGCAACTGACATCAGGTATGTCGCCGAGTTTCATTGCTCGTATCACATTCGCGTACAAAACAATGAATTTTCTCTTTTCGACGACTTTTAGTCTTCTCTTTTCTCTTTGACGATTGAGTGCACGTAGCGGAGGTCGGCGGGATTCCCCGCGCGACATGTATGAACCTGTTCATAACAGTCGACACAGGCCGCCTTTGCCGCTATGTTATGCTTCGATCTCCGATTTAAAAGTGTCGGAGCCGAAGTCGGAACCGAAGGTGTAATAATAATCGGAAGTTCCGACTTAACGGAACCGGAGTCGAAGCTCCGTAACATCCCTGGTGTGTACATAGTAAAATACATGACATTAGACGTGTAATTCTGCTTCCTGGTAGGCTGTGAGACGGCAAGTAATTGAATAAACATTTGTTTATGCTATGTTTGTATATTTGTAATGTAGGTAAACCTGATATACAATTAGATGGCCTACTTATTCAATAAATAGAACACCTAATGAACCTTCAGCCTTTAAATGCATTTATGGTTAATAAGCCGCCTGGATTGGATGTGATTATTTGTATCTACCAACATTTATTCATGTTTAGTATATTCTTCTAAGTATTCTAAAATAGCATTTCTTGGAAGGCCGAATATACAAAATCATAGAAGAAATAATAATAAGAAAAATATTCTAAATCTAAATTAAAAATAACTTCCAGCGAGATATGGAACGCTGGCGTGGTCGGGTAGCTGTAGTGACTGGCGCAAGTGCCGGCATCGGAGCCGCAATATGCTTGGGCCTTGCCAACGCAGGTGTTTGTGTGGTCGGTCTCGCAAGGAGAGTGCACCTAGTAGAGGTGAGTTTTTTTAAATCACTGGAAATAACAATTAACTTATCTGGCTGTGGTTATACAATACGGGAGCATACTATCTACACAAAATAAAAAAAGAGACTTAAATGATTCTGTTGATGAAATACGCATGAAAATACGTTCAGTAGGTATAGTTTTCAGATTATCGCAAAAATAGGTTCTATATTAGAATATAAAAACTAGAGTTTTAAAATGTAGTTTTGTAGATTCGGTTTATAGGTTGTAGGTATAATAAAAATTTGAAACGCATTTTTTTTTAATTTAGGTAAGTATCTAACTTAATGTAAATTATTAAAAGGTAGGTACCCTCAAAATGTACTTATCATAGTTAAGTAACTTAGTAGAGAATATAATATCGGTACACATTAGGTACAAAATGACAAACGAGCTCCTCTATTAATGATAACTAGATACTAATTGTAACTTCATTTGCCGTTGTTATTAGCCTATAAACTATAGTCAATTGACAATTTGTGGTTTCCTTTAACTAGGACACATGCAAATTGTAACTCCGCTCGGCACTTATTATTCATTGTGAATAGCTGGTGGGCAGTTATTATTACGGATTACGAATCGTAATTTATGTCCTGGTTATAGCGCTTTAGCACACTGCTTTACTTCCGATGGTCGCGGGTTCGATTCCTCGCACGGTTCAAATATTTGTATTCGTGAGTTATTGTTTGTGTTAGTCTGGGTGGTTTCTATGAATGTTATGTATGTATTTACTAAAGTATTTGTGACAGTTTAGTGCCCATAACATAAGACTTAGCTTGCGACTAGATGACGTTGTGTGAGTGCCCTGAATTATAATTATTACATTTTTCAATTAATGCTACTTATTATTAACAATTCAGGAATTGTCATCAAAAGTTGAAGCTGGTAAAGGCAGTATTCACTCAAGGCAATGCGACGTTTCGAAGTTAGCGGATGTGGTGGCAGCTTTCAACTGGATAGAGGAAACTTTTGGAGGCACCGACATCCTTGTTAATAATGCTGGTGTCATGAACCCTGGTTTTATCACTGGTTAGCTGACATTGATTACTTGTCTTGTTTTGATATATCTATATAAAAAGTAAAAACATTAGATAAGTACCTACTTATCTAATGTTTTTACCACCCGAATTCCCCTGGTGTCGCGGGTGCTCATGAGCGGTGGTAATCACTTACAGATGAAAAGCAGGCTTATTTGTCACCTATACATAAACAATCAAGCAATCCCCTTCCCTCCGATAATTGCATATGTATAAGGTCTACCTCCAGCTGAAGTAATGATGGATGGTGATTAAAGATAATAGTTATGTTTCAGATTTGGGTGATCAACCATTGAAAGATGAGCAATTGATAGCAACAATTGACACCAATGTGACGGGTCTAGTAATGTGTACGCGGAGGGCTATCTCGTCCATGGTGAAACGACAATTCGATGGACACGTCATTAATATCAATAGGTATATTTTATACGAATTATCTATACAGAAGAAATAAAATTGGTTGGCTGGCCCAGGCGGCGGTCAGTTCGATATTAATAATAAAAATAAAAATAATAATACAAAAATAGACAATCTGGTCTGTCTGTTTTTTTACAAATATCTGAAACGGCTATAGCAATTTCGACTTTCACTCGCGGATAACTAATATTATCAGGAGCTCCGTTGCTCCTGATGACCACTTTTATTTTACAAATTGTATTTATTTTAATAAAAAAAGTTATGCCTATTTCACGCGGCCGAGGGCGAGTATAACAGCTATTATTAACATAAATTTGAAAATCCGTTCTCTCTCTTTATTAATATAAATAGGTATAGGTAGATTTAACTCTATGTACAATTAGGTTATAGTAACAAAAACAATATTTCAGTATTGCCGGACACTACATTCCATTTTCGCCATTGTTTAACGTCTACCCAAGCAGTAAGCATGCAGTGACGGCCTTTACCCATTCACTTCTGAACGAGCTGGCGGCCTTCAAGAACAAGATCAAAGTCACGGCGAGTGTATTTTTACAATCATTACCCAATTTATATACAATCCTGATGTAATTGATTAATATTATTATTTACCTATATTATTATTATTTAACATTATTCATAGTAAGTTAATTAATATAATATTTTAAGGAAGGTGTTAGGTACATATAAATTATAATACAACCCCGGATTCTTCAAGTCTATGGTGAATAGATATCTTCTGGGTAAGCGCAAACCCATTATTAATAAAAAAAAATGTAGATGGTTATAAGGGCAGACGAAGACCGAAAAAGAGATGGATGGACTGTGTGAAAGATGATATGGTAAGAAAACGATAACGATAACGAGATGACTGTAAACAGTGATGAATGGAAGAGAAAAACATATTACGCTGACTCCAAAACTCACCTATGCAGCATCATGCATGATGTGATGTCGCTTCTAAATGTATTAGTTTCCAGTAGTATTTATAGATATACAGTGAGTATACAGGTGGATTGATTGTACTACATTACTAAGTTTATTTGATTGTTAATCAAATATCCACGCGGTTCCCCTGTAACTATTGCTGTCTCATAGAGAAGTAAGGATTACATTGTTTCTAAGTGGAACATAACTAGCTGACGTATTCGTTATTGCAGGGCATCTGTCCCGGACTAGTGGACACGGATATGGCATCGGAAGCGGCTACTATTTGCCCAACACTCCGGCCCAGTGATATTGCAGACACTGTTTTGTATGCTCTTTCAACGCCACCCACTGTCAATGTAAGTAGACTGTCTGACTAGCTACAAAATCCATATTAATATTATAAAATTTAAAGTGAGTCTAATCTGGTTGTTTTATATCTTCATGACTAAACGTCTAACCAGACCAATGAAATTTGGCGTGAAAATAGATTGTATCACAAAACTAATAGGTTATTTTTCAACTAAAAAGGAAGCGAAGGCTCGAACAACAGCTAGTATTATAAATTAAAAATGTATCTGACTGTATTACGTTCTAACTAATCATTTTCATGACCATACGACTGATCTGATTTTAACATGAAAATATCATGAGGATGGACATGTGATCGCAACTGACTAAATACTCGTAAACAGATAAGGAAACGGGTAATAGCTATAAAGCAGCATAATTTAAAGATGCTTTAATAACGCATCTTTGCCAATTTTAGAACCGATTTTCTCATCCTTTTTCAATTGATTCGGTTACTTAGATATAATGCGTATTTCTGGTATAGATAAATATCTACATAAATTACATATGTAATTAAGTAGCGTTAAGGATGTTCAGATTTCACGTTCCTATACAAGATCTTTATCTTATTTTTAATAGTTATATTATATTATTTTGTAATTAAGTAGGTAGGTATACCTTTAAAAATTGTTATAGAATGTATCTATATTTATTTCCACAGATCAACGAAATATCCATTTCGCCAATTACAGAAAAGAGACTTTAAGTACATATATGGGTAATATATATATAAGAATTTTAATGTATAGGTACTAGGAAAGATAGATGTTACTCACTTTCCATGCAATCTGTAGGCGAATCTTGTTGTTATTTGCCACTTAGTGAAGTACGGTCATTTTTTATTTATATTGAAAATAACTTTGTTTTAAACAATTTAATATACTGTATGAAAATAAAATGTATTAAATTAATATGTAAAAATATTATATTTTTTACGTAATGATCCTTTTATTTTCGACATTAAAATTCCTTTTAATAATAGAAGGGGTAATCAGTTAAACACATAATTTATATATGCAGAATGATGTTAAAAACAAATTACCACTCTTAACGCTCGATACTAAAACGAATGGAAGCCTAGAAATCTTTCAACTATTACAAAATGTCGCAGGAATTGGATTAGAAACATATTGTTTTACTATGAATCAATTTGTTTATGGTGAAACAATTAGTACAAATTAGTTTCAATGATATTATAATAATAAAACTGCATCAATTATTAATTTACTTAAATAATACTTTATTAGGTACTTAATTATCAATGGCACATTAATAGCATTATAAGTTACAATAATTTATGTAGTAATAGTATTAGACGCCGAAGCGGATGCCGATGCCATCACACTGGCTCCAAACTGAAGAAAAGACCGCAGAATTGACATTTTCAAGGCCCAAAGAGGCGATGCTGGCGGCTGATCTGACGACTGGCTCTGTAAATGTATAGAAATTAACTTTAATATATAAGAGCAGTAAAGCGTGAGTAGTAAATGTGCGAAAAACAGATGAGTAAGAAAGAGAGAGAGAGACACAGACAGGAAGAGAGATAGGTGCAACAGAAAGAAAGAATACGAAAAAAGATTGTAAATATTTATTTGTGCAATATGAAGAAATAATAATTTATGTAGATATTCATACCTAATAACTTAGATAATGATAAATAACGAAATGGCTGAAAGTAACAAGGCGTTACGTAAAGATATAGGTATTAAAAATATACTATTAGGTACTGAGGAGGTTTTCAAAACTGCTTGTGTTATTTAACTACTTAGTATTATTTTATTTCTAATAATGGATTTATATATGATATCAAAAAACTCATGTACATAGTTTAGTGAAAATATATCTTTTCTCCTAGCATAAAATATACAGTCTCTGGCAATACCACACCTAAATATACATCATTTTTTATATATAGAGTCCAATCTATATATAAAAAAGTTGTTTTTATTGCCTAGCCGTAATTACACCTATTTTAATTTTATCATCAGCTTGAACTCCCTCCTGACATGTCTCCAAGTAGAGCCGTAATAAGACTTATGAAGAATCCTGCTGAGTCAGCCATTGGCATTTTGTTCTCCTCGGAGCTGGCTTCAGGATCGCCAGCCTGCAAGTAATATACAATAAAACAAACATGTACCGTCTTTATGTTGAAATGGAGAAATTAAGCAAGCAACAAATTATAATTTAGCAATTACAAATATCCTAGTATATTCTTTCTATAATGCTCACGATTTCTGAGACAAGTTTATGGACTAGATTAGATTTAGAAAAATAATTACAATCTAATTAGTACATACCGCACTTGTTCCTTTAACTAATTTCGATACTAGATTTCCAAAGAAAGCACCATTATTTTGCTGAAAAAGAAGAATATAAAAATTTTATTACTGAAATATCAGTAATAATTGTAGGTACTAATGGTTGTTTATTATGGTAATCTTACTGCGCCGCCGCCTGTAATAGTATCCAGTGATGTGAGAAGATAACTAGCAATCACAGCTCCTGGATTCTCTGCTCCTTCAGACTGAAAACGTAATCATTGTTATACAGTCAAAACTCTAGCAAATGAAAATACAAATTTTGTAATTACGAAAATAATATTGTTCGTACCAGTAATCCAGCAAATAGTCCTATTCCTGATGCAATTAAACTGTTTAGATCCAAGCCATCACCCTAAAATAGAAAGAAGAAATTACATTTAGTTTATTTTATTATTATTAAACATTATATTCTATGTTGATATGTATGTAATGACAATATACTTACACTGAGATTTGCAACAATACCACTGACTGTTGCTAGTAAAGATCCCAAATCAGATTGGCCGTCTTCCTGAAATATTATTTCAGATTACATTCTATCTTATTTTATATCTTTCTTATTAACAAATAAATAACTAACAATTATTTGTACTTACACCTCCACTTAATCCAGCTAATAAACCTAAAACACCGCCTCCTTGTCCATCGCCACCAGGCGGTTCATCAGAATCATCAGAACTGTTCTCGTTAGATTCTGAATCATGTTTCGAATTAGAAACGTCGTTTCCCTTATCTTCGGTACTAAATACTTCCGCATCGTCGTTCACTTCTGAATCATTATCGTCATCATCTTCATCAATTTCTGAGGTGTCATTTCCACTTTCATCTATTTCGTTTCTTTGAAAATTTGGCGATGGCACATGTGGTTTCAAATCTATTTCATAGTCTATATCTATTTCATTATCTCCAATATCTTGTCGTCGTAATATATACCTTTGGTTATTGTAAAAGTACAATTCTCGTAACATGTTGTGAAATATTGGCTGTAAATAATTATATGATTATAGTTTTATGGTCTTTACATTTAATATGCTTCAAAGACTATATTACAATAATAGATATATAACATTGCTTACCTTGTTATACATAGGCAGTAAAATTAGTCCCATCCATTTGTTCTTGGTGGACGCAGTAGGATATATATTAGTGCAGAAGCGCCGCAAACAAACACGTGAAAAGTGCAACAAAATTACAACATTGTCATTTTGCTCTTATCCTCATTTTAATTAGTAAACCGTGACCGTGAAATTGTTAACGCATGTAATAACGTGAAAAAGTGATTGATCTTATATTGTTACAATAAATTGTATTATATCACACATAGCTTACACATTTTAAACTTTATAGTTTTTCTAACTTTCAAAATAAATAATATTAATATTGCAGGACAATTCACACAGCGCCGTCTAGTGTCAAGTTAAGCAGAGCTTGTGCTATAGGCACTAGACAACAGATATAAATACAAATATATATTTTTTATAAACACATACTTATTATATATTGAAAACATCGATACCGATACACACAAACATGGCAATATCTGTAGTAATTAGCGCTGTGTGGATTGTTAATAACACTTAACAATCCACACAGCGCAAACAATTCCCAAGCTAAGCAGAGATTGTATTATGGTTACTAGACAACCGACACAAATACTTTTTTCGTAAATACATAGATAGATAATGTAAATAGAAACCACTCAGACTAATAATCAAACAATCTTACTTATGAATACAAATATTTGTACCGTGCGAGGAATTGAACCTGCGACCATCGGAAGTAAGGCAGTGGGCCGAAAACAAGAATATTCTTAATTCAATTATTCGACTTTTTACGAAGAAATTTGATTACGATATATTTTTACCATCAATGTGGCAACTTAACGAGTTGTTCTATACTAATATTGTTGCGATTAGAAGCAGTGTACTTTTTTTTGTACATTTTCGAACAACAACAAAAGTTTATTCGCTTATTTGCCAACATTGTTACCCTGTTGCAGTGTAATTATATCATTGAGTATTAGTTGTAGCACTGATGACTTACGTTATCTGCGCCGCTCAATCCAGGCAGCAATGCGTTGGCGAGTCTTAACAGACTGAATATGTTACTGCCTCCGACAGTAGACGCTGGTTGCATAGGTTCATCGAAGTCGTCGTCATCATCATCGTCAAAGTCTCTGTTGTGATTTGTAATGTCATTGTCAGAGTCTAATTCTTTGGAACTTGCATCCTGAAATATATTAATCAATTTCATAACATCTGCCTTTAATATATAATAACTCTTCCATAAAAATTTTAATATCTTTTACTACTATAAGTATAGTACAAAAACAGATTGAAGTGCTTGCAATTTTTGACTCATTTATACCTACCTTTCGTAGGTATAAATGATCATATCTATAACAATAGACCTTATCGATAAAAATATAAGTATTTGTAATCTTAAGCCACCAACAAATCAAGAGTGAACACAATTTGTTTCTACCGATTTCAAGAATGAGATATAGTAGTGAACTTCAGGGTTACGGAGTAATAACATCTTAGTCCTCAGGAATAGCAACAAACAGAAGAGTACTACAGGAGTCACGTGATGTCCGTGATGCTATTTATAGGCTGCTTCTTACCAGCTGACTCAGCTGGAAAGTACCTTGTTTGGCATTACAGTTAGCTTGAGGTACCTACTCCTGATTTGTTGCCATTTCTGGACAAGAAATGAGGAGTACCGCGGGCGTCATGTGATGTCCGTGCTGCTGTTCATAGCTTATTTAGTATTACAGTTACATAAAAATATAATAAGTACTTACAGAATCAGTTGACAATTTTGATGTGTCCTTTGAAACTCGATTATTGTGGTGAGAGCTACGTCTCCGTCGAATGGGCTCTATTGGTACGCTGAAGGCATTCGCCAAAAGCGACAGCACTAGGAATAAACTCACTGACCGACTTCGCACCATCTTCGTAACTACTGGAATGGCTACACGCAATGTCACTTAATAAATAAATAGCAAATTTAAGTACATTAATGCACGTTAATTAATTAATAGCTTAGACAAGTGATGGTATGTTAGAATTAGTCATTAGAATTCAAAATTTCCGTTAATGATTAATTATATAATTAATAAATGCACCACAATAAGTCTTTAAAATTATTAATTAATTAATTTAATGAGAATGAGGTTCATTAACTATTACTATTTAATTATGTGATAATAGAATTTATTACAAGTTGATAATTTATGCAATTTAGAAACATTGAAAGCTGATACTATGCTTTTATTATTTACATCTACGGAACAAATAGGTACCTATGAGGACTAGTTCATATTAGGGGACGTAACTTATATAGTAGCTCAGTTCATAATATCGAGACATATTCATTTAATTAATAATTTTTAGATATATATTTTGAGTGATATTTTACTACGAAATTTGCAATTATAGCTGATTAACCTTTTTCAAGTCAAATCAGTATCTAAAAACAAGTCTTGCGAGTAGATAATTTTAGTTCTTTTTATAAATAATATAAATAAGAATTTACTTAACAAATAATGTATATAATATATATAAAAAATAAAAATGGGTAGCCAGACCCATTTTTATTTTTTTATAATGTATGCCTTGTTTTAGATGAACCCAATGTTTTGTCTAAAATTATATATACATATTTAATAAATAATGTGAACAGATTTTTTGTAATTTCTTACCTGTTTGACTAGATGTTGTCGTATCAGTAATCAGCTGCGGTTTAATCCAACGTACGCCGATGGAAATACCTTATAATGTAACCAAGTTCCTGGCCACACTACAGGGTGCTCACTAACGTAATAATATTCAAAAACATTTTTAATAAATATTATGATTTCAGTGTTACATTTTGGATATAAGAATTCTATACGATATATAAAAGAATATTTATTACCAGTTCGTGGAAAATTATATATTGATTAACTCTTGGTATTTAAAGTTACGTAGAAGAAGTAGCAAATAATTTACCACTGCACTGATATATATAACCGTTAACCGGCCCTTTTATGAATTAAATGCTCATCAATAGTGTAATTTGGTAGTCGCAAAGTCTTTTGCCTCAAGTAGGTACGAACTAAAAAAAATAGTTTTCATGTCATATTTAATTAGCCAATAATTTTGCACATATTTTATATGTTATTGATTTATTGTATTGTATTTAATTTAGATTGGGTATACATACATAGAGCTGGTTTACAATTCAGTTTTGTACCAAACTACACGCTTCTAAACAAATTAATACAATTAATCGTAATCTGTTTTGTGCGCTAATAAACAAATAAATAGGTGACGGTTGCCCATCACTTACAATCAGGTTAACTGTCATAAATGTATTGAAAAATGTTCAAGTATAATTTTTTCTTCTCTGTATAATAAAAAGTAAAATAAGGCTAAGAAAAGTACATTATAGATATCTATCTAATTTTTATTTTTATCCTTTCCAAAGAAGTAAACAACCAGAAAAATCAAATCTTTCCTCTTTAGAATATTAGTATGATATATGGATAGACAGCCTGTATATAGGGGCGTGTAATTCCATCGAAGGTCCCGCAGACGCGTAGAACATCGCCATGAGGCTATCATTTGGACGGCGCGGCGGCGTGTTGCGCCACCCGAATTGCCAAAGCGTCGCGTCGGCAACTTCCGTACCCCACAGAAATCATCATGCCGACTGTTATAGTACATCACAGTGGATATTCACTTCCTCTGTGTGAACACTATTTGAGGACGTATGGTTTTATTGTACAATAATAATTAACTAATACTAGTCGTGACTTCTGTTGTTTTTTTGAGACAAAAGATAGTTCTAATATCTAGACGTAAATTTTCATTATATCATTATGCATATCACACAGAGTCACCTTTATCAAACTAAGCAAATCTCTAAATATTATATACTTAAGTATTTAATTCTTTTTTTATATATTATATTATATATAGTATTCATCTGGGTATTTTCTATATCTATACTTATAGAAAACACCCAGATGAATACTATCATAACATAATACAGAAATATTGCTGCTACATTGGTAAAAGAAATTATAATGAAATTATTATTAGTATTATTAGACATTATATTTTTCAGGAAAGGTCATCGGTAGCTATACGAATGGGGATCGTGAAGTTGTTTTTATTAGATTATAATAGCATAATCTCGATAGCAACGAATTATGTATTATATTAAATAAAAAACCAAATATGTAGTGATATATTTATATATTATATTATAGTATAGATGTATTTAATTTCTAGGCTCTTCGAGATTAAAACTAAACGTTGATTTCAAATTTATATTTTAGCGACTTCGGTAATATAAAACAAATAATAGAAATCCTATACAAGACTATTTACAAATTCTACATACACTAAACAAACTCTTTCGTGGGTTAATTTTCGTGTATCACATGATAATGTGATGCGCGTGATAACATTCATGCGTGTCCATTAGACTAAAACTAAGACCTCTCGGTTTTTACCCTTTAATCGCACTTGCATTTACTTCTTTAACTCACTTAATTGCCTTCAATCAAAATATCTCTAATCTATAGATATCAAAAAGATCTCATCAAAGATCATGCATAACATATGACTATTTTTTATCTTGTGATTTATATCCTCATGTGAGCGGTAGAAATCGTTGTTTCATATAATTATGGGGTAGAAATACTCCCTCAGATAAAACCAATTGTGAAATGAGCAGAAAGATATTGTTCAGAACACAAACAGAAAAGAACTGTTAAAGTTATGACCAACCAGGTAAGTACTTATCATAACGTGAATAATGAGCAATGCACGTTACCTATTATTACATTACTAATTAGTTCTTTAAACTAATTCCGTAATTATATAATAGTTAATATGAAACCATGATCGTTAGAGAACTCTTTTCTGCGCTACAAAAATACCAAAAATATCCGTTCATTAAATAGACTCTAATTATACTTATTAAAATGAAGCGATGATATTATACGAGAGGTCAACTTGATCAGATCAGAATACTTTTTCCAGAAATATTTTATTTCGTCCTATAAATGATCAGAATATACTCAGTTTTGACGTTATGATCTAAAAGCATTTTATTTTAAGTAACTATTCAAGTATACGAATTAAACTATATCATTAAAGTCTTCAGTGTCTCACCTAGTCATGGGTCTTATTGTCATCGCTACGCCTTCAGATAAACTATTATATTCACACATGTATTGTTTAATCTAACACGCAGCTTCTAGAATCAGGAATCCAGAAGACTCCCGAGTCTAGAAGTTATGTCAATTGACAGCTGTTAAAATTGTTAATTGGACATACTACCAATTATGATTTATGGAATGGTTATCAAACACTTCTAACATTTGAAAAGTCTAAATTGCTCGGCCAGCTATAGAGGTCAGCTATATTAAGAACTTCATAGGATTACGGAATTTAAAATAAGGACATTCGTAAAAGTAAACCTATAGCGCAAATTGTTAGGGTGAAGTGGTTATACATATCTACGGGTCTTTAGTTTGAGAACCAATAATCAATAGGGTAGTGATACTTTCGGAGGCTCCCTGGTAGATATAGTGTATAAACATGTGATTTCTCACTATATGGAGCGAAGAAAAATTCCAGACAGAAAGTTAAGAATGCTATTTCAGGATCGAATTGTCATATATGATCTATTGAACCCATGTGGCTGAGCTTTAATTTGTAGACACTGAAGAGTGTTCTTTATGATAATCTATCAAGAAAAATTTATGAAATTATGACTAATCTGTCCCTACAGATGCATCAGCTCTGGGTGGTCTTAGTTTCTCTAACAGAGGTATCGCCACACCTACTAGTTCCTCCCAAGCGGCGAGTCGCCTGCACGGATCGCAATCACATTCCTCTTCTCCAACTAGATCACCCTCTTCGAAGCCGAGATCTTCACCAGAACAAATAGTTCTGCCACCATCCTCATCAGAATCTAAATTTATTTCAGGCTCTACGCTGTAGGCTTTTATAAATGGCGGCTTCCGCGGTAATTCATAGTAATCGTCTTCGTAGTTGTTGTTGTCTACATCGAATTTCACCTGAAATATTCCATACATATTTTTCTTCTTAAGAAAATATTTAAGTGTGACGAACAGCGTAGTTTATCGGAGTAAATCTTATTCATGACAAAGGCGTACCTTAGCATAATAACCTACTAAAGTCCTACTGCAAGAGATGAATTTCTTCTTATAACTCGAGGATATACATAACATTATCATTGTATAACATAGTTAGTATTAAACATTATTTCGATTTTTTTTTACTAGTGCGATATCAACTTAGTCTCGCTAGTTGGCTTTTATAATTATCTGGATTAGAAAATATGAGTAGGCGACATATGTTTGTTTTATTTATGTACTCTGTTCACAATAAGAACAAAGTAAATTCCAGTAACAATAATTCTAATTCGTTCACTGCAGCAAATTGAGAAACTCCTTTTCAAATCGGTAAAGTAAGAAAACAGTCATTGTTATTAAAGATTGATTTCCTATCAAGAGATACCAACACTTACATGGTGTTTAGAAAGGGCTGGATCGCTGGCGCGTCGCTCACCAATATGCGAGGCTTCACACGCTGCAAACACTGACTCGTCATCTATTAAACAAAGAGGACCTAATCAATTATATCATGTGTGTTATATATAAACTAGCTGTGTCCGTAATTTCACCCACGTTAAGTTTATAGCCTATGTGTTCTGATGTATAAGCTGTATTATTGTATAGTTTCATTAAAATCAGTAAACAGTATAAATAAAAACTAAACAAACTGTATGTGACACGTAATGCTATGCATGCATGGTACTTAATAGTATACTGCAGCAGTGCAAAATGGCCGTAACTCAATAAAGAAAGTATTAATTTCTTAATAATTAAATTTAATATTGTTTTTTATTTATTTTTTGATAAAAAATAAATATCAAATAATATTACGGCAATAACGGCTAATAAGATGACTGGAATAATTGAAGGATTTCTGAGTGTATATTAAAAAACATTTTAGGTTTTTTTAAACGAGTAAACTTACGTTAGTTTACTCATTAGTTGTGTTATTGATGGTGGGATGTCATTTCAGAGTTCTGCGTAGTCTGATGGCAACTATCCGGAAATGTCACAGTATTGTGTTTCTAGAAAGCGAGTTCAGATCGGGTAAATACGGAGACGGTTACCGATGAAGAGTGCGAGTGCGTTAGACGCGTGATGCGCGTGCGCGTGTGACAGCGGCTGGTGCGCGTGCGCGTTCCAGAGTGCGCGCGCGAGCAGCGCAGCTGCGGGTGCATCGCGGGCCGCCGCCGCCGCAGCCAGCGCGCGCGCAGCCACGCCCGCTGCCACCGCGCCTTCTTCGCCCGCGCCAGCGCCGCACACGTTCACCAGCACGCCCGCCGCCGCGCACCGCACTTCCGCTTCCCCTGCACGTGCAAACCACCACTCACTAAAAATGGAATGGAAATGAAGGTTGGGCGGCAACCTCGGGGCAAACCCCTTTGTCCCGTTTTCCTGGATGTATCTGAGGAGTATTACAGGCATAACGATACATGGTGTCCGTGGCGCTCTTCAGGTTTGCCACTTACCACAAGATGAATCGTCAGCTTGGTTGCCATTCCAATTACATTACAAAAAAAATATTCCAGTATCCAAGTATTTTACTTTGTCAGCTGTATTTTGGTTGTAAATTGTATCACGGATATCATAGGGATATGATGATGATGCTCGTGTTGTTGTTCATATATGGGCGACTGTTACTCCTTACCATCAGGAAGTCAGCTAGTTTACCATTTATTTAATTAAAAAAAAAAACACAAAATTCACCAATAATCGGTCAGAAAGAGACCGAGAGAAGTAACAGCAAGGAATATCTTTAATTTGATATAGGGTACAACTGGATACAAATGGTTTACCGTGTTGTAAGAAAGGTACAAGTTTTTGCACTGCTCCCTCAAGGACGATCAGCTTGGCGGATCTAGTGCATCGTGATAAATTTCCGAGAGCACGCACAGCCTCGCATGCAGCCGAACCACTGCCGTCCAACCAGCGGCATGTAACTATTCAAAACAATAGTATCTAGAGTAATGGAAACAAACAAACCCTTTACTTGATGAAAGAACATCGTAGTTCTTCGGAATGGAAACGCATGAGAGGTACTTCGTATGTTACATGATGACGATGAATGTGGTTACCACTTACCATTTGCTTTTGTCTGATGCATGATTCAATTTAAATAATAATACACGTTTTAATTGAAGCTTAGCAAAGTACTTTGAGGAAAACCTTTTTATGTGGTTGATAAAGTCCTCCAATAAGAGTTTTCTTAGGTATTTTCTATGTAAAGGCTGCGATAAGCAAATTTTTATTACGTATATGTATATGGAATGTTATGCACATTTAGTTAGGCTCTTTCTTTTATGTTCTACTTGCTTCTTTGGTTTTCGCGTTCGATTTCTCTCTCTCTCTTTTTTTTTATATTTTTCCTTTTACTCAATCTTCCACTTCATGCATCAACCTATCCTATTTCACATGTATAGATATATTAAAATAGTATTTACCTCTACAGAGAGTATCGAGAATTTTATCTAACGGGTCCGCTGGCTCTGGTGGCTCGCGGTAGAAAGTGATGTTGTTGAGTGTTGCAAATGCTGCTGTCGCTAACTCTTCACGACGTTCTGACCAACTTGGACGTTCTCCTCTATCATGATCTAAATCCTGCAACTATATATTTAAATATGTTATATTCCATAGCTACATTCTTGGTGTAGCATATTAGGTAGGCTACTTTACTTCATAAGAAAAATGTCACGACATAATGCTATGCCGCTAGACGAAAACTGCGCATTATTGAGAAGAATCGAACATTAGAATCACAGTTATTTTTCTGTACTTTCTTCAAGATTGCGATAAGTGAAAGTATTATTTATGAGAAAGTATATCCATAATTGTTTCTTAGATAGTCACTATATACTTATAATATTGATCGTTTAACAAAATCCTTACCATGTCTAAAGCTGGTTTTTCGGCTAATTCAAGACAAGCCATCAAAGCTTTGATGGTTCTCTCTGCATGTGTCTCCGCCAGTCCCCGCCCTGCTCTCTCGGCCAAACACAAGTTGGCGACCACTCTAACAGTCTGCCATGAAAATTAGAAACCCTGCTATATTATGAGGTGATGTGAAGCTAGGTGAAGTACGCATTATATTAGGAATCGTCGACTACAGATAATAGATTAATGGAAGTGCCGTGGAAGATACAACTTAAAAACAAATGTTGGATTGACTCGGCCATGCAGATAGAATCAAGAATACAAGTTCAATTTGCTATAGTAACATATAAAAATATAATCGAATTGAATTTGTAATTAATTGAAAATATTTAGAAACTACAGTAAATGTACCTACATGATTTACGTATGTTTTTCTAACCTTAATTAGAACATCTTCATTTGAACCATCAGATCCGCTCAAATCGGTACCTGGAATTGAGTTTCGAAATTATTTTGCGATTAATTTATTTAGAGAACTACTATTCATACATATCCTCATGTATCAATCCTGGATGATGTAGTCAATAGTATTGTGATATTGTCAAAAATAGTTAAAAACACAAAATAATGTAGTTACTTACCCACTAGATGAAGGTCAGGATCCGTTACTGGATCCCGTGTTTCATATTCGTTACGTTTACTGTACGACTCCAGTATTGTGAGCAGGACATCAACTCCACCGTCCTCATTGTAAATCTATTTACATTAGTTTTAGATTATTGAACGGAATGCACAATATGTACTTAGATAAAAATGCTTATTTCTATCAGCCAAAAAATTTTTACACATTGCTGGCGAAAAGTTCCAACTTAATGATTTATCTATTTATTAATGGTATAAGTCTTACAATACTAACAGTCACTCAAAGGTAGTGATACAATTTTGAGATAAGTCCGACATTGTGCGCATTATTTTATAATTCAATTGTGTTATTTTATATATAAATGGCTACTCGCACCGACTTTGCACGGGTGGACATGTATTATATAATATTATACATTTCAACCTCCCTATTGAATCACTCCATCTATTGCCTAAAACTGCATTAAAATCCGTTGCGTAGTTTAGTTTAAATCTAGGCAAACAGACAGCGGAAGCGACTTAATTTTATGTTATGTAAAGATTTATTGTACAATAAAGTATTATGGCACGGCTGCGGCACTAACGTTGAGCCTGGCGTGGTGGTCGGCTGCGGCCATGTTCCCGAGCGTGTACGCCAGGCGCACGGCGAGAGGAGCACGAACAGCACACGCGGCTAGCGCCCGCAGCAGAGCGCGCGCAGCGTGCGGACACGCGCACAACCAAGCACAGCATGACTCCTCGCCCGACACCACGCTACCGCACACGACAAACGACTCACGCACCACAAACGCATACTTTTAAAGGCGATACAAAGGTGCTTTTCTAAGAATATACTGTGTAATGAAATTAGACATGAATTATGAAAACCTCGTGATCATTCATGTCTAATTTCATTAAGATCCTTTAGGTTGTTTACTCGTGAAAATTAATAAATAGAGAAACAAACTTTCGTACATATTATATTATTATAAATGCGAAAGTTTGTATGGATGGCATTGGATGGATATTTGTTACTATGTCACCCAAGATCTACTAAACAGATTTTGTTGAAACTTTACAGTAACATGCAAATGCAGACACATGGGCTCTAATATTATGTAAATTGGGCAAAATGTAATGATTAAAATATAAAGTAATTGTGATGTAGACGAAGTTCCACGGGTCAACCGGTCAAGGGTTATACATTAGCTGACCCGGGCAATTTAGCAGGAAAAATAATCGGCACCTGAGACACCGCGCCACGTTGGTGAGCACGTCGCGATCCGTGTGGAGCTGCAGCGCTGCGAGCAACTCCGCGAGCGCGCCACTAGACACGAACGTGCGCACGTGTTCCTCCCCGGCGCCCGCTAAATTTCGCAGAGCTCCAGTTAGCTGGTACAGTGCGTGGGTGGACTGCTCCGCTACGGCTCTAGGGTTTTCTGCTTTCTATAAATAAATGCGTTAAGTATATTATACAATAAAAAAAAATTATATAAAAGATACAAAAATCATTAAATTAAAATTTTGTTAGTATCTGCAATACTTGGGAACAAATTTTTTAATTATGTTTTTATTTTTTATCGAGTTTTTTTTATTCTCTCTAAAATTAGGGTAAGGTTACTTTAATTATATAAGCCTATTGGCCTTATCCGCCTATCGGCGGATTGGTGGATATCTGATTATAGAGCAAAGACATAATTATAGAGTTATTGATAATTTACAAATCTTAAATGTATCTTTGGAAAATTATATCAGCGGAATAAAAATTAAATTTTAAAAGAAGTTGAAACAGCGCGCTATTATGCATGGAAGAGAGATCACAAAAAACAATCACGCATGATTGCACGCGCTGGTTTTCCCGCACTAAATCCGGCGCGCTGCATTTCCTGCCCTAAATCGTGTACGCTCCTGATCGTGCGTGAAAGAATGTGTCGTGTAAACGTAGCTATTGAATAACATACGGCCGTGTTGAGTATCTTGAGATGCAGGGCGGCGAGGTGTAGGGCGCCGGCGCGGTGCGCGAGCGAGCACAGCCGCGGCTCCAGCGCCAGGAACCGCAGCGCGCCCGCACCGTATACGCAGCACTCGCCCTCCGACACGGGGTCCGCGCGCCCGCATCCTTCCACCACCAGCTCTACGGTATATTTTATGAATGATGATAAAATGATGGTCCCGTCTGCGCTGCTTAACGGAATACTGGTGATTAATGATAATTCATCATTATAAAGTAGTTAAATTGATTAATTTACCCGACTTCATGCTTACTTAGAACCATCGCCGCCAGCGCATATGTACAAATTGTGTGGAACATATCTGGCCAAAAATACTTACAATAAAAAATATTACATTTCAATTTGGAATCTGCTGATTCTATGCTATCGCGCTAGATGAAGATACCTCTTAGTACCATGTTATATTTTAAAAGATGACTTAGAGCATTGCTCATTAAGGACATACTTCTAGATGTGTCCGGTTAATTGAAAATACAAATGTTAAACTAATGAAAGGAACAATGTAAGCTTACCCAACAGATTAGTATTTCTAAAGAAGTGATCATTTTTGTCATTTCTTGCTATCTTGAAGACTAATTTACAGGCAGCTGCTAGGTGTGCTCCGGTGACGCGCATCTAAAAGTATTTAACATCATCATCCTACCTTGATTACATTAATTTGAGGTTCTACATAATATTCTATCCAGCTATTTGTTATATATTATAGCTATGTTATATCTATATTATCTCTTTGGGCATGCAACATAGTTTAACAAGGTACTTTGTAAAGTAATCTGCGTGGGTACATCAGTTTCACTTTTCATTTCAGCCGCCAAGCAGCTTGCTCCAAAGGTTGTCTTACGATTGTAAGTCGAGAGAAAGTAATTAAATTAGAGCATAAGAGACGTAACATTTTAGATCTGCGAATGGCAACGCAAACAGTATCACGAGCGTCACATGATAATGTGCCATCCGTCCTGTATATAGGCGATCGTTAGAACTTACCATGATGTGATCAGTCAGCTTATTTGTTATTCCAATTACATAAAAAACAAAAAAAATTGCTTATGACTGTAGTGTTTATGATCCATATAATGTACATGCCATAATTTTCTATTAATGGTTAAGAAAGCCTTCGGGTTCCACTTACTGTCAACATAGCTCTGGCAATAGCCACTAGCACCCTTTCATCGTCGCTGTCTATATGCGTGTATAACGAACGCAGCACCATGTCACGAAGAGTACTGGACGGAATATTCCTCTGTATGTTGTTCTGCAGCGCATCCATCAATTGTAAAATGCGATCTACATCACGAGTACGCTCCGATAGCACTTCAGCTAATTCTAGGACGGTTAAGCTAAAAAAATGCATACATATGTTACTTATATTGATTACTTATTGGGTTTGTCCCATTTTTGTACTATTTGTTAGAAATGTCTACAAATAAAACGTGTATGACAAATAGACTGAATACTGATAATGCCAATGTAAATCTATAATATTAATAAAATAAAATAAATTATATATGTTAATTACAATTTATTATATTCACAGGTTACTAACCCTCTGCATTTAATAAATTGTAGCTAGGAAATATAGCACACATTAGCTTTCCAAACAATAAAAAACCGCATCAAAATTGTTTTATTCGTTTAGGAGCTACGATACCACAGACAGATACACAGACAAGTCAAATTTATAACACCCCTCTATTATTAGTTCATTATTAGGCATCCACGACGTAAGAACCTCATGAAAAATAATAAAAAACTTTACTCAGTTATTATGATATCGTGATATTTGGTAGTTTATATTCACATACCTACTTCGACTAAAGTTGTAAAGTTACATAACAGATTTTTAGAAGGGAAACATTTTTGTCATAGCATTTTTACCAGCCAGCCTAGAATTCTGACCCAATATTCTCATCTGAATTTGCATTCATTACAAATGGGTAAAATAAATAGTTTTAATTGAAAAAAGTTAAAGATTATTTCTATTCTATTCACACAAGAATCTAATATACCTGTCGAAATCCCCAGTCGATGTGTTCGGCAGCTGTACAGCCAATTGTTTGACTGGAATATCTCCAAGTGCCTGGTTAGTACTGACGTCGTACGATTGGGATTTACTTCCAGCGAATTGCCTCCGTTTAATGCCCGCATCGGGACTTAGAGCTAATAAAAATTACAAACTATTTCAATCCTAAAATAAAATAGTTTTAAGATAGATCTGTACAGTGGTAAATTGTTTTTTTTTCATCAAAGGATAGAAAGCAAAGAAGAATTACATCAGATCTTCAAAAACTCTCCTGGAATATGTGATATCAATTAATTCAAGAGGACACATAGTAAATATTGACGTTAGTGATCTCAATTTTTCTCAGCAGCCATATTTATTAAATAAATATCATTTTCAATATGTATTTAGTTTGGTTACCCTAATTCAATAGAGTGGTACATTCATTACATCACATATTGACATTTTTATTTTAGTCTGTATATAGATAGATCGCATTCAGTCCACTCAAGTACGTATTAAGGACTTCATGAAGTAAGTTATTCTTACATTTGCAATAATCTCCATATTCGGCAACAGAACTATCGCCGTCGGCGCTTCCTAATGGTCTGATAACTGATATCGCATGTGCTAATTCCTGATCTGTTTTGAACTCTGAAATTATAAGTATAAGTCATCAGAACATATAACCTAGTGAGCGCTTTTTTAATTTGTAATGAAATTACATAGTACAGAGAATTGATACTCAGTTTTTTAGAATAGTAATACTGAGGGGTATCACATGGCGACGTCAAATGCTATTCGTTTATATTGGCGACAAATGCCACTTGACATCTGGTGGGCTGTCAGCTTGTTTACCATTCTTGTGATGAATCTGCGTTCCGAATGAGTGGTAGAATAAAAAATATTACTGTTCAAAAGTATGTGCTTATTTATATTATGTTTATTTGAATAAAGATTCGTTCCAAATACGTTTAAAAATATAATAAAATGTCGGCCACTCTGCCTTCTCGCCAAGAAATTTATTACAATTTGTTTGTGTGTAACATAGAATATAATGGAGATACCATCAGTTTGGCCTGTAGTGTTCCTGCGATGTAGCGGTTTGCTTTTACCGCTTAGATGGGGCAGTTTAGTAAACCCGCCCCAAACATCCGTAGATCGGTCTTGCACTAGTCGTGTAGGGTTTCGGATCTAAAAGTTATAAGAATATTTTATAAATGACCACTTTAATCATGGTTACAAATTCCATAGGCAGACTAAACATACAGAAAATCTACGTTTGGACATTACAACCTAGACAAAATGCGGAATGGCAACCGTTTTGGTTGTAGCTGTATTTACTAATTCATTAATTATGGAATTATAATTATTTCAATAATGTTACTGTTCATTTGAAGTATCTAGCTAGTAGTAAAAGAAGAGTGTCCAATGTATATATAATAGACAAACTGTAAACTGTACGTGTAAAATAAATATGTTTCTTTCTTTCTATAAGTACATATAAAAAGACAGCAAAACAGAAGCAACTAAGAAGGTACGTGTTCAATTCTCAACTGTCGAAATACACTATAAACTTATTGGGCTATTTTGTATGAATTTCCGTAGAAACTTATACTTTACATAATAATAAAGTAATAAAAAAAAGTTAATCATAAATCTTCAAAGTAACTTGCAAGGATTATTAGACATATTATAAAAAGAGACTCCATCCAGATATAACACTTACGGCTGGTTTCCTCCTTGTATTGGTCTGTGGTTCAGTTAGGAGCACACCATTCAAGCTGTCTTCGTCAAGTTTGGAGACTTGAGCGCCGAGTATAGCTGCCGTCAAGTCTTCATTGCTTTCTGACAGACTCAAATACTTTAGGCTACATGGAAACAAAAAAAATAACTATATGAATTTTAGTTTGTCATCTCCATATAAGTCATTTTGACAGTACAACAGTACACAAACCTCTTAATTAACTCGTACTAAAATATAGTACGTTCAGAATTCCAAAATAAGAAAGCGTACTAGATATACCTAAATCTACTACCCGACTACAACTAAATAAACACGGAGTTTATTTAGAGTTAAAAATAGTAAATAAAAAAAAATATAATTACTACCTATGCTCACGTATAATAACAGCTGACTACTAGTCAATTTTAATATTTTCTTGTGACTTGTTGATTAGATATTTTTTTCTTATTTAAAATCTTACCGTGTAATTTATGCACTAGCATCTACCAATTAATTTGGTCCATTAAATCTATTAACAGAGATTTATAGACAGCAAGGTATTCAAACGTGTCGGATGAGATTGTTAGTAATGTGTGTTAATGAATCCATTGCTGGCAATGTAACCTGACATTGCCAGCAATGGATTCATTCACCTCCACGTGATTCCCCCTGGAAACAATCGTGATAAGTTCCTGGTGCATTTGTTGTGACGGTCTAACTGACCTAATGCTTATCTTATTATCCACCACTAGTCACAGCGTAAACCGTTAGCCCAGGCGGTTGGTCTTTCCATTAGCATCCATAAGAAAAACTTATTCCGATGTGATCCTACAAGAAACAATAAAAGTTAACACGTCCATCGTCAAATAGCCACTTGACATATATGGTCCTATTCATTTATATGGGCCACAGATGCCATTTACCATTAGGTGTGCTTGTAACTTCTTTGCATCATAAAAAAATGACATACTCAAAAGCACTAGGCGGTCGAGGGTCACGCTTGCGTGCACGATCCGCGAAAAGCGTGCGTTGTGGTTCACGCGGCGTGAAAGGGCGCCGCGTGCGCAGCGGTCGTAGCGCTCCTCCCGCCCCACTCGTTGTACTACTCATCTCTGAAACAAGTGGTTTACTTCAACATCAAGTTTTATAGAGATATACATCCTACAAAGTCGTCTGCTTTGGCACCTCTGTTTCACCTATTTCAGCCGTCAAGCAGCTTTGTAAGCTGTCATTAGGTATTATCGTGAGAGATATTTACATATACTACATACATATATTATATTTACATATGTTTTACATATATATAATTATTAGTATACAAAAAATATAAACGATAACATTTTAAGACACAGTTTAAATCTTTATTTTTATATATAAAATAATACAAATTATAAAAATGTACCAGTGCAGTGATTGGTTTTTTAACTTAGGGAGATTTTCCCTAAGTTAAAGTCTCATGAGACTCTCCCCGGGGTAGGTAGACGGGTACTGCCTGACTCATAGTGGCTAAAAACCCCAATGTGTTCCTTCTCTTAACCTTTTGTCAGAGTTGCGGCAATGCGCAAGCACTATCCAGACCGCTTCTCATTATTGTAGCCATGCTATTCATGTATATTATATATAAGGGAAGATTAGTATTTAGATAGTTGATAATAATAATTATAGATTTAATCTACCTAATTATACATCTAGAAAAAATAAAATTGCTACTATCACGACTCTATGTAGGTAAAGCAGCTACCAAAAATATAATAACAAGTTAGTTTATTCGAAATTACATTCTTTTCTATGTTATATAGAATAAAAACCATGTTAATTTGGTAAACATCATGAGTCAATCCACCTCTAACTGTGTATAAATATTTAAATACATAGTACGTACCTAAACGAAGACGACTATAACGGTGAAAATAAATCGAATACTTACTTAATTTTAATAGGGATACAGTTGAAATCAATTTGCTACTATTACAGTGTTACCGAGGTGTATTCACCTTGGTTGCTAAGTAGGTAAGTTTTGGCTCTACGACCTCGGTTCAATCACCGCTAGAAGAAACGCCCTCAAACTTATTCAGGACGCTATAATAAAATCGTTATTTGGCAGGTAAGCGTTGTATTTGTAACAAAGGGAAATGTGATTTCTACAAAGAGTTAGGTTATAATGAGTTAAGTACCTATTTAGGTCTTTTCATGCGTGTTTGATTCTTAGGGTGTACTGTTATGATGACACGCAATATATTGCCTATTTATTGTTATAGAACTATAGAGAAATTATACCTACATTATTATAAATATAACATGTATATTCAAAACTAAAAAGGAAACTACCAGTGTCTATCTCTATTGAAACGAGACGGAAAAATGTACGTTGGGTTATCTGTATTTTGTAAATGGACATTACAAAATACAGATACTGGGTCCGTAATGCGCTTGTCAAATCTATTTCTTTAATTTTCCTCTATAACTAATATGAACTTAATATTCCTCTACAACCTACATTACATATGAATGCCGTTATAAGAGCAGAGAAAGGCCAAAAAAGAGATGATGGACTGAGTGAAGAAGATGTGACAAGACACGTAATAAACGACATGAGTGAAATGTAGATAAAAACATATTACGCAGACACCAAACAACTGATAAATTATAAAGAAAAAGGAAGTGATAATTATATTTTATATATGCTCGTTGAACACAGATCATTTATATTTTACTTTTAAAATGTTTCTAATTAAAAAGAAAATTATTTTAAACCACGATTGATAATAATAGGATTCTTAAGATAAAAAAGGCAAATGTAAGGAAATAAATTCGCGTGACTTGGGTTAGTTAGTCGCCTTTGATATTCAGTATATGTACGAATATGTTATACGACGTCGCTGCTATATCGTGCCAAATTATTGACTCTCCATATTTTTAGTGTGGATTTATTTCCATAAAAATAATGTTACTAAGGACTAAACTCAGTAAACTTATTAACTAAATGTTGTTTGAAAACCCAGGGAAATATTTCGAATATATCTATTCATAACGTCGTTAACGTCGCCAATTGTACATTTATTTTAGATAGTGCAATAAAGGATAAATAAATATAGGATAAATCCTTACCTCCATATATAGCAGCTCGTGCTTCGCTAATGATCTCTGCAGAGGTTTTGCGACGTGGTGGCGCGTAGAATGGTGCGCCGACGCCGCGTCTAGTGCCTCTATCGCTCATTGCCTACACGGAAAAAAATCGCAATGTTAAAGACAAAGATATTAATAATAATAATGATTTAGTAATAATAATATAATAAACAGGATAATTCATACAATGCCAACTAGTCTTAAGCCAAATAGAGCTTGTGTTAAGGGTAGAACACCAAACTAATAAAACCGCTATACCTACCACTGAGCCTGTCGTCGTATTCTAATGTTCTTATTAGTTTATTGTCGTCATAATAAAACTGCTATGTTATTGATTTATTAATATTCATTTATAGCTGCCCAAAAATATTGCAATCTAATAACTAACTTAATTTTTACATGAAACTAGCCGTTGCCCGCTTCTTCAAGAGCTTTTTTTAGATAAAAGTAACAGACAGACAGATCGACATACACATGTTCAAATTCATAATGTTAGTATGGATTGAACGATTTCCTAATAACAATTTTATAGTCTATTAATATCGTAGATGTAGAATAGTTTAGACTAACGAAATGGAAAAAAATCATTAGCATTGGCCTAGTTTCAGTGAGTAATTGTCACGCACATTAAAACTGATAAAAAGTTTAGTTCTAATAAATTTTTATTTCATTCATGTACAAAATACACATTAAACATTATTATAATTTATATGTATAATCATTATATATTTGTATCATCACTATACAATAATAATCACCATCACCAGCCATTAGCGTCCTGAAGATGGATTGCGAAATGAAGACGTAGTATCGTATCCGGAATTGTTTTCGTCACGCGATGTTCGTGTAAAAATTGCTTTCGTAACTTCGTACAGAAAAGATATTGTTGCCCGTTAATTAATTTTGCCTTGAATTGTTTCAAAAATCGTTTATATCTATTAACATATTCGCGCTAATGTTATGAATGCGAAAGTTTGTCTCTCTATTTATTACTTTTTCACTAGTAAACAACATAAAGGATCGTAAAGAAATTAGACATAAATGATAGATCACGAGGTTCTCATGATTCATGTGTAATTTCATTATACAGAAAATGTTGTCTCAAAAAATATTCTGGGAGGTGTAAATAGGCGATGATATTCTACACAAATTTTCATCTCCTATATGACCGATCAATCTCAGCTCAGGTAACAGCTAATATTATAATCAAATTGTATATACTGTTATTAGATTATATTCTTATTATTCTTAGTCTTATAAAATATTCATTATAATTTATAAAGAATCACTTTAATTTTTGTTATAAACTTACGTAGTATTTAGAATATATCTTTTTTAATTCTGAGTATATTGGAATCAAACGTGCATGAAATATTACGGAATTGTCGAAAAATTACATCAGTGAAAACCATATTTAAAATGGTTAACGTGTTTCTGAGATTAGCTTGCACAGATCGACAAATTTTATTTTGTAAGTAAGGCATGTAATATTTTTTTTAATATTAAAGTACTCATTTATAGTATCAAATAAATTATTTTATGTTATAATTTTGATAGTTGTTATAAATAAAACAATAAACACATAATACATTTTTAGTTTTCGCGATAATTATTGCAAGAGCTAGCTATAAATGTTATACTAATTACAAACCTTATGAAAGTTTCATGAAAAACATTGTAAAAAACACACAGGATAATATAGTTCGTAAAATTAATTGAACATCAAAACGTCTAATTTATCAAGAACTTAATCTGGTAGTCCGCTAAAATGTGTAGTCAACCTAATTCGCAGAAATAGGTAAACAGTTTTCACCGTAGGGAAACCGTAGCAACGCGTAGCGCAAACAACGTCTACAAGTGCGGAAAAATCCGACCGCGCGTTTCGTAGGTCGTAGTGTACTGCCGTGCCCGCGCCACACTATGAAACTATGATACAGGCTATGCCCGCCCGCCCGTCGTAGCACGCGTAGCGTTTACAATGTAATGGCTCGAATACTACGACTATGTTCGATATTTCTTTTAAATGTTGTAATTCAATTGTGTTTCAACTGTATTATATGCGTATTCTAATTAGAAATATATTGAAATTAATATAAACAAAAACAAAACATATGAAACTTCCTCCTTTTTTAAGTCAGTTCCAAAATACTTATAATTTATAGATTTTTTGGACCTACTGTGTAATGTAAATAATTGTACAATCTCTTCATTACGTGTATTTAATAGAAGGTGCATTTATGTTCGAGCTCTACTTAGTTTAGGACTAGATAACGCTGTGTTAATATGCAATGTAAATTGTGTCATAATAAAGTTAATTAATTTCCCAGTACTAGTTGTTTATCATAGCTGGTACAGTCTGTTTTACAGTACCTACATTACATACCTGTAAAAACTTGTTCACCTCACACAGTCAGCCTAAAGGCTTAGAGTCTTTTATCGTTCGTTATCTATCTTGTACCTTTTATCACTTTGAACATACCGATGTAATAGTTAATATTGATATTTTCACGGTCGTTGATCGTTCATGGTCCCTGATAACTTTTAATTAATAATCTCAAGTACTGCTTTAGCTATTGACATTACATTTTCGCTTTCTTTGTTATCATTGGCTTGACAAATACCCGGTTGTTTCAGGTTAAGTTTTTCTATCGCGACAAGCTTGTATTCACATAAACTGTCTAATATTGTTATAACTTGTTAGTAAAAGTTTTCAAGGAAAAATTAACTTATTCTCTGCCGCATTACAATTTTTTTTACTTCCAAACAAAACAGAGCTTACATAATGAATTAATCATTATATAAGGTCTGTTTTGTTTGGAAAAACTATAAAACGTAATTATAGATTTTTTTGTAAAGACTGATCTAAATGAATCATAAATCCAAATACTTGTACGAGTGTAACGCGATTCAATCCCGCATTATATATTGAATCCGAAATATTTAGAAAGTGATGCAATTTACTCATCCTTTACACCACCAAGTTCAGCAATATGGGAGCATATTGTATCCTAAGAAACAGATTTAATGGCACCTATTATTATATTATTATAATTATTATAACAATTTACAATTATCGTCCTTATATTAGTTTAATACAGGCAGGTACACCATAAATCGATGGTCGGATACCTGTTTCGGCATAGTTGCCGTAGCTACGTAACTTTCGCACGCGATCAAGATGTTACAAGGAGATTAGTAAATAAGTAATTTAACTGAAAAGAGGAGATATAATGTACCTACATATATATTATTTCATTGAATGAATATCCAGTACGACACTGCCGCTATTGCGGAGATCAGTGAAAATTTAAAGGATAAAAGTAAGGTCAGGTGTCAGATTCTCGTGGAATTAGGCCAACGATATCTAGATACGAGTATGTAATACTGGTAATACTATCTAATCTGAGAAAGCAGCTACCTAGTGACTCCATGTAGTAATTAAGATAATACAATAATCCCACAACCCAGACTAGAATTTGCATATTATAAGGGTTTCTGGATGGTTAAAAAATACATTGCAATCATGCATTGTAAATTGGAACCGGTAGGTATTTAATACCACCCTACGACGACAAGTGTCAGAGACACTTTTTGCAGAGAGTCGGAAAATACTAGTCTCTAAGTATCGCATGTTTTATAGTAGGTACGTGTAGGTAAGTAACGTGGAGTCTCCTATCTACGAAGAACAGTGAACCATAGAATGCTGCTATTCTATGACGAGACACAAATTCGTCACAAATTAAATAATAACCAGCCAGGCACTGATTTAATTCTTATATATGTTTTTATTCTACCTAGGAATTGATAAAAACATCATCATTTACCTTATTAGTGTGCTTTAAACAACATTTCTTGGAAGTTATTTGGTAAGTACATCCTAGTTTGTAAAAATGTATATTGATGTTGGTACTTAATTCTCCATATGTAGGCAAAAATACTAAACGATTACAGTCTTTTCCGTGTAACTATTTTATGTAATAATGAATTAAAGGCTTGGGCTTCTCAGTACAAACATTATGCCAATTTATTAGGTACCAAAAAGAAATATCTACCAAAGAAGGTGAAATATAAAAAGTTGTCATAAGTAGGCAATTTGAATAATAATGAAAACTTTTTGTCGTTTGCAGTGTTTGTCAGTAACAAATACCAAAATACTTATCGAAAAAATGTAAAGAGAATATTTCAGGAAGATTTAAACTTTTGAAATTGTAATTTCTAAAAGAAGCAGGAACTTCTTTTAGAAATTACAATTTCAACATATTTTAACTTTAAAAAATGACGGGAGCGCGGGATGTGCTCTTCGCTGTGATGGATTACATGGGATGACGAGGGGCTCGTTTTTTTGTTAGAAAGTTTTGACGCTGGGCGATTGTATATTCCGATGTGTCGGAATTTTTTCTATACAGCCCGTTCTACTGTCCGGGGTCTCTTTGGGATCTGCCAGGGAGGGTGGCAAATCCCGCACTCTCTACAGGAACTATTAAGAGATAAAAGAACATTTCTTGCACTGAACAACAATCCAAGGCATGGTATGTACAATATACTAAGAAAATTAAGAACATGAAAAACATGCAGATATGGCTGTATGGGCCCAGTTCCCTTTGCTTTCCATTAAAGGATAGTATATATATATATAGAACCAAAAAAAGTACTTAGAAGTCAGTCAATTTAATAGCTGTCAGTTTTCCTTCATTCTTATCAATTTTGGAAGTTGTTTCAGATATTTGTTGTTCGTGACTATTTTTATTTTCTACTTTTGTTCTCATGTGATAGTCATTAATTTTTAATATTTAAAAAAAATAGATGGCCGTATTAAAGAGACACATAAATAGTATACAAGAAAACGACATTTCTCTTTCAGTTGTTCTAAAACGTGGCAATAACATGTTATATACATTATCTTGTATTTTAAAATAATTGAGAATATTGTTTGTATACAGAAAGCAATTATTTGTTCGCTGTTAAAAAACAAATTATTTACTACATAATGTAGATCATATTATACTTGCTGTGTATAGTAAATGTAAATATATCTGCGCTTAGACAAGCATGGAAAAACAAAGTGTTATTTTATTCTATGAGAAATGTAGATTGTGTCTTGAAAAACATGGAAAATTTAATATTTTCGACATTGAAGATTTGTGTGTTAATATATTAATACACACAGGTGTTGAAGTAAGTAATAATAATGGTTTTAATGTACTATAACTAATGTAATTCAAATTAAACATATCCACATTTTTTGACACAATAGTAAATACACACAAACACAATAGTAGTTGTGATAGTAAATTATAAGGTCAAAACACTCTGTGGTAATATTATAGAATTATAGGAAGATGTGGTAATTTAAAGTAATGCTAACTATATTTATACAACTTTAATCTAAAAGTAATCTAATGTTATTGTTATATCTTAATAATTTCTTTATAATATTCAGTATTGTATACCATATTAATTTCATAATTAAGATATTACAATAACATCAGATTACTTTTAGAGCCAAATAGAGAAAATTTTAAGGCCTATACTAAAAATAGTCAGTTTATATCTTAAGGTAACCTACAATAAAACTCAATTTTATTTGAAATAATAAGTGAAAAATTTATTATATGATAAATCAATGTACAATTAATAATTAATGTCAAATTACTTTCAGGTCTCCCAGTGTGACAATCTGCCCCAGACGATTTGTAACAGTTGTATAGACATAATAAATAATGCAAAACAACTAAGATTACTTGCTACAAAGAATGATACAAATCTGAGATTACTGTTTGCTAGTGAAACAAATGGCGACAGTAAAGAGGTCTGTGTAGTGTCACATTCTTATATTTATAGAATATTAGTGTAACTATATTTGAAAGTAAGGATATAATCTCTGGACTTTTCATTACGTTTAAAACTATTTCAGATAGTTTCTGGGGATTATTTTATGGTTGATAATGGAATGGTGAACATGTCTGTACCAACCGTCTATACTGCGGTTGACCGGTGGAGGATAATAAAATGAGCATGAGGTCGGATCAGTTTGCCTATTTTGACAAATGGCAATTTACTATGATGGTTTCCAATGGGGAGCCGCATGGAGGTCAACCTGACATGTTACAATGTTAGCTATGAGGTTATTAGTACACATTACTAACATTCCCCGTCCCCTCTGTAGGGTATATTGTCCTTACTAATATTATAAGGGTGAAATGTCTACCTGTTTGTTACCTTTGTGTGCTAACCCTCTTTCTAAGCAGCTGGTTTACAACTTGTATATTTCATGTTTTTGGAATTTAATTACAGCCTGAGGAATTAAATGATGCAATATCAAGCAGTGCAGATGAAGTCAAAAGTAATAAAAAAAAAGTAAAATCCAAAAAACGAAAATTAAATAAAGAAACTGAGGATGATACTAATAATGTGAGATAATTTTTCATTTTCTAATAAATTTGCAAATATTACTTCTATGTAAGGAAGACAATGTCACCATCACAATAGGTAGTAATACAATATCTTTATGACTTTCACTTGAGTAAGTAATCTAATAATTATATATATAAGGGATACAAACACAGATCAACAAAAAGTGTAGGCTTCATTATTTTGAATACCAAAATATGCTGATTAGATGTATGCAAAATATAGATCCCATACTTGTTACTAGTCTGTGCTTACATTTTAGTAGTTTTGTGTACTTAAATTTTTTATGTACATATATGTTTGTATGTATTTATAATGGTTTGGGTATACTATAACTTTTTTTAGTTATTAATTATATGATAATTATATAGTTAATTACTAAAAAAAGGTTACAATAAAGTAATTCAGTAATTAATAACCTTTTTTTTTCTTTATTTCAGAGTTGTGTTAAAAGTCCAAATAAAATAACAGTGAGAAAAGATTTATTTGAACCACTGACTGTGGTATGTACCATTAATTTATGTTAAAATTGTATTTAAATGTAAAGAAATCACTATTATTATTTCATCAGAACTAATATTATAAAAAGAATATTTTTACGCTCAAGAGGCAGTAAGTTCAAATCTAGCTGACACAAAAAATAGTGTGTCAAGTTATAATTCTCACCAACTGATATCAAAGTTTCGTTCATTGGAGAGAACAATCAGTATCAAACAATATTAAATCGCAAAATGGCGGTAGGCTCGTCCTTGCACATGTGAGCGTGTCAAATATCGATATTTGAGAATGGCTCCCAATACCCCATTTAGAATAACACTCCTGACAGTATTTTTTTAAACAACATTAAACTCCTAAAATATTACCTAATTATATAAATTCATTTATCTACACTATCAGTGAGTTTGTTTGTATTTTATGTTTGAAAGTCGCCTATATAGGTATATATATATTTAATAGATATACAATCATTGCAATAATTTGTCTGCCTAATGATAATATTTGATATTATGCTAAAATGTAAATAAGATCACAGTTTATTGAATGTTGCAGAGCTCTTCAACTATAAGCCAATCAGACCACAATGATAGCAAAAAAGATATAAAAAAAAAGAAAGGAGGAAACGCCGACAAATCTGATGTATATAAATGTGATGTAGGTATCAATATATTATGATGAAGGTATTTTATGTTCCTCAACACTAGTACTGACCTCAAGGGAAACGGGATTTTTAGTAATGTAGACTGTTGACTCCATGGCTAGCAATATACCATGTCTGGTTGACTACTACTAACAATCTCCCTCCTTCCGTGCACCATTCATATTAAAAAAATCAGTACTAACTATTGAAGTTAGTACTGTTTTTTTTTAATATGAATGTTGATAAAATTTGAATTGGACCAGAAAAAATCTGTTAATTTTGCATCGTAATAGCTATTTATCTACTAATATTTACATGCTCCGGATGCGGTAAAATAATATGCAGCAATAACACTAAAGTATCATATATACAAATTATTCAAAATAGATATACAATTGACATGCATAAGTGGAGTAGAATGTGTACTATGTGAATAAATCATTTTGATTACACTGTTTACAGGAATGCAAAAAATCTTTCAATAAACCTAAGAAGCTCTATCTACACAAACGTGTACATAACAAAACTGTGGTGTGCCCATTGGACGTCTGCGAGAAAACTTTCGCCACAAAAAGTGATCTAGAGAAACACTTCCGAACTCACACCGGTGAAAAACCATATGAATGTTCCATTTGCCATCAAAGTTTCACGCAGCGCGGCACGTTGAAGGCACATAGACAAGCTGTACACAATTTATGATACACAGATATTCCAATTACCAAGAAAGTTTCCTGTATGCAACCAAGCGGATGCCAAACAGACTACAAGTTAAATATACAAAATAGTTTTCATATAACATAAAACATACACAATATACAGTGTACATTGTCACATACAAACAGAGGGTACACATTAAACTATAGTTTTTTTTATTTTATTCTGTTATTGTTGCAGTTTGATAGGCCAAAGTATTAGACGAATTAGATTATATTTAGACTCAGAAAATTTAATAGGTTTAGTAAGTCAACGTCAGTTCAACCTACTAAATAGTCTATTATATATTTATTGTTGACTAATGTTATACATGTTTAATCTCATCTTAGGCAATTTGTTATAAATGAAATGTAATTGTTTTATTCATTGCTTTGAATGGTATGAGGATGTAAGGTAGCTTTAAAAATCACTGGCGTAGTTACAAAAAAAAGTAATCTCTATTTGAATCACAGCACCAATTTAAGAACTTCATTCATTATTGGAGCGCATATATATCCAGTGTTAAAGGGAATATACTATATTACTATATAATATACTTACCCAAGTTATGTGCGCCTGGGCGAAGCTGAATCAGACTACTAGTATGAACAATAAGTTTATATTTTAATATATATCTGGCTTGTAATTGTTATGTACTTATGGTAGTTAAAATAATTATTGAAATATGTTAAATACTAATAGCAGTATTAATTTATTTCTATTTGTTGTTAAACGAAACTCGTACTTAAGTGTTAATATCAAACTTATATATTTATATAATAATATACCGACGATTATAAGATTTAACTTGTAAATCGTAGTTATCGTATTAGTTCTTATTCACGAAGATAATATTTTTGGATAGACATAGATGTTCTATGATCTAACCTATATTTTTGGAAAATAACAGTAGGAAAAGTACTATAAATATATCTGATCTCACGTGCTCGTATTAAATTAATTATACTAGGCACTTTGTGCGTTTACTATTTAGCTGTGCGATTCTAAAATCTATATTATATATTATATTTCGGATAAATTATAAACATAATTTAGAAAAACTTAACATATTATAACAATAGGTTCCTGATGTAGTTTGGAATATAAATTGTTATTATTTATATGTATATATAATAATAAAAAAGATTTATAGTTATTATACAGTAATAATAAGTTATATTTTTCTTTTTTAATATTTAATTTTACTGTACTTTACTAATTGTATTAGTGTATTCTTTAAACATTTTGTATCTGTGGTATTTGTGTGTAGAACGAATATTGATATCATAAATTATTGTTTATATATCATCGTTAGTTTGAAATTTTCGACATATATTAGGGTTTAAGTGTGGAAATAAAGTGATACAAATATTAATAAAATTATTTTATTGCATTAAACAGTTATATAAGACTATTTACAATATGAATCCTTATAATATTTAGGCTTAGGTATATAGAATTATATAAATATACATAAGATACGTTTATATTCATTTATAGATAAAACACTGAGTACATCGTCATTACAGCCGTTTTGCAGTTATAACCTACTAAACATTTCAGAGTTACTAACATATTATACTGTAGCAATAATAATAAGTACTTTATTTAACATTTTGCTCAATATGTGAGCAGAACAGTGAGACTGCACTGCTTGTAGAAAATTAGTGTAATACTATCAGTATACTTTGTTTTTTTTTCTTGTTCATATACATTTTTGAAAATATTTCCCCCTTTTTATACTTCGATTATTGTACATAACATTTCCAAATAATGATAACAATCTGTGAAGAGTGATTTTTCCGCGTAGTGTTAGTGTTATAAAATATATGGAACTTTAAATATTGCTGAAAAATCTTTGGGTAAGAATTTGCATAGGACAAGTCTTCGCCTATTACACTTTTAAAATACAGTATTGTTTTATTTACAGCAAAACAACAAGTATTGTAAATAAGTTTTTATTTTAAAAATCCAATCTTTTAACTTATAAATATAATGTAAGCCGAAACTTAAATTATTAAAATTATTTACTTAACCACTATTAAATATTTATTTGACCATTTTTGAAATGGCTGATTCAAATTATGTTATATAATATAATTTACACAACAATATCAATTAATATATTTCCCCAATGATACCAATATAGAAAATATAAGGTTTCAATAACCACCTTAAATTCTGTTTTTCTTTGAGTGGCATATTTCTCCAGCAATCCTTCGTTTTTGTCTTTTTATTACTGAAACAACAGGACCTTTATATAAATGACAAATAGAATAAAAATGCTTTAAGTTTTCATGTTAACAGATGATATCTGTATTGTATATTACGATAAAAAAAAGGACATGATAAAGTTGTATAGTTATATGCCACATGAAAAGAAAAACATACATAGGACAGACTGTGTCGATTCTATAATGATTAAATATATTACATGTCCTAAAAATTCACTGTTAGAGAATCATGCTATCTTATAATTTAGCAGTGATAGAAAATATTTTTGTTAACTGATAATTAAAAAACATTTATATATTTTTTTTAAGCTTTTTTTTATAAGTTATACACAATAGAAAGATATTAAAGAAATCACGTTTTCTGCAATTACTATAAACTGATATATCTATAAAAAGATAAGATTTATTTTTATTTGTAATGGATTAACCCGTAAAATACTTGATTATGTAGACTTTATAAGGCTATATTATCAACAAGTAATATGGACTGTATGGTTTTTTATGAGAAATATCTGTAATTACAGCATCAGTGTGGATTCGAATCGTTAGTGGATAATATCTAGTTTTGAGGCATTTGTTTAACCTCGCAGCTAAATTAATAGGGTATAAATACCGATTGTTAAAAACATTCTCTAAAATAGAATTTAAAGGAAATTTCGACAACAATACTTCATAATCGATCACAGTTTACTTCAATATATAATATTATCACGTAAGTTTATGTTCTAATCAATGGAATGCGTATAATAGAAGCAGGAATGTGCAAACGGCGACCACGATCCCCAATATTAGCGAGTCGCGCCGTTTGCGTGCGTTTATCCGGTACATAAGGCTATTCAGCATTGGAAATCTGAAATTAAATATTGTTGTTTTTATTTATTGAGAATTAACTCTTCGAATTATATACTTATCGCATGTCTATACATATTATTGGTGATATACTACTACACAATGTATTGAAAGAAATAGTTTTGATGTTTGAAGATTAAATCTAAACTTTTAGTACCATTTTATCAAAACTATTTACCTGCCACTTCGTCAGCGTAGATTTTAACGCTTTTTTTCGTTTTTAAAATAAATATCTAAAATAAAAGTGGCCTAAGTTACTCTTTATAACATTAGCTATCTCTGAGTGAAAGTCTAGTCAAAATCGGTACAGCCGTTTCAGAGTTTAGCAAGACCAAATACTCAGACGAACATTTTTTAAACTAAGTACAGTAATTAATTTCATATTCTCCCAAACTATTACATTCTTATTTAATAGGCAGGATACATTTTCATTACTTACTGTACTTCCATCAAACCTATTCTTTTCTGTAAGCACCGCATATACTTTCATATGCATTTAGTGTAAAGCTCTTAATCTGATATTACAAACGAACACTTAATTTTTTTTTATTTATTTCTATACATTGTTCCTACCTGTTCGTAATGTCATTGAACCGTGTTTGCATCCGCTTGAAGGTCTGCCGCTGTGACGCGAGATGCTCACGGGCCTCCATCGCTATATTGATCTGTTCATCTACCATTATATGAGAACTGAAACAACCAATTTTATACAAATATAACACTTTTAATACGTTACCATGTTATATTTGATTTTTTTTAATAGATGACAATGGTGAATGGTATCACTGCAGGATGATAGTATGAACATGGTTTCCAAGGGAAACCGCAAGGAGGTCAACCTAACATGGCACATTGCTAGCAATGGGGTTACTAATACACATTACTAGCAATCCCCTGCTCCATAATTACTCCAGAGTTATTATATATTATTATTATCTAACCTGTGTAAGTGATTGGCCTCCTTGGTGTACTGATCGCGGCGACTGAGCCCTGCTGAGGGCGGAGGACTGCCGCCTCGTAGTAACTCCTCACGTTCCCGTCGGGCGTTTACTCGAGCCGACGTCTTTGTGAACTCCTGTTGGTAATCCTGTACAAGTCCAATCTTAATTATATAAAATAATTAATTATACAAAATAAAGGGTAACATATGTGTGTAGTTTTATTGATTGCCATAGACCAAACTCATATAAAATATTGTAAACTTTGTGTTATTTTTCAAATTATTCTAATTAAGCCTTTAGACCTTAATTCATTTAGCATATACAATGGATACTAGTCTCTTACTTAGGGAAGTTCTTACTCCAAACTACAGCTAGCCATCTGAATATTTGTACTTTGAAAAGGCCATCACTGACAATCTGTTGGGACTGGGGGTCGAGCTGTGGAGTAGCATAAAGTATGAAAGTAAAAAAGTTTACCATAAGGATTTCTCTATGTCTTTTTATTGTGTGCATCGTAGCAGCCCCATTCGGAGCTATATCTCCCATCTTGTCGTTAATTGACGAAAGCTGGTAAAAACAAGAATTATATTATGTTGATGAATGATTTATTTGCAGTAGTAGATATTAGCCTAGTAACAGGAAACTTTATAAAAATAAGCTATAGGAATAATAGTCACATTCTAACATAATAAAAATATTTATAAATATTCCTTATAGAAGGCTAATAAAAGAGGTTTTATTACTATTATTTTTATTATATTATATAAAAATATATATGAAATGGTATAGTAACCAAAAATGTGAAAATTCAACAATTTTAATGTCTACAACACATTGACACTTATTATTTACAGGTTGCATTAAATTTTGTAAATAGACACCACACACACACTCACAATAATATATAGGATACTCTTTATTATATTGTTCTATTTATTTATGTAGACAAAGCTGCAGGATACCCTAAAGTTTAGGAATGAATTCCTGTAAAACTATCTGTATTTTCATTACCTTGTTCAATAATTGTTGTAATTCCATAGACATAGTATCAAACATGTCTTCACTGTTGATCAGAGGAGCAGTCTCTGAACTAAGGCTGGGTGCAGTGCTCATACCGAGTTTACTAAATGCCACTAATTTTACATCAATGTCATTTTCTAGTAGACGAGCTTGCTTCCTCAGTTCTGTAATGAAAATGTTAATTAATTAATTAATAATGCTATATTACACACTAAAAAAAATCTAACAGTGAGACTATTTGTTATGATAGTCACCCTAGTAAGGTGAACCTGACCATACTAATGATATAAGTGTTAGTTAGTTCCTCATCCTCTATTAATGCTCCCATTGGAAGATGAAGTTAGTAGAAGCGAGGAACATTGCTAGTATTGAGATCACTAGACTCTATTAGTACCAATCCATTTCCCCAACAGTGTATATTGACAATGTACATAGTTTTGTGGTATGTACACATTTTGATTATTGTTACAGTTCAGAAAAAAGAATCTTGTGCAAATTAGCTCATCTAACATCAGCTATTGTGTATACTCCCAAAATACAATGTTGATAATCAAGGAACTGCAGTGATCATAATCACTGTATTAAATGTAATTACAAATATCAAAAAGCTAGTGTTCATTTTGTATGTATGTGAATAAGCATGTGTCTGTGTGTATGTATTGTTTGGTATTATATATTAATTCCATGTAAACAACATCTAAATATAATAAATAGTTTTAATATTTACATATAACTAATGATTTGTTGCTCTAACTAATTGTATATATATATATATATAAATAAATAAAACCCTAAATACTCTAGAATGAAGATATGTATAGTTAACATATCTATGTTCTAAAATGTTTCGTCAATAAACAAAGAAAACAATTGATACATTTGGCCTACATATATAAGAATCCACAAAGCCCACTGGCCCCTGGTTAGGTTATTTGTAAGTATATTCATAGAAAACAATATTTACTATCATATGGCATTACTCCTTAGGTCTGAATTGATAAAAATTGATTAAAGATAATTTAATGATACTTTTATAAAAAAGTTAATTAAACAGATTCATCTCTCTATTTATTTTAGGGAAGCTAAATAGGAGATATGTTAATGAATGAAGTCATAGAATGTCTAACTATTGAAACTACTGGTAAATTAATAGAATTAGTACAAACCTTCCCAAGACGTGCCAGGTGACATGGCCATTTTTCCGGTTAGTGGTTTCTGTACCAGATTAAATAGTCACAACTAAAATAATCAAATAATATGTACAATATATTCTATTCACTATTTTTCTTCTTACTCATTCATTAAATTACAATAGAAAGTAAACAAAGTATTAAAATCCTATCAATTTTAGATATTTTTGTTGACTTGATATTGTACTTTGATTTTTTTATTTGATTTCATGAATGAGTGTATTTGATGGATTGACTTTGGAATTGACAATCTTGACATTTAAAAGTGTGGGCTAGGGTTGATTAATTATCGGTGTTAGAATGGATTTTAATCACAGATTCTAATTTTAAAAGGATGAAATTCGAATATCTTACTGAAGTGAAACATATATAACACAGTTATATAATACAAATGTATAGGTACAAATCAGTTTTCTCAACTGCAACTGTCTAATGGTTCATATAAAAAACCAAACAAACCAATTCGATGTTTTAAAATAAGAAAAAAAATGCATCTAAATATAATCAAACGCCCAGTAAATAATTTAATTAAATAAAATATAATCAATGTTGTTATTACAAATCGTAAAACATAGCCTTTGACTGCAATTCTCGAATGTTACAAGTAAAAACACAAACATTAATTTTAGTAGATGGTTTATAATGTAGATGTGTACTTAAATATAAGCGGTCATTTTTGCAGGTTATATAATAATATGTTACAAAATACAAAATTTCTAATTGAAATAATTAAACCAAACCAAAAAAATTGAATGAAAGAAACGATTGAATTTTATTACAGACCAGAACTTTCTTCAGTAACTTATTATCAACATAATATATTATCCTTCTCTAATACGTACTAAAAGACCAAGCAGGTAATTTCTATCCACTGTCATTCAACATGAAGACAATCATATGGATAGAACAACTTTTCTTTGAAGCAGATAGTACAGTCTCTTTGATCGAATTGTCCATTGAATTTTTCTTATACAAAAATGATTACTAACTTGGTGTGATTAATTAAGTTCGACATACCTACGAAGAAACATAAGACACGTATAGATTGAACATTAAATTTCCTTCAAATATCTTATATCTTTTTTTCTGAACATAAACCTAGTACCTACCTATATATATTTACCTACGTCATAAATATTTTTATTAGAAAAGTGGACATATCATTCGACGTATCATATACCTATCTCTTTTAGACGGGTACGTCGAAAAGAGACGTGTATATATCAAAACAATGACAGATTGGATGTGATAATACTCGAAAACGATTAAAAAATTAAAATTCATACATATAATATTACATAACATATGAAATAATTTATATCTTTTGCAGTGTTATACTCTTCATATTGTATTTTAGAAATTATCTAAATTGCAAAAAAATTATATCAATCATCGAGCTACTGTTTATAGCTGTTTACTCTATTGCACATTTTATTGAACGTGACATCTAACCATTATCTATCTCTATCTTACTAAAGGGCCGTATAAGCTAAAAACATCATGTTTACTCGCTCTGTGAAACCTTGCCCCCACCCATTACACCGAGTCGAGTCGAGTGTTTCTCTCTTTGGTTTCGCAAGCACCAGTCGTGACTTATTCGATTTTATATCGTTTATTGATTTAAGTTTGGTTTTGTTTTTTCTAATTTAGTGTGTGAAATTACAGCCATGATTAGTGATATTGTTTTAAGTTAAGTAGTGTACAATAATAAGCAATATAGTTAAAAAACTGTTATGGCATAACAAGGACAAAACGAGTTAGATAGATGCATGTCAAAATGGCTGCTGCTAATAAATTATTGCAATTAAATTTTGATAAAATATGTCGGGCATGTCTGGAAATCAAGAAGGACATGAGACCTTTATTTGAACAACTTACTGCAACAATGCTGATGGGCATTTCAAAAGTACAGGTGAGATAACATATTGAGATATTTTCGGACACTGTCTGTCTCTTTCGTTCATACGGAGAAAGTATATATTTGTGAGACGATGACTGTCTGTAGTGTCGTCGCATCGAGTCATCTTTGGAAATCATTGGATTTCGAGATTCCTCAATATAGTGCGTATTCTCAAAATTTGATTGAGAAATGTGTTGCTGTCCTTTTTCGTCTCATTTGCTATAACGTACAATTTTGAGATAAAAATATTCATTCAATAAAATACAGATGCGTAATTAAATATTTCATAAATATTGTTATCCTTTATCGTTACATTCATGTTTCCTCCATTCATTATTTCGGTTGAAATAGTTCTCGGGTACCTACAAAGCATGTAGGAAGTTTCGATCATCGTTTGGAAACCATTGTCGTCCCACTGTTTCCGTAAAAAATTCCCAAAGAAAAATAATTTAGCATACAACTTTCTTTTAATAGAATTATGCACTGACCGCGTGAAGGACTTTATAGGATAGGTAATCTACCTACCCCTATTATTAACAATCCCTTCACACCAGTGAAGGATGATGTGATGAGAATCAGTTCAATTGGTCCATAATATATTTTTTCATTTATTTATTGATGTACATATAATTGCTTGTTTAAAAATAAACTAATGTAAAAATAAAAAATAATAAAACTTGGAATATCGACTTTATATTAAAAAATTTAACGCTTATTTTCACTTAAATTGCATTTTTCCTTCCGATTTAATATATCGAGGTTTCACTGTATATGTGAGTTGATACGTGTAGGTATACACTATGTGGATGGACCTGATGAAGGTCCACCTGACATGAAATAACATACAAATTTCATGAAGTTATGGTACACGAGCGAAGTAAGGGCAGACCATTAGTAATGGTTTAGGTTTTTTTAATGATTATAATGTAATGGTCTACCCGCCTGCGCTAATGGTTCACGCTGATGAGGCACCAGTGGAGGACGATGATATGAGCTCTTGCTCCTGCTGCTGCTAACCTGATCTGAACTCTTGGTCAGATCAGATTAGCCCATCGTGGCAAATTCGTGGGATTTATCACGGTGATTTCCAGGGGGAATCGCGTGTAGGCCAACCTGACATGGTACGATGCTAGCAATAGGGTTAGTCCACATTACTAATGTAGCGGGGTGATGGTATCACCTCTCCACTGTACCGTTGTGTATGATGAGGATGAGGTGTCACTACATAATTTATTGTCTATTGTAGTATGTAGCTAGTGAGTATACCTATATGTGTACAATTATGTACTATTGTGTAGTAGTAAACTTATTGGACATGACTTATTAGTAACGCGTACATTCAACAAGGAGTCGTAACGTGATCTCTCATTACACTGAACTTAAATCTATGTTATCTTAAGAGGTAGGTACTAATGGAAGTGTCTCGGGGGTTGACAGAAATATTACAAGTAGAGGTACACTAACAACCGCCTTCTCTCCTGGTTTAGGGGTTTAGGATACCGCCATGATGGACGCGGGTTCTATTCTCATAATTTTTATCAGGTATCAGTTGGCGATGGATTACCGGCACAGCTGTGTCTGCAGTGCGTCCACCAGATCTCGCGATGTCACGCCTTCAAGGAGACCGTGGAACGGAATGACATCGTGTTACGGGAACGTGCCAAACTCAAGGCCGAAAGAGAAGAGGTATGAGAGTGGTAATCTGAAACTTACAAATAAATATAATATTGGTACCTTCTGGGCCTGTTACAGCGCCGGATATTTATTTTTTTCGAGACGGGGCAAAAACTAAAAAACCTGTTATCCAGAAGTAGTCGATATTTTTTTATCGATAATAATATAATGGTGAACCCATTTGCTTTAACGGTATACTCTGGCTGGGCACCAGTGTCGGATGACGAAATGAGCATGAGGTCTGATTAATTAGCCCGTCCAGATAAATTCACTGGTTTCCAGGGAGATCGCGTGGAAGTCAAACTGACATGGTACTAATATCTATTACTAACAATCCCCTTCCCCCAGTCGAGAGATCATATAATTTTTATTGACAATAAACAATATATGATCATTGAAACCAGCGTATATTATGTTTATTTGATTAAGATTATTTATATTTCTCTTGCAATTTCCATCAGATGAGGCGTCAGCTTATTTACCATAACATGTACATATAAAAAAATCTTACGGTGCTTTAAATCCTAGCGGTTTGTTAAAAGAATGGGTGGTCTTCTTCTTTACCAAGACGTATGTGTTCTTGATCACAGAAGGAGAAACTTTTAAATATGGCGTGTGCGGACAGTCCATATATTCAATATGTGGAAGTACCAATGGCCAGCAACAGTAACCAGATCCTTGATGGATTCTTCACAACAGATCAAACCAGCAGTAAAGAGGAGTCTCCTAAAGTCAACTTTGAATCGGAAAAGGTACATCAGACCATAGTTTTCATGATTGTGATTGCTGATTGGTATGATTTTTCGTAATTGCTTCATTAGCTGAGCCTTCGACTTTGTCAACTGTGTAGCTCGAATAAAACAAACACAAAATTTTAAGTGATAATAATGTATTATTAGTGGAAACAGCGCCCAAATTACGCTGTTGAGATTAGGGCGTAAACCCACAAGTAAACACAGGAATTTCTAACAATCACTGTTTTGGATTGTGTTGTTTTTTCAATGGATCATAATGGAACCCGCCTGCTCTATAACTGCTTACGCTGGCGGGGCACCATTGGGGCAGATGAATGGATAAGATGAATATGTGCTCAACATTCAATCAGGTCAGCTAGCCCGTTCGCGAGCTGCTCGTATAATGCTTTTTTTGTCCGCGTGATTTATGAACAGTGTCATATGCCGCAATCTTGTGAAAATCTCGCAAACTCTCGAAAAACCGTAAGATCACATACTTAAACTCTGCTTACGGCCCGTCCAGGAAGCACCCACCCCAGCAACGTCAAAGGATGATGACGCCCTCAACTCTGACGAGGAGAACTACCTGCAACTGGTGGTGTTTCAAGCGACGTCGACGGTCACCCCCGGCCGACACGTGTGTAACCTCTGTCACAAGGAGTTCAAGCACGCGCGCTGGCTGAAACAGCATATGCGTTCACATACCAATTGGATTAAAGCCAACTGCAAGAAGCCGCCCATGTGCCCTATATGCGAGAGGACTTTTAAGGTAAGTTATCATTTTATTATGTGACTTCGAAACATAAAGAAGTAGACAATATTTTTTTATAACATAGGGTACAAACTCACCTGGTGGTAAGTGATTACCACCACCCATGAGCACCCGCAATACCAGGAGAATTAAAAGTGCGTTGCTGGCCTTTTAAGAAAGAATAAGCTTTTTCTGGAAAGTTTCAATATCGTATCATTCCAGAAATACTATTGGTAGAAGGTGATTTTACAATGTTGTTTACGAGGTAAAAAGAAAATGGTGAGAAAATGGCACGGTGGAAGACCGTCCTTCATCCAGATGATCAGCATGGTATGTTAGTTCCTAGCGCGTAGTGTGTTCTTGATGGTATGTGGTACCAGTTGCCTATATAGGTACATGGAGAATCAAAGAACGTCTGTGGTACCGTTTATACGTAGCCATTCTGAATGACTGAGATGTTGTGCCTTTCTAATGTAATTAAGATGTCACAAGATAACATGATGTTCTTATATAGACGACGCTGATCATATTAGCGAGGGTTACCGCTTACTATAAGGTGGGACATCAGCTTGTTGATATTACAATAGTAAAAAAGAATTAAAAAACTTGAATATCTCCACAGGGTCCAGGAATGCTAAAGATGCACATGCGTACCCACGAACAGCGACCGCCGAAGCAACCAACTTGCTCCGTTTGTCAACGGACCTTCTCTACCAAGACTTTGTTGTATCGCCACCGGCAAACCCACTTCGAACAGAAAACCCATCAATGCACTGTGTGTGACAAAAGATTCTTTAGTGGGTACGCTCTAAGGTCCCATATGGCTCGGCATCGAGGCGAGCGGCCGTATATTTGCTCTATGTGTAGTAAGAGCTTCTACAATCCGACGGACTTGAAGGTAAGCCTTACATATAACTTTAAAAAATTATATCATGACACAGACCTCCATTGCTATTATACTACATATAATAGCAAGATGAATATACTACATATAAAAAATGTATGTATCACTACATTTTTTAATCTATGGTAATGGGACACCAGCTAGTCTGGTAAAATGGGCATGAGGTCTGTTAGCCCATCATGACAAATTCACCTGGAATTAAGCCCGATGATTCCCAGAGTGGCCGCGTGGAGGTTACATTGCTAAGAAAAGGTTATGCAGGTGGGAAGGGGATTTTTAGTAATGGGGACTCATGACCCCATTACTAGCAATGTACCATGTCAAGTTGATCTCCACGCGGTCTCGGTGGGTTAACTGACCTGACCTCATGTTCATCTTATCATCCTCCACTGGTGCCCCGCCAGAGGAAACCTTTATCATCCATAAAAAAAAAATAGGGTATACGGGCCGAAAGCATTACTAACCATTATATTTTTTAATTCATGATATTTGAGGTCTAAGAGATTATACGTCTAGCCATGACGTTCTACGCTCTCAGATCTCTTACATCATCATATCATTTAATTTTTCATTTGTAGAGTCTACCTGGCTTACAGCTTTCTCAAATGGTTTTCGAATATATATATAATAGGTAATTGGAAAAATATTCCTTGTATATATTAAATGCCAATATGTTTAACAATAACCTTTATTATTAGGCAAAACAAAATTCATACACCGATATCTAATCGTCGCGTAAAGACACACTGGACAAAGTTCCACATGTTAGTTTCTGGAATTTCTCTTCCTCGTCATCCTTTATTCTAAAGGCATCTGCAAAAGCTTTCTTGGTTTTCTTTGACAGATAATCAGGGAATTCGACATTGAACCGAATTATTAGATTACCTTTTGCTTTAGCCGGGCACGCAGGTATCGGTAGACCTTCATCTTCGATAATCTTTTCATAAGTAGGAGTGATCACGTCAGCTACTTTAATTCTTAATGTTCTATCGTCCAAAGTTTTCAACGTAATTGTGATTCCACACAAGGCTTCTTCCAGACTAACATTACGTACCGTTAAAAGATCACTTAGGCCTGATCTGATATAAGTGTCATGTGGACGATCGTCGGTAATGAATATAACGTCAGCTGGGATCCTTGTGGGCCCTTGATCCCCCTCTTCCCTAAACCTCACTTCTGTATTAGGATATATACCCGGCTTTATTGGTATGGACAATACTTTTTCTCGTAGCTTTAATTGTGAACACGTCTCGTCTGTAAACACTAGTCGTTGTATCTTCATTTTCTTCAAGCCTCCTTTATATATTTCCTCCAGTGACAAAGCGAGTGGTCTTACTATAGTTGGATCCTTTTCTTTGTAGCCTTTTCCTAATGGAGACTCAAACATAGGTGGTGGATTCTCATAGTAATCAAGTAGATCCGCGTAAGGATTAGTGGTTCCAAAGAACTCGTGATAAGTTCTCAATGGTTCTCCGTGATACGAGTAAGGTTGTATATACTCTGAAGGTCCTGGAACTCCACGTTTCAGTCCTTCTTCACCATATTGGTCGTATACAGCTCTTCTTTTGTGGTCTACTAGTACTTCATAAGCTTCGCCAATTAGGGCGAAAATTCGCTTCATGTTCTCATCATTATCATGACGCTCAGGATTGTATTTGAGAGCAAGGCGACGATATGCTTGTTTAATTTCAAGTTGATTGCAAGACCATTTTACTCCCAATATTCCATAATAATCAAACCCCATTTGGTATAATTTTATAAAATATTAATTACGTTAAAATAATTCACATAAACTTTATGATTTTGATTTGACAACGTCATTAAATATATGTGGTTGGGTCTTGAAATTCAGTCGTACAAGAAGTTTATAAATTAATTTCTACCTACATGTATATACAGACGTAAATGCAAAATAATAAAAAATAGTTTTAGATGACGTAGATCTAGTCTTATTGAAACTAGAAAAATATAGATTTTTTGCATAAGTAGAAACAGCTGAATTAATTTAAATAACCCGTTGTAATATTTTATTGTTATTTCCATATCGTTTTTTACTTATTATTGGGAAATGCAAATTCTGAAGTTTATGAAAAATTAATTTATTATTTATAAATTTCTACATATTTACGGGAATTTAATGAACTTACTAAATTGTCTTTCGCGACAATTCTTTCAATACACCGAGTAGCTTTAATAATGTTTAAAATTTTGAGTGCGGCGATGTCACAGCGTCTGGTCATAGTACAGTGCCACTTTCGGTTGAATTCGTAATTATTGTCGAAAATGACGAAATATATTATGTTTATTAAATTCCCGTAATTAGTTATACAAATATTAGTGTCTACGTGATCGTAGGTTTCATAAATTAAATGTATATAATTCATAGGTCATAAAATAAGCGTTGAATTCGAAGTAAATACTGATAATTAGATTATTTTTCATCGTCATTAGGTACATTTCCGTCTGCACACCGGCGAGAAACCACTGAAGTGTTCAGAGTGTAACAAGACATTTAGGAGGCATTCCACACTCTGCCAGCACATGAAGAAACATCGTGGTATACGAAACCACATATGTTCTGTGTGCAGCAAAGCTTTCTACGAGGTGTCCAAGTTGAATGCTCACATGAGGGTACATACCGGTAAGTAGATTGTTCTATAATAATAATATATCGATAATGACTAAATTATCCACCAGTTATTATTTTGCTATTATTATTACAGTTACGTGAATACCAGTAATGTGCATTTTTCCATCACTGCTCTTCAACCGCTTTCTGTTTTTATTCAATGGTTAGCTGGTACAAATGCTATATATTTAAGGTCGCTTCTTGTTTTAAAGTGCAATGAAGAATAAATGAATATCTAATATTAACCCTGGACAATTCATACAGCGCCATCTGGTCCTAATCTAAACAGAGCTTATGTCTTGGGAATTATATAACTAATAGATTTTTTAAATCCATACATAATGTGCATAGGAAACACTAAGAGTAATACAAAATATCATACTCATGAATACAAATATTTACATCGCGCGAGGAATCGAACCTGCTACCATTTAAAACAAAGCTAAAACTAACCAACCAATTCAAACAAGAATTTATCTAGAAGAAGTCCTAATTTTTTCTATGAACAGACCACGTTTTATGTATAATTCATTTGGGCAACTCCGCTATACAGTGATACAACTATACTCCGTATCTTATTGATACGGCGTTACATAAAAGAAGAGAGAACTTACATAGAATATAGCAAGCAAAAGAGAAAATGCCACTACACGTCCCATGTGGTTGTAGCTCACTCTTGCATAAAGGTAATATCTCCTTTGGAAAGTATAAACTCTATCCTGAGGAGATAAAAACCATCGCTGTTAAGAATATCCTTCAATTTTTGTCCCTTACGGGTCTATGTAGCGAACTTTGAAAAAGGGTGAGCACAATAGATCTATCTAGGTCAAAACCCTCAATAAAAAATACATAGAAGATAAAAAAAGAGGTCACTAACCCGACCATAGACTATCTAGTTATAGTTAAATTATTTCAGGGGAAAGACCATTCGAATGCAACTTCTGTGAGCGCAAATTCGCCCAGCAATCAGCGCTTATTTACCATCGACGTACGCATACTGGTGAAAAGCCGTACAATTGCAAGATATGTTCGGCGAAATTCACAACCTCTTCGGCAAGGAACAATCACATGGTCACGCACACAGGCAATAAGAGGTAAGTGAATATACTTTCACAACGAAATCCCAGACATCCTCCTGTATAGTCGATACAGGAAGATATTCTTTCAATGGGTGTCATATGGTACAATCGCGTGCGTTAACATTATATTCTGTCGGACAACAGAGGAAGAAGTCTCACGTTTGAAATATAAAAAACTCTAACTTTTCCATTAGATTAATGAATGTTTTAAAAGATATATTAATGACACATTCATTAATATAACTTTTAGAACATTCATTCATTCATTCAATTTATTATTAATTTAGACACCTAAACATTTTAATTCAAACAATTTTTCTGAAGACAAATAGAGACGGTTCTGAAAGGTTTTACAAGGAAAATAGAATAAAGAAGCCCTATGAAAAGTTTTGCCGTATCCAATCACAGCACTGAAGTCAAAGTAAATAGTAAAAAATAATAATAATTACCCCGGACGATTCACACAGGTCGATCTACTCCCAAGTTCACCAAAGTTTGTGTTATGGGTACTAGACAACTGATACAAATACATAGATATTTTTTTTTGTAAATTCATACATATTGTACATAAGAAACACCTAGACCAATCATTCTCATGAATACAAATATTTGTACAGTGCGCGGAATCGAACTTGCGACCAACGGAAAGTACTGCGGTGTGCTAAACCGCTTGACCACTAAGGCCGTCAATAATAATGTTAGTGAAACAAATAAAAATAATAAAAAAAAGACGGTTACAGGTTAATCTCGAACTGGTTTAAATATAAAAAAAAATGCACTAGAGGAATTGTTGGGTAGGTTCGTGTGTCCGGTATGCTTCAAAGGCTGCACGTCGCGTACCGAGCTGCGGATTCATTCCACGAAGCACACAGGCGAGAAGTTGTACGGCTGCGAGTTGTGCGATCAGAGGTTCAGTTCTGCTTCGTACCTCGCCGTCCACCGCCGGTTCCACTCAAGCGAGAGGAAGTACCAATGCAACATTTGCGGGAAGGGTTCGTATCTCTGAATTACTATATTTATATCAGTAATAATATAATAACCTGGGACAATTTACACAGCGCCATCGTCTCAAGATAAGCGTCCATAGCCTATGTAACAACTATTATTTACAATATTATATTAATCTTAACATGTGGTTGTATATACGAATTGTTTTAAAAACTATAACTGTCAAATATAGACCATATTTATTGAGCTTTAGAACTTATTTTCCTAACCTATTCAACAGGATATGTAGAATCAAATTCATACAAGAAACATATGAAAACACACGAAGTGAAAGCCACAGGAACTGAGTCGTCACATTCGGAAAATAGCATTGAAAATATGAACGCCGATGACAAAGTCCCTGATGATAAACAGGAGTCTGTAGCACAAGCTGTTGTTACCGAGGATCAGACGGAAAGTCAAGGTCAGGAGCAGGGCGAGGACACCACACAGAGGAGATATAAATGCGGATTATGTGATAGAACATATATGTATATACATAGTCTGAAGAAACACATGATCAGCCATGTTCAGGTGAGGTTTTAACAGTTGGTTATTTTGCACCCCTCATCTTTTGTTGTTTCCGTAGTTTAGGAAACGAACGATACCAGTAAATTCGACCCCAAGTATATTCGACGTCTTGATGAATGATATTGCCTACACGAGATAAGAAAAATCCATAATTAATTAACGTTTTGCAAATTATATAATATATTAATAAAACAAACTATTTTCTTAGAAAATAATTTGTAATCATGTTAAACTTCGAAATTAGGACAAAAGAAAGAGAAAGCTCTAACTGATTAAAAATCTAATTAAAAGATTTTGTATGAGAAAAGAGTGAAAGAAAATGCATAATTAATAACTTTTTACAAACCTCGTATCATTTTCTTTCATTTAAATCCAATGAAAGTCTGTGCTTTAAATATTCTTTGATATAGTAGTTCTGTAACATAATAATTGAATTCCGTTACAGCAGCAACAACAACAACAATCACAACAGCAGGTACAGGTACAGCAACAACAGCACCAGCTGCAGCAACAGGTGCAGGTGCAGCAACAACAACAGCAACACCTGCAACAGCAGGCGGTTCTGCAGGTGGGCAGCGTGCAGCAGCTCGCTGTGCCGATACACGCGCAACACGTGCAGGTAACTTCACTTTCATTGTACTAGGGGCTTTGTGAAGGCTTACTATAATAAGGCTTACTTACTATAACGCGGAAGTTTGAAAATGTGGATAATAGATGCAAAGCCAATTATTACCGATTTTAATCCATCGGTTAAAAATGCATTTTCGTTATTAACGGTTAATTAAACGCTTGAATTTTCTACTTGATACTTTCAGTAGCTAGAGCCCAAAAAGGGTTGACAAATAAAAGACAAATAATTTTTATAAAAGAAGGCTCAACTAGAAATTCCAAAAACAGGACCTTCTCAATTCTAAATAGGTATATTTAACTGGACTATTTTTATGGATACTTATGAAAAGCGTTATAAAATACCGGAGAATCTTCATGTGTGAACACATGTGTTGTGGTGTTTCATCATCCAGACCTGAAATCCTACATTGAAAAAAAGTACACAATTAAAAGACAGATATTTACTCGTTTTCAATTTCGCAATTAGTGTTACTTCCGTTTACACTATATTTATTATTTAAATTTATAAATGTGTCGTTACAAAACGTACGAAAGTACGTACGTTCCACTCATTGTCAATCAATACCCAGTTCTTAACGTGTGACGTAATGTATGGATTAACTCTGAAAAGAGAGAATTTGTTATTAAGGAAACAACCACCTATTAAAATAGGCTATATGTTTATACACAAATTTCTGATAATGATTCATTTATTTATTTAAGTATTGCATTCCATAATTTACAGTAGGTAGTTAGTAAGTAGTTAAGTTCACAATAGATCAATTATGGACCCTGCTGGGCACAGCAAGAAGAAAGAAGAGAAGTTGTTAATGTATTTTCAAACTCTCTACCTGGCTTCCCTTGAAAAATGATTCCTTTTTATCAACACTACCAGTGGCTTGACTAATCGTGTATGTATAAAAAACTTGACTGTAATATATGATTTGATTGTCAGGGCGCATCACACACATACCCAGTAATATCGTCAGTGCAGTCACTGCAGCTTCAGCAAACACAACAGCAAGTTAACACGGTGAATATTCAACTAAATTTTATAGAGAACTTTCTATTATCCTTGCTTAATATTTGTATGTTTATATTACACGTCTACTACAATACTGGATTATTTTTAAAAATGTATTAAGTATAAGAGTAATTTCAAAAACTGATTTTTAAGTTCATCCAGTTGTTCATTGTACAAGTTTTTTTTACGAACTATTTTAATGCTGTTAGCCGCAGCTGGACTTTACCACTTCACCGAGCGATAGGGACCGAGTGCAGATGGCACTCCTAGCCCTGCTGACGGATACGACTTTAATCTGAGAGTACCATTAGGTCAAACTTCGGCTTGGACCTTCGTAATTTTGATCCCCGTTTGATTTGGACTGGGTGATCGGAGGGGGTCGTACATAGTGAGGACTGACCTAATAATCATTTTAATTAAACTGTAAATTTGTTTCAGCAGCAACCGCAGCAGCTTCAAGTACAAACCATACAAATTCACCCGCAACACCAACCAATACAAATACATGTAAGTTGTCCAGCTAACAGTTAAAGCGTATGTGCGACCACAGATAAGAGAATGTTGACCAGAGATACGACGCAACGAAGTCATTCGTTGTATATATGTTACTTTCATGAAATACCTACGAAAAATATATTCACTATTATTTAAATTTTATGAGTGGTATGACATGGTAACGTGATGCCCGTGCTGTTCATGTATAATATATAAACGAGAGGTAACGCTTACTGTCAGTTTGTTTGACATTGCAATTACAGAAAAAACCTATTACAAAATTAAAACAGGAACATAACAAACATAATTAATCCACTTTGATGACGGCGAGCTCGCCCTCTGCCATTTCAGGTGATGGGTTAATTACGATGTCGATAATTACGTCTGACTACTCCTATCGCTGTTAATTACGGCATAATTACTTATTTTTCGGAATATAATACTGTTGGTCGCTTACAAGCTGGCCAGCTTTACAGCTTCGCCGGACTTTAGGGGGCGAGTGCAGATGGCACTCCAAACTGAGCAGCTGCAGGCCAACTCCCGCCTGACGGATATGACTTTAGTCTGAGGGCACCGCTAGGGGCTCGAACCTCAGTTCAGGACGTCGTAATTTCAATCTCCGTTTGAATTGAACGGGGGATCGATCGGAGAGGTGGCATAATTATAATATATTGCTATTATTGTACATAGGCAGTGGGCGTTCAACAAGTACAACAGCAACAACTGCACGTGGCCACCTCCACTTGTCAGACCATGCTGCCCAATATACTGCAGGTAACTTACGTTTTTGTTTTAAGCATATATCTTCATGCCTATTTATTATTACTAGTGGTGATCCACTAATAAAAAATACGAAAATATCTTTGAAGAAATATATATTTAAAGTTTTTCACAATAATAAAAGAGTAATAGAGTATGTGTCATGTTTTTTATAGTGATTCAATGCATTTTTTTTTTTCAATTAATTTATTTGTAGGAAACAGAAGACGGTAATATTTTCAGGTACTAATATAATTGGCATCTGTTTTATTGCCCCCATTTATGGGTATGCAAATTTTAAATATGTTACAATATTGACGTGGTACATTGTTAGCAATGGGGTAATTAGTCCACATTACTAACATTTCCCTTCCCCCACTTGTTTTCATTTATAATTACGCAAAAAATATACCCCTAAATTGGTATCGACAGCTGCAGCCAGCGACGGCGGCAGTAGCAGTGTCAGGACTGGGGCAGCAGGAACTGGGCGGCGTCGCGCATCGCATCATACTCCAACCACAGCATCCTGCACTCTACACCATACACCACTGATGTGCACCAACCAATACACCTTCTGGAACATTCTAAACGCTCAGGTTTACCAAAAATATCTAGATGTATCCCCCATGCAACATAGCCTATGTTACTCACTGATAATGTACGCGCTATCTATAGATGAATGAATACTTAAAATCTGTCAAATTATAGTTTAATTTATCTGTTGTTTATTTTTATTATTAGTACAGGGAATAAAAATATGTATATTTTCCAGTTAATATGTTAACATAACTAGAAAATACTGTGGATAATAAGTGCACTCTTGAACGAACATAAAAGTATATATATTGAAAAATTTAATTTTTACCGTTTGTTTTGTGAAACCTTAACCAACTCTGAATCAATTGATGGTACGAGATTTATTTTATAAAATATATATGCTGCAGCATTTATATTTTGGGTGCCTATTTTTATGATACTTGGATGTCATAAGAATTAATAAATTTATTTTTTAAATTTTTACACAAACATATAACTCTGTAGGTAATATCTTTGAGTAGCAATTGCAAGTCAAGCATTATATGTTTTTCATTGGCGTTAAAACTACTTAAAATAAAACGAGAATAATTTACATTGGATCTATAGAGCTTTACTTATGAAATGATCTTTGTGTGTAGTATAAAGTAAAAAAAAATATTGCAAAATTCCACCTGAACAGTTACATACTTACATTGCAAGCTGAAAGCTTTGAAATAGCAGTAACTTGTTTCTAATGAATTTTATTTTTATAGAAGTGATATCTTTAACAACTAGACATTGAAATAATTTCTCTCTAGACGTTTTTTTAGTCAACAATTTTGTATAGTTATACGTTATTTATATAGGATTAAAGTTCTCTTATACTAGCAATTTTTGTTGCGCAATCGAGGATAATCTTTATAAATTATGGAAAGGCATTTATTTATAGAACATTTTTATCAATCAAGAATTAACTTCTGAGATCTATTTCCCGCCAATTATAGACAAAAATTGCTAGTGTAAACACATTATAAGCTTGTTACTTTGGTGGTTTTTCACACGCCTACGTCGAACCCCTAATTAGTTACCATAATTTGCAATGACATAAAATTGCACAATAATATAGCGGTTACGTATATAGGTAGTAATAATACTCATCATAAGTAGGTTCTATTAACTATAATTTTGGCAAATTAAAGTCAATTGCGATATCGTATTTCATTAATTGTTTATTTATGGTATATATCAAGTTCGTTGTCAAGTTTAACATGCTCACGCCGGAGCCGATTTTCATTAGTTTTGCTGAGGCGGCGCTCAAATGAATGACGCGCTTCATCTGGCGGCGCGCGATGCCTGATTATTTTAATTTCCATTCATTGTCTAATAGCATAATCATATGCATACCACCGGTGGTATGCGCTGCTCGATGAGACAATCTAGTGCCACCGGTGGCCCGCGCCGGCGGGCACGTGTTTAAGGGGGAGGGACGTGTAAGAAGCGATAGAACCTAAGTATCCAATTAAGCCAATTAATAATATAGATTTATTTTTGTTGTCTGTAGAAAGTTTTGTTGTGTAAAATATTTTTATAAACAATAAATAAAAAAATATATTTTGTTACTTTTTCATTTCTTCCTTTCCAGCTTCCGATTTTGTTTTTTGTTTCCTAGTCATTTTGGGAAGTGTCTGTTTGTAATGCTAGTGTCAAGGCCAACATTCAATTTGAAGGCATTTAAAAAAATAGTATATAGGTACTAGCTGTCCCGGCAAACGTTGTTTTGCCTTAAAATAAAAAAAAAATTAGGGTTGGTCTACCCCTAACATTTAGGGGGATGAAAAATAGATGTTGGCCGATTCTCAGACCTACTCAATACGCTCACAAAATTTCATGAGAATCGGTCAAGCCGTTTCGGAGGAGTATGGGAACGAAAACTGTGACACGAGAATTTTATATATAAGATATAAGGTAATAAAATAAAACTACAAATTACTAAAACTAATCATATATTACAAATTAACCATCGTCCAAAATTAAATTCACTGTATCTTAATCAAGTTAAAATTAATTATAATTAAATGCATTTCATTAATAAATCATAACCATTTAAATACTAACAGCCAATACGTAATGATCTAATATAATCACTCAATCATCTGCAAGAGCATATAATAATAGATGTAATGACGCGGCATTAGGTCAAATCCAGATAAAAATTTCTAACGGATACAAATCTAGCTGTAAAGTCAACGACTCGTATCATCTAATTGTACGATTATTCAATGCGCTTAAATAGTACAAAACTCGCATTCTAGCTGTGAAATTTCTTACAATACAAGTAATTTGCACGAGCACACACCTAAACCCACCCTATAAATATTAAAACTAAAACTCGCGTATTCGTATAAAAAGGCTATATCTAGGTTATCTTTTAAGATTATAAGAAAATATCTAATACTATTCGATTATTTATTTTATCTAAAAATTTAAATTATTGAGAACATACAGTCCAAGTCTACTGAAATTATGTCTTAAAATATATATTACAAGTTATGAATTAGAATGAGAATATGAATATAGGTTTCTATTTGGGTTTTTTTAACAATATTAAGAAATTTGGCGTGTTAACAGTAAAAAACAGCACAATAACATTTCAATACAAATACGTTATCTTATTTACAATACTCGTTCAAAGGCCACAAGTTACATTATGAAATTCCTTTCTGAATTACCAGTCATATATAATAGATGCTTATAATATTAAAATATGTAGTCAATACCAACAATATTGATCAGTTTGTTATTGGCTTCTTAGACAGCACCTCAAATCTCGTATATAATAATAATCTCAGAAGAATTCACACAGCGCCATCTAGACCAGAGTTAAGCTAGCTAGAGCTTGTGTTATGGGTACTAGACAACTGCTACAAATACATAGATATTTTGTTTCTCGTAAATACATACATATAGAAAACACCAAGATCGATACAAACAATCATACTAACGAATACAAATGTTTGTACCGTGCGAGGAATCGAACCCCCGACCATCGGAAGTAAGGCGGTGTGCTAAACCGCTAGACCATCGAGGCCTTTAATATTAATATACAAGCTGACTGCATACATATACATACTTTACGATCACTTTAGGAAATAATAGCGATCACAATTTTTTCTGATGGTTCAGCTCAAGAATTGCTGGCAAAAGGTATATTTAAAAACCGACTTTTGGTACTGCACTGTATGAACGTTAACCATTCAATATATCCCTAAAGAATTAGTTGGTGCAGTGATAGCAATCAGTGAGATCTCTGTCTCATATTAGTATACAAGTTATTAGAGGTGCAGTCTCGCCATTGCCGAGCACATGAAATTTCAAATGTTGCAACTTCGAAGATTGAATTAATCGATTGAAGCAATCTCTAACTTATCGTGTCTATAATTGCAAGCGGTTTAATCAATCAATGTAAAACAGAATAGATATTATATGTAAATTATAATAGAGTGAATAAAATTCTTTTTCTCAAAATTTTTATGCAGTCTGCTATTTTCGAAACACCTATTATTCATCAAAAAGCCGTATTCTTACGGTTTAGTGTTAATTATGAACGCTTATATCACAAGTATTCTGCTTGACACCGAGAGCCACAAAGTACAGCCTTCCGTTTTATAAAAACTAATTAATAATGACAATATTATGTGCAAGTTTTATGGCATCTCTAGTGTTTTATGTATTTAGTTAGAATAGCAAATGACTGTCCACCTGATAGTAAGTGTGAAAGTATGAACTTATGTCGCCTAAATATAAAACTAAGCACCATCATGTGAAGTTCCTAGTACTACTCATGCGTTGCCATTCCGAAGGACTAAGATGTCATCCTGTAATTTAATTACTACATCTCAGTTTTAACGGAAACATTTTAAAACAAGCTGCTTTGCGGCTGAACTAGGTGTAACAGAGTTACCTAATCAAACGACATTGTACAAACTACTAGAATTCTCATTGGCAGTGTATTTGCTGTAACAGCGAATGAGTCTTTGGATAGCAGTGATATTCATTCCCTTCACATTGTCGGAAGCCTATGGGCTATGATATCTTAGCCGGTAACAATTAAAGATTAACTTTGTTGGATGTTTACCGACTTGCGTTTAAAAAAACCAAAAGTCTGACCATTACACTATTTTACAACATAATTATTTTGAAACATGCTCAATAACCTAGTAGTTGAAGATTTATTAGTAATATAATGAAACCATTGATTAATGGTTTCATTATATGTTATTCAAGTTATCTCATTATATCTTGGACCTCCACGCAAAATCATCCAATCATGTAAATATTTTTTTTAAGAAACAATAATGGAATAGAGTTCTCGCCCGGGCTAACGGTATACGCTGGCGGATGGTGAAGGATAAGATGAGTATCAAGTCAGTACAGTTAGCCCATAGTGGTAAATTTAACATGATGGTTCCAGAAGGAACCGCGTGAAGGTCTACCTGACATTGTACAATGCTAGCAATGGGGTTATTAATCTACATTACTGACAATCGCCTTCCCCCATCATGGTAAGTCCGCGGACAAATTACAACAGGGTCTAACTGGTCTAACTACATAGACATTCTCCACTGGTTCCACACCAGTCTATATGTGCAGTTCAGTGCAACATTCCCTATTTATACATTTAAAAAATCTAGTAGTGAATTTGTCATTGATTCTTCCATACTGGTAGCTGACATAAAGTTAATCTTATTATTTTACACAATCAAATACATAATAATAGTCAATCAGTTTTATAAGTCATATCCAATTTGAAGGATGCATAGTGTTTGTAGTATTGTTAAAACTTCAAATACATCCTTTAAATTAACAAACCTAACAATTTACTCGTCAGAAATGCTAACCTATGAATTTCCAAGCGAGCGGTAGTATATTCTATTAATTTCCATCAAAACGTTTTCGAATTCCAAAACATCTAAATCGTTAGTCCCTGAGCCAGTCAAATTTCGTCAATTATATTCTTCCGACCGAAAACCTTTAAAATATTTTAGTTAGTAGTGTTATAAAGCCTAGTAAACGTCAGGTGCAGTTCCGAGTGCGGAGAGAAGCAGCACACTCGGAAACATTTAAAAAAATCTGTCATTTCCTCATTAGTCATCAGAATCTGCTTGTCTTGTAGGCCTCAAATAGAATTTACTACTTTTATGAAAAGACGTTACGATGTGGTGTTAAAACAGACCTATTATTATTAAATGTTAAATAAACTATTAAATTGATTACTATCATAATAATAACATGGGTAATGGTAGACTAAAGGTATTAACACAATTTTCCACTAAAATACATATAGCAAAGACATTATGTATGAGTAACTTCTAATACACGCTTTTATTTGCGTTTATATTATCTGAACATATTATATGTAATACAATATGTATATTAGTAGAAACGAAGGATAAAAACATAGATAGATATATAAGAACCGACTTGTGTGAGTCGGGACGCGATTTACTAGACCCATGGGGATTTACTAGACGCCCTGCACAGTGCTATCGGGCTCTGGGGATTCTTTGTGCTCATAGCAGATGTAGGCAGCATCGTTAGACAGCCCATTTGGTAGCTTAACACTGCGGAAGTAACGGTGGCGACGGGCATCTTTTGCAGATATACGCTTCACTGGATCATACACCAACATCTTCTGTAGGAGATCCATACCAACCTCGTCCAGGTTTTGTACCTGTGACATTGTTAGATCAGACATATCAAATCAAAATACACAACTCGTTTATTCATGAAGGAGATTTTAGCCGCTTATGAACGTTTGTTTTATAATTTTTTCCCTAACATCCATATCATCATTAGACACTCGGAGTGATAAAAATACAGCACACACAAATTATAACACAAGCAGTGTTCCAATCTTGACATTGACAAAATCAACGAAACTCCGATGGAGCTATAGCATAAAAAATAAAGATTATTTTACTTCAATAAGCCCAACACAACGTCTCTTATCTGATGACCACTCAGGTTACTCCTGAAGGCACCACTGAACACACCGCTTTACTCCTGAAGGTGGCGGGTTCGATTCTCGCACAATACATATATTAGTATCCATTCATTTGTATTCAGTGTGATTGTGTTTATTGGTCTCGAAATTCTCTATACACACTATGTACTTAAAAAATACATATTAAGTATTTCTATCAGTTGTTTTACATACTAAATGCTCTGTTTAGCTAATAATGATGTATTAATTGTAAATGAATATTGAATTAATTATTTATTGTTATATTGTTTGTGCTTCATCTTTACTGTATGTTGCAAATAAAGTATATACAGTCAACCCTCCTATAACGCGGTACTCTCAGAACGCGGTTTCCATATAACGCGGAGCTGAAATTGCGACAGCCCTCCTATAACGCGGTACTCTTACAGCGCGGTTTCCGTTCAACAACGTCCCATCAGTTCTTTCCGTGCACCCAATGAATGGTTTTAACTGGATATGTTTATATCAGCGTGGTTCACGGGTGGGGCTCCTCATGCGCTATCTTCCACTTCTATTAACTAAATAGTTTCGCATCGACAGCGTGCCATGCGTGTGTGTGTCTAACGAAACTGTAACATGAAAGATATATATGTGATCTTTTGACTACATTGTCGCGTGAACTATAGAAAAACTACGTTCTGCTTATGTCTTAGCCGCTTAAAACCAATGTGAAGATCAACCAAGTGAGGAAGACATTTTGCCCATTAAAAGAAGGCGAGTTAGGCGACTCATATCTGACAGTGAGGATGAGTTGAAACATTACATCATTTTACAAAAGTCTTTCTTTTGTTTTTGTTGGAAAACAGTTTTTTAGTTTAGTTTTTGTTTCATTTTTTTCATCATTTCCTTATTTTTATTGAATTGAAGAATTCATACTCTTCAATTCAATAAAAATAATTTATAATTTATCTTGTCTTTTGTATTTATTGGTCTCCATATAACGCGGTACGAATGATGTGATTTGTACTTATTCTGAGTCTCTTGTAGCGCGGTTTCCATACAACGCGGTAGACGGTTTCCATACAACGCGGTACGCACTCACCGCGTTATAGGAGGGTTGACTGTACTATCTATCTATATATCTAATTGTATAGATGTATTATTGTTATTAATCGAGTTATTTTTATTAATCTCCTCTATCATAATGTTGTTATTTCCATATTAAAATTAGTCTGACGCTACTGTCGGTAAGATAGTGTACTAAAACAAGGTCAGTAACTTACATGGTTGTGTAGGTTAAATGTATTCCAATTGGGGAAGGTGGGTTTGTAGTCAGGCAGAGACGACACTCCAGGCCAAATCTCTTCTGTAGGGGTGCGTAGCATTCTGAAAGAAATTATGTAACATACATCATTTATAACATAAAAAAATTGAATTGTTCACTTAAGAAACTTAAATAATAGGTTTTAGCAAGAAATGCTCCTAGTGATTTCTTTCTTTACTAATGAAACAGTAACAAAATTCTCAAAACATAATGCAAAAACTGAAATTCACATTCCATATAATTTTAATAAAAAGTTCTACTTCGAATTGGCCTCATGCATGAACTCCACGTTGTGAAACACTGGTAATACACCAGACCAAGCCTTTATTTAACAGATTTGTTGTGGGAATGTGTTGATGGGAGAGCACTGTACCTCCAGTGAACAAACTGGATCATTTAACATCACTTTTTTTCTAATCAGTGAATAAAATCCCATGCATGATGTACCTTAATGTACTTCATATTTTTTTTCACTATGTGAGCCAATGAACTATCATAGACTCACATAGTGAAAGAAAATATGCATTAGAATATATGAAAATGCAAATGTGTGTTTGTCTGTTTCTTACCTTTACAGGAATAAACTGCTAACGGATATCAATGAAATTCGACATAAAGACAGATGGTACAAAGCTATCTTAAATGTCTAAAAAGGAGATTCAAGAAAGATTCAGATTCAAGAAGAGAAGAACTTACACCATGAAAAAAACGAAAGTCTGTTTTATTTGTAGAGGCATAGATTACAAAACTTCAGATTTTAAATTAGATTAAAGAACTACAATTAGCTACCACATAATATATAGTTGAGTAATATATTTTAATAAAAGCACGTACCTGAAGATGCGGAAGAGTTGGTCAATCTCCGAGTCTCCTTGGAACAGAGGTTTCTTTGACGACATTTCAGAGAATATGCAGCCCACAGACCAAATATCTATTGGGCATGAATATCTGAAAAGAAATTTCATCATATATATATATCAGAGGAAGACTGTAAAAAGCAGTCAGTGTGAATACCTTCATCTCACCTATTTCAGTCAGATTAGGTAGTGATAAGTAATTACAAGACAAGATAACATCTTAGTCCTCTGGAACATAAATGCATGAGTGTTATCATTATCACAGGATAATGATCTCCATAGGGCTGCTCATGCATATAGGCCATGGTTACCATCAAAGGTGAGCTGTCAGTTTACTTACAATTCCAATTAAATAAGAATATATAGTAAAAATCATTTTGGTTCAACCTTTGTTGAATACAATAGCTTCAACAAAGGTTAACTTACCTTTGACTACCTAGCAGTACTTCTGGTGCTCTGTACCAGAGAGTGACCACTTCATGTGTGTATACACGGACTGGTACGCCAAACGCACGGCCCAGTCCAAAATCAGCTACCTGTTCAAATATTTGTTAATAATTAAAAATATATATCAGTCTAATTATTTTAAAATTTACAATAGATACAACATGGATTAGAAAGAGTATCCACCCCTTTAATAACTAATAATTCAATTGTTGTCATGCACATACTTAACATAATCTTATTTGATGAAGTAAGTTAAATAAGTATCATCTATTTCTTTCTAAAGACTTTTTAGGGATTATAAAATTGTAAAATTTTAGGAGTGGCTTACTACAAAACATTAGTAAAAAGCACAGGCAAATAGACAAAGCATTGATGAAAAATGAGTTTGCTTATATATGTTTCATTTATAGACAGTGATATAGTTACATTTTATTAATTCGAAATGCTGACAAAAAATGCTAAATAATAGTATGCAACAATACTACACTAACAACTGTATTAATTGTAAGGTGTCTATGTCTAGATTTATATCTGGGGTCTAGTACCTTAATAATACCAGTCTTATCAATGAGCAAGTTCTGAGGTTTGAGATCTCTGTGCAGAATTCGCCGCTGGTGACAGTACAGGATAGCATTGTTGATCTGATACAAGTAGCTCTTCACAACGGCAGGGTCCATAAACTGGTGGAACAAAACATTTTGTTCATACACAATGCCAGTTTTATTCTAACTGGTGCATAATGAGTTGACATTAACAGTTATTAATATGTTGTTATGTGATAATTGTCACGAATAGATTGAAAGAATTGTTAGTTATAGGGAATAGCAACCAGCAACACACAACTTTCTTGCTCATTTGTGATGAGACAGCTTTCCGAACAAGCGGTAAATAAAAAAAATTGTTATAACTATTCAAAAGTGCTTAAATTAAGTTTATTTAAATAAATGATTTTTTTTTTATTCTAGATTATCCTGATTAACTACCATGTTACCTCTGGAAACCATACTGGATTAGTAACAATGGGCTAACTGACCAAAAATCATGGTCATCCAATTATCCTTCATTGCTGCCTCACAAATGTATAATATTAGCGCAGACTGTACCATTCCATTACAACCCATTTAAAAAAGAATTGTCAACTACAGATATGATAATTACAAATACCACACAATACAGCTTTTCTCATCATAACAATCCTATGTTTTTCTGTTTTTATATACATATCTTGCAATCTCATCAAGCCTTTAGCAGATTTATTAAACAATCATATCTGTCAGGTATAAATTGGCCTTCAGACACTTCATGTGACTTGTCATTTCCTGGCTCGCAGCTTTACTTTCCAAAGAAACTAACAGCATCATGATGGTTAAATAAACAATATATATCTCAGGACAACTAATATCTATATAAACTAATAGACCATTAATATATAACATTAATGATATTCTTTTAGATATACATAACAAGGAAGCTCTTTGCACCCCCTAGCATTTACAAGGGAATTTTTCTGCGAGTGATTGTATATGACAGGTCTTTACATCCTCCATATCCTTTATTTCCTGTATTGTTCCATGTGTGTATCCTAAATGTTCAAATATGTACCCCCTGGTGATTCAATCCATAGGCTATAGTTAGTTTAGTATAGTAATAGCTTACCATCAGAATATAAAGGTAATTTGTGATCATAAATGACCTTTGTAAGCACTTAAGTTGACGAGGAAAAAAAAATATTTTAAAGTTTCTTCAATCTATCTACATCTTCATAACATAGTTTTTATGAAGTCAGTGATAAAAGAAATCATCGAATTACATGATCAGGCTGTAAGAATTTCAAATGAACTAAGTAATACAAATATCACATTCTAGTTACATGAATCTGATGTTAGTTATACTTGATATACAAATTAGTTATATTTATTTTTTTATTTATCCTTTATTGCACTATTTAAAATAATATACAATTGGCGAGCTTAATGCCATATGGCATTCTCTACCAGCTAACCATTGGGTAGAAACAGAAAGCGACTTATACTTTAGTTTCTACATGTATTTATATTTAATTTTATCAATACTTTTATTACTTTATAAATATGAAGTCTGTTTGTCTGTTACCTTTTTGCAACCAAATGTCTGTATAGTTCTTTAAGAAATTTTACATGAAGGTATAAAATAGAACTTATTATTGTATTATGAGACAAACATAGTCTTTTTTATTTCAAAACAAATAGATGAAATTGTGGAAACCATTAGTAGATATATAGATAGATAAAATCTTTATTCACATTGTTAGAATGTAATTATGAGAGAAAAATATCATACTTTTCCCGATCCTAGGGTGTCCATGTATTTCTTCAGATCCATAGAGAGAAACTCGAAAATAAGATAAAGGCGGGACTCTTCCATTAGAACATCTTCCAGTTTTACAATGTTGGGATGGTTCAATTCCTTCAGTAGAGATATTTCTCTATAAATAAAGAAAAAATATTTTAACAGGTTATAATTTGGTTTCTTTTCAAAATCCTGCTATATTGTACTTAATAAATCATATAAACAAAAGTACATAAAAAATTAACCTTATAGCCGTTGAGGGTATCCCTTCGTCTTCAGATTCCAAACGAATTTTTTTCATAGCCACAAACTGGCCAGTGATTTTATTTTTACCTTTGTACACTACACCATAGGTACCTTCACCAATTTTCTCAATTTTGAGAAAATCATCCATTTTGTAATGCTTTTTGCACTGAATTTTGCTAGATTTCTGGCAAAATGCGATGTAAACGACAATTTGGAGAACAACCGCGTGCCAAAAATTTACTGTTCATGGAACGAAATCATCGATAACAAAATATTATATTGGAAGTTTTTATACATTGGAATTATTTTAACTTACTACACAATATATTACAAAATTCTGAACAATTATCATTGCATGTTCCCTGGAATAACGAATTTCAAACGAAAACTTTTTAAATATTGAATTGTCAATCTTAGTTGATATGTCAGCCACGGTTTTTTTTTTATTTTTGTTTCTTTGGACCTAAGAACTTATTCTTAGTTCTCTATTTAGACTTCGAAGTACGTATTATATAATTTAATATACATAGATATGAAAATAACGCATAGATTAATTTACTTATTAGAAAGAAGTCGTTTCTTTATTTTTTTTATAATTATTTATTTATTTTAATTCTTACAAAATTTTTTAAGGGCTTAAACTAATAGAATAATGTAATTTATGTATAGATCGGATGATAAGTAGTTTTTATGCCTTACATTAAATATCATTAAATATAATTTGTATGTATTGTTACACAAGTGTATATGACAGTATAATATCCACTTATAAAACTTGCAATGTGACTAGACAACACTCTGTGGTAGCATATCAACTATCATAATATTCATCATAGCAACTATCGGATGATTATGTGGCGAATCTACTATCATCGTGCGGCAACACCGTTGCCTAGTTACGATGGGGCAAGAAGAATAACAAGCTTGTCATTCGAGACCGAATCATCTTTCTTGTATATATATTCATTGTAAATATTTTGTTAATATACATAATGTAAATAGCAATCATTGGACTTATCACTTCATCTCCTTTTCTGCTGCACATTACAAACACAAACATAAATAATAGCGGTAACAATATAGTCGCTAAAATTATAAACATTTCAATTATGGACACATAAATGAAGGAAAGTGGAACATAAACTTATAATTAACAAAAAGATTTGGCGATCTTGTCTTGAAGAATTTTTGAATCTCATGAAAATACTACTGAAGATGAGGCTGTATGGTCTCGTACCTTTGCCTATCGACTGTCATAGAGAGAGCACAGAGAAGAGAAAATGTCAGTGAAGTCAAGGAGATGGACGAATATGGAAAAAAAAAAAATGTCAGTGAAGTCAAGGTCAAATGATGTTTTGATTTACCTATAGTTTGTTCAACTTTGTTATATATAGTTATGTTTTGTGATTTGTATATATTATATAAATTGTTTAACAATTTTTTCCTGCTTGAGTCTTTCAAGGAAAAGTGAGCATGTATTACTTTATATTATAATACAAATCTATTACAGAAAAATAGAAGAAATAAATAGAATAATATAAAATTAAAGTAATCTTTATCATTTTATTGTCAGGTATGGGATTTTACATGATGCGGAAATTGCAAGATGTTGTGACTCTCCTAGGACCACGTTTTTCCTTAACAGGTATTTACAATTATGAAATAACGAACTTTAAACCAATCGATTCATAGTATTCCTAGGTGTCACTGGAGATAAAGATTGTGAAATTTTTGCTGTTTTTTGAAATTTCGGAAAAATGCTTGCGAAAGTGCCTACTGTTAAACTTTCGAGTGGATATAAAATGCCTATTATTGGTCTTGGTACCTATGTGGTGAGTTACTCTTTTGTTGATTATAGATTCAAAGGAGGTGGAGGGCAATATATTAAATTTCATCATAATTTTTTTCAATAACCTAATAATGCAGAACAAAACCCAGTTCATAAAATGTGCATTATGCATTTTACTTTTAGTTAGGATATTATCTTAAGAAATCTGTCAGTGAAAACTGAAAACATAATTAATTCTTGCAAAATATTAATAAAAAGACATACACAGCCAGAGATGTTGGTGGCCGCTAGTATATTTATATCTGTATTATGCAGTATGTCATCTAAATTAATGTATATTTTGTCCTAATTTTGTAGCCTAATGAAAAATGTCATGAGGTTCAACAGGCAGTTAAATGGGGTATTGAAGCTGGATATCGTCATATAGACACTGCAATGGTTTACCGTAATGAAGGACAAGTAGGGGAAGGCATTGCTAGTAAGATTAAAGACGGACTGGTTACAAGAGAAGAGCTATTTATCACTGCAAAGGTAAGTTATATATAAAATGTATATATATATATTGTGTATAGAAAATAAATTTTATAGTAGTGCTATAAAGGCAAGAATGTTGTGTCCATTAATATTGTATAATAAAAATGTAACTGATCAATGAATGTACATGATATATATAAAAATATATGAACACTATTATTGTCTACTTTGTCTTAGAACCCATAACAACAATTGCTGGAATTTTCGTCTTTAATTAATTTAGGCTCCATGTTCAGTAATTTATTGTGATAAGTTTCACTTAAAAAACTATGTTTGTTGTATTCCAATCAATCCATAAGCTTATCAGGTTTCTAGTTACAAGGTCAGCTAGTTTATACCAGGACTTATTTTTGCATTAATTTCTTTGTTGTTTTATTTGTAGCTCTGGATTGACAAGCATGCTGAAAATGATGTTCCATATACCTTAAAACAGTCATTGTTTTATCTTAAATTGACATATGTTGATTTGTATCTCATAAATTGGCCATTTTCTGTTGATGTAAGTATTACAGGTTAATAATTATAAAATAGTTGTATTTTGTTAAATTAACTTAAATCACAGTGAACAAACGAATTTGACTTCTGATTTTCAGGACTGTCAAGAAGATGCAGGAATAGACTATATTGACACATGGAGGGCTATGGAAAATGTTGTAAAATTGGGACTTGCTAGGTCTATTGGAGTGTCCAATTTCAATAAGGAGCAATTGGAACGACTCTATACTGCAGCAGAAATTAAACCTGCTGTGTGCCAATTTGAGGTAAAATAAGAATAATTTTTTATACAAAAACTAGCTGACCTGGCTGGAAACATTGTTTTGCCATATAACATAAAATCGCGATAAAAAAATGGGGTTTGCGATAAATGTGTGAAAATTTAGGGTTGTATGCTAAATTTTCACCCTTGTTGTTAATGCGTTGTTAAATGCCACATTATAAAAAAATAAATATAATATTTTTTGTCAAAACAAAAATGATGTTTTTTGTGAGCCACCCATAACAATTAGGGTTAACCCATGAAAATGAGTTATATACCTATTCTCAGACCTAATGAATATACATATAAATTTTCATCAAACTCAGTCAAGCCGTTTCAGAGAAGTATAAACACAAAACCTGTGCCATGAGAAATTTATATATTAGATAGAAATTAGCTACTTTAAAATGAGGGGTAGTAAACGCCTGGTTGGTGCAATCATTCTTATTTTCTTATTATATATAAAGTTCTTATTTTCTTAATAATGTTGTAAAAGTTACAGTAAACTGCAAAACAATAACGGGCACTGCTGACTGCTTTAAAGAATTGTAATGTTGCTATTTGTAAACTTTATTTGCATTACAGATAGATATATACATTAACAATTAAGCAACAGTCACATTAGCAGGCAGCTCTCAGTAGGCATGCAATTTTTTATTAAATTAACAACTAACTAACCTAATTACATAGGTACTTATTTGATATTCATTATTAAAGATTGTTATTATTATTATTACTTGAAATAATTCTTAAGAGAGTAAATTGAAAGAAAAGTAACTACCAGCAATATGGTCGAAATGACGAGAGAGGTAATTGTACCTTTATTACTCATTAAAATATTAGTGTCAAGACATGATAAATAATATAAATAAAAAAACAATAATTATAATGTTATCTATATATAGCTTTGTATTAATATTATTCCAGATTAGTCCAACATTAACACAGCATGATTTAGTGAACTATTGTAAACAATTATCAATAGTTCCAGTTGCATACTGTCCACTTGGCTTGCTTTCTAACAGCAGGAAAGGAAAAGGAAAGGACTTAATTAAAACTGATCCAAAGTTGGGCGAACTGGCTCAGAAATATGGCAAATCAAGAGTACAGATTGGCTTGAGATATCTTGTTAGTATATAATAATATTAGCATGCATTTGTTAATTACAACTAGAATTATGTATAAAAACTAGAATAATAGGATTGTCTGAAGACATACTTTTTTTGTTTGCGCATGTTTCCAACGATCTAAAGTTATCTATCAACCAAGCCAATAATTATAAAATATTATTTCAGATTCAACGTGACATTACAGTGATTCCGAAATCCACTAACAAATTACGAATACAGGAGAATTTCAATTTATTCGATTTTGAACTCGCCAAAGAAGATATGGATATAGTTGACAGTTATAATTTAAATTTAAGATGCCTGCCAGGACGGGGTTTTTCGAATTTAAAAAACTTTCCCTTTTAAACTGTTGTATTATGATAATACATTTAAGTTATATGCAAAAATTGTATATTTAAGGTAGAAATATTTTATACCTAACAGTTTTAATAAAGACAATTTTGTTACCACAATTAACTTTAACTACTTTGGTGTCTATTTATAAGAAAATCTTAACGTGTTATTTAACAACTTCGCAATTTTAATGTTTCAATATTTGAATCATTAAAATTGCGAAACAGAATGAAAAGACAGGATGAAACGATTTCTGTCATGAAAACTGTCATATTAAGAAATTGAATGACAAATAAACTATTATTTTAATTTAAGTTTGAAATTCCTCTACTCATAGTGCGCTTTATGTCACAAAATAAATATAAAAATTCTTGGTGAATTTTGATATAACATCCTTCAAATAATAGATACAATTATCTTCTGAATAATAGTTCAAACACTATTATGGAGTTTATAAGTAGTCTGTGCTGAGTGTGCTGTGTGTTAGTAATCGTTGACCACAGAAGGGTTTCATACAAAAAATGTGTCTCATCAATGTCAATCATGGTTAATGTAAATAAAATAATTTTTATAAGCTGAATTAAATCAATTAGACAGGAATTAAAAATTATGACAAAAAAAGTTACAAAAGAGAAAATCAACACTTGAAATCCTTTAGTAAAATTATTATTATTTTTTATTATTATTGTTCGTAGGTATGAAATGTCATGTGATAGGGAACTTGAAATTGTAGCTTGATATGATAAGCATATCTTCCAATTCCTTCCGTTAAACTTGTTTACAATTACGAAATAACCTAGTGATTATTTACACCATCTCTTTATATTCTTAGTTATCACTGTAATACACAGATAAAGAGTCGAAAATCAGATAGAATTAAAGAGTGCGCAACTTTAGCTATTTATTTGAGATATCCGAAAATGATTGCGAAAGTGCCTACCGTCAAACTTTCCAGTGGGTATGAAATGCCTACAATTGGTCTGGGTACATATGCGGTAAGTTTTGTTTTATTGTTTAAAAACTTCAGCTACGGTATTTTAATGGGATAATAATATATTGTAACAATAACACAAAACAAAAACAATTCACACAGCGGCATCTAGTCTCAAGTTATGCAGAGTTTATGTTTTTTTTTATGGATGATAATGGAATGGTGTACCCACTTGCGCTAACGGTTTACGCTGGCGAGGCACCCGTAGAGGATGATAAGATGAACATGAGGTTAGGTCAGTTAGCCCATCGTGACATATTCACCAAGAATTTATCACGATGGTTTCCAGGGAGACTTGTCAACCTCTGACATGTTGCATTGCTCTGTAATGGGGTCATATTACTAACAAACCCCTTCTCCCCTGCAGAGTTTGTATTAACGGTATTAAACAACTGATACTTTAGACACTTGAAATGATATAAACAATCATACTAATGAATAAGTATTGCAAACTTGTGGTACTGTTCACCATTACTAAAACCACCCCTCATACTAGTATTAGTGTACATAGATCCATTCTGTTATATGTATATTGTTATAGCGTAATGCAGAACAAGGACAAGTCCAGAAGGCTGTTGAATGGGGCATTGAGGCTGGATACCGTCACGTAGATACAGCAATGATCTACCGTAATGAGGAACAAGTAGGGGAGGGTATTGCTAATAAAATTAAACAAGGCCTGGTTATCAGAGATGATCTATTTGTTACTACAAAGGTAAGTTATACTACATAGTGGTAATTAAAATTAAAGTTGTTTAATACATAATTACAATTGTAAGATGATTCCTACAATTTGTAAGTTTAATATGGAAAGATTTTGGAATAACAAAAGCTTACATTTTGTTGTATGCTGTAATTCATAGTTATATTGTCAAAAACATTATAAACTAATAGTTCCTAATTTTAGCCTTGCCTCACATTTCTTATAAGAGTCAGATGGCTCATGCTGATGACTCCAATTGGCTCATTGAGTGCTATGGCCTTAGTAGTTGAGCCTATTGTTAGGTGTTAACGGTATTATTCATTCAGATTGATCTGAAAAAAGTAAGCCTAGTCTTACATACCAAACTGGACAAGCAATTTGAGGTTTATTGTGTGATTCACAATTTATGTATAATTTTTGTGTATTATAAATAAAAGAATAAATTTTAATTGTAGCTCTGGAATGACAAGCATGCCGAAGCTGATGTGTTACCCGCCTTGGAGCAGTCATTGTCAAAACTTAAGTTAACATATGTAGATTTATATCTCATACATTGGCCAGTTTCTGTAGATGTAAGTATTAATTTTATAAACTGCTAGCTGACTTGTATATCCCATAATATATCAATCCTATCCTAAAATAGAAAATAATCTGCATAAAAACTATTCTATCCTATAAATCTCACCAATTTACACACATGACTGTATGTATTTGGGACAAAGATATAACATGTGACTCTATATAATTGTATAGGGGTTGATATTCATATTCAAACCATTTGTTTTTCAGCAAAATGATGAAGATACAGGAATAGATTATATTGAAACATGGAGAGGCATGGAAAATGTTGTAAAATTGGGACTCGCTAGATCTATTGGAGTGTCTAATTTCAATAAGGAGCAATTAGATCGGCTCCTAACTGCAGCACAAATTAAACCGGCTGTGTGCCAGTTTGAGGTAAATTAAGAATGACATTTGTATACTAAATCAAGCATACGGCTAGAACACGGATTAAGTGGTGCTAACTAAATATAGTTAGCACCACTCAATCCGCGTTCTTGTTGGAAACGTAGCTTATATTCTGCAGATATGGCAATATTTTTATTTTAATTATGTGAAATATTTTTTAGAATAAAGTCCAGAGAAATTCTGTTTTATCCTTGTTTTGTTAACTTTATTACTTAGTTATTCTCCGATGGGCATTCTATGATATTAATTGTAAAATTATTTGTAATAAAAATTGAATTGGCAAAAATAAAATCAGTGATCGAATCTGTGCTGTCCAGTCTCGTTACCGAATTTAGCTATGCCCCGCCCTTTTTAAAAATGCGCCAATCAGAACGAGATATGCATCTGAGCAACGCGCAATGCGACTCTTTAAGTCTCTGACCACCTTTAGTAAGTTCATCATGCGTAATATTTTTTATATGAATTTCAGATTAGTCCAACATTAACACAGCATGATTTAGTCGATTATTGTAAGAAATTATCTATAGCCCCCGTTGCGTATACACCACTAGGTTTGCTTTCTGACGCCAGGCCGGAGTTTTCTGGAAAGGACCTAATCAAAACTGATCCAAAGTTGGGTGAACTGAGTCAGAAATATGGCAAATCTAGAGCACAGATCGCCTTGAGATATCTTGTGAGTATAGCTTATTAGCTTTATTACTACTTAGCTTTATTTTCTTGCTTTTCTTGTAATGAGTTTGCTTTCCGAATAACCGGTAGAACTAATATAAGCGCTTTAGAATAATCTTTTTTTTTACTATTCAAAGGTGCTTATATTAAGTTTATTTGAATAAAGATTATTTTTATTTCTATGATTGTTAAATTCGTTGTTATAAATTACGCTGTTGATACATTACCATATTACTAGTAATGAAATCTACAACCAAATTTAAAAATACAATTTCAGATACAACGTGGCATTACAGTAATTCCGAAATCTTTCACCAAATCAAGAATAGAGGACAACTTGAATTTGTTCGATTTCGAACTTAGCAGAAAAGATATGAATCTAGTTGACAGCTACAATTTAAATTTGAGATGTGTTCCAGCACTTGGGATGTCAAATTTAAAGAACTTTCCCTTTTAAATTAAAGGGTTGTGATAGTACATTTAGAATTTATATGTATAAATTGTATAATTGATGTTTAAATATTTTTATTCACTATAGTAAAACAAAGATATGTTTATAATTAATAACATGTATTTCATTGGGGATGTCTACTGTCAGTCTATATTGGTAAAATAACATGTTTACACTAGTTCCATTTCTAGAATGTAAAATTATATACTTAATAATAATATATCCTATATTTGGAATTACAAGATGTCATACTTACCACATATTCATACATTCTGAGATATTATGACGCATATAAACATTTAGACTTATATTGATTTGGCAGACTAAAGTGAAAATTAGATTGAAATAAAACCAACACATATACCATAATTAGACCATTTTATTCAATAAAAAACAACAATAAATAAATATTATATCAACATTCAATACAAATACAAAATAGAAATACACGTCTGTAAATACATTGTAATGACTTACTAGAATATTTTGAAAGTAACCAAAATATCATCCATGGAATGTCCGTTAAAATCTCATAAAATCATTTTAAAAAGTTATATCGATTAAAAGACAAATTTACATAACTCTTTAACTGTATGAGACCTTAATTAGGATCAGTAAAAGTGGAGTAGAAAAGAAATGCAATGAACAAGTTGTCAAACATATTAAATTGTGTGTACATGTTACTGGAAATTGTGTATAATTCAGGTAATAATAACAATACCCTCAGACTATTCACACAACAGTGTCTAGTCCCATGCTAAGCAGAGCTTGTGTTATGGGTACTAGACAGCTATTATAAATTGTTAGTTATTGTTTTGTAAATACATACATAACATACATACTAAAACACCCAGACCGTAACAAACAATCGTATTTATGAATAAAATGTTTGTACCTTGCGCGGAATAAAACCCGCGACCATCGGAAGTAAAGCGGCGTGCTATATAGTCCATAGTAGTTCTTATGTGCCAAAGTCTGTTATAAAGGCACGCCCGCCTAGATAGACGGTGTCCTACTGATAAAATCTCCATGATGTTCCTTCTAGAGTTGCCAGAATCCTTGCGGATACATCCGCGCCACTTGTATGCAACCTAACCTAATAGTCATTCTATACATAACCTAGGCATGTACCTGAATTATACATATTTCTGGTATCACATACATTTATAATCTGGCACTCATCTACGCTCTGTCAATGTGCACCTTAATTTTTTACTAAGAATATAAATATTTATAGTGAACACATTTTAAAGACTGCTATATAAAAATAGTAAGGTATAAACGTTCGATGAATGTTTTTATTTATGTCATGTAAATTTTTAAGCTATAAGAAATATAATAATTGTGATATCTTCTTATAGTTTCAACAATTCCTATTGTTTTAATTATTAATGGTAGAACTATTATTTTTAAATTACAGTCATGTTACAAAAAAATAACAATAGTATATTTATTCAATACTAGTTACCGTTATCGTGATTAAAACAATTTTTTTTCGGTACTGTTGGCCGCAGCTTGTCTTTATAGTTTCACCGGACGATAGGGGGCGAGTGCAGATGGCACTTCAAACCCGCGGAAGGACATATGGAGCGGCTGAAGGCCAACTTCCGCCTGACGGATACGACTTTAGTCTAAGGGCACCGCTAGGGAGTTCGAATCTCGTAACTTCGTTTAATATCTAAATTTTCATTACCGGTGAGCTATATATTATTCAGAAATATAACAAAATGTTTGATGTCGCCCACATTCGAACTCAGGACCTTTGCTTTCAAGTCGGAGTAGTTAACTAGGCCACAATGCTCTCACTACTTACTACTATTATACATTTCGCACTTTTAGAACACATATGGTGACCTACTAATTAGTATGTGTATACATTAATGACTTTGTAACATTAACTGTAACATATATGTTTAACATTTTATGTATAATATGTTCAGTAATTCAATTTATCAGTTTCAATAGGGCTATTATTATTTATATAAATAAAATAAAAACATTCGAAAGGAGCGAATTCCGAAATTTTATTCTTCAAACCTATGTGACATTTCAGATTCCATTAAAAAAATATCTTAGGGGTATATATATATTTCAATTCTTTTGAAGAATAGCAAAACAAAAACGAAAGTACTTTGTACAGTCAACCTAATGTGTTAAAATATATAGTATATTTATTATTATACAAATAGTATAAAATATGTTTATCCAGTAATACTAAAAACCAAAAGTGTTCAATTTATCTGTCAAATTGTAATTCTTCTTTATACAGCCTGTCAAAAATATTAAAGGCATCATTGACAAATCACAATATCCCCTGCTTTATATTTCACAACATGAATAGAAATGCAATTAACTGAAAACCTGAGGTAAAAATAAATACATTCTTAACAACACAAAAACAACTACACTTACATGTAAGCGTCCTACAAAAATATACTCTTTCGATGTTACAAAACACTTATATTCGTTCTACTTAACGCCTAAACTCGCGCGGCTCAAGCGTAAAATTTGTACAGCTATATTGTATATAAAAATATTGTCTATAGACCTCCCTAGTTTTATCAAGTGTTCTTGCTATACAAATGCATGCCTAATAATTTATGGTTTGATGGTTTAACTTGAGTGCAGTATAGCTATTAATTGATATACTTAAGTAAATTTAAATGTTACGTTGTGCTTTTTAAGCACGCTTATAAATTTAACAGGTTGCTTGTTAAACAATGTTATAAAGGCTTTCTGTTTTCTCTCTTACTTACTTGATAGTGTTAATACTTAACAGATGTATCAAGCTATATCAAATATGTTTGTTATACATTGTGGGCAAGTAGTTTTTGACATACTAAGGAGGCCTTATCAGATTTATTCCTTGTACTACTTCCATACATAGTTGAATACGTCCATGATACTGTCGTATATAGTGAACGTGATAGCTACATCGAACACTACCCTACTGAGTCTTGGCACGGTACCTTTGTAGAAGGCGAGTGGTCCCTCTTGTTTCCACGTCTTGATAAAGCAGTCCCATGTATTTTTGTACCTGGCAGCTTCAAGTCCCTGCATACGGGTCTTAACTACGTCTATTGGGGTGTTACCGAACACTGATGCGGCTCCTGAAAAAGAGATATGGGTTTAATTATATTACCAATAGGACTGCTTATTGCGTATAACTTCTTACTTTTCAGTTATTATCTATATTAATACGAAACAAAATTGCGACTATGAAATTTCAAACACTTATATTTATAGACATAGAGAAGGAGTGCAGAATGCTAATATTTGTTAACATTATACATAAAAAATAAATCAATTAAGAAAACAAAATATTACTAGCTACTATATATTAGACACACACAAATTACTCTTTTCTTTATTGTTAAAGTTTGTGGTGACATTGAGAATAGATAATATTTTTTGTCTTTATTTAATAATAAAGACAAAAAATATGCAGAAGACTAGTCTTGACTTTGACTACAATCTTCCGCAATGTCAAATTAATTATGGTCGATTTTCGACCACTGAGTGACCACTAGTATAGGTTATTACTTAAGATCAAGTGGTGCGTTAGCATATTTGCAATACCAATTACATAAAAAATATTGAATATGTACCTGCAATGCCACCAAACAGTCCAACAATGTATTTAGGTACGGGCTTGTCTTTGTCACCTCCCTTGTACCAATCGCGCAGAGACTCCATCACGAAGAACCTGATCGCTTGGTTACTGCCCTGTTTCATTATAGTTGCCGTCACACCTTTGTATACACCTCCTAAGCCTGGAAATATAAATATAATCTTATTATGAATATTATAAACACGAAAATTTGTGAGTAGGGATGGACGTTTGTTACTCTTTCACGCAAAAATTACTGAACGGATTTTGATGAAACTTTACAGCTTATACATCAGAAGAACATATAGGCTATAAATTTCATCTGGTTGAAACCGCGGGCATGGCTAGTATTTTTATAAATGTTCTAAGTATATAAAATTTTCGTGTTACTCCTTCGTTACTCCTCCGAAACGGCTTGACCGAATTTTATTAAATATTATATAAATATTCAGTAGGTCTAAGAACGTGCTATTTTTCATACCCCTAAGTGATAAGGGTTGTCCACCCCTAACTTTTTTTATTATTTATTGGTAATTTTTTTTATTATATAGCATTAAAAATAGATACAACCCTAAATTTTCACCTTTCTACCATCAACCCCTACTTTTTTAATATCTATAATACTACTTTAATTTATAAGGCAAAACAGCCTTATAAATTAAAGTTTGTCGGGTCAGCTAGTTGTTCTATAACAAAACTTAATTGAATGTTACTTAATTTTAATTTTTCATAATCAATAAAGAACTATTAAAAAACAATAACTGTTTTTTTAGCTATAATAATACTGACACTCGTAACTGGCCTTCATAGGTTTTCCGAACGATTGAGAAAATAAATTGACGTAATAGGGGCGGCTCAAGGCCAACTCCTGCGTCACTGAATGAAATGAACCCCGTTATCCAACTTAAGCTCATAGGCTTACTTTGAAATTTATGAGTCCTATTTCGTACAACAATTTTTATTTTTAATCGCCGTTAAGATTCGGTCATCTAAAACTATTCTAAATTTCAAGTAAATAGGAGTAATTTTTTTTAAATATCGTTGCGACATACAGAAATTCATTATGTTCTGTTTAACCATTTTACTTTGGACAATATGTCATTTAGAGCGGCTTTTCAGAGTCGTCTATAAAAAATATGACCAGCAATTGCGAATACGACAGTAACGTAACGTCTGTAATTGCTACAATTTCATTATCATAGTACGATGATACCGACACAGGCACTGCTATGCTGACTAGGTCACCCCAACAATGATTGTAATTCAATTGTTTAAACAAAATAAACAAATTTCAGATGATACGTTAATATCTCTGATTCCAAAATATATTGACTATCTCTCGGGTGATGGTATCACCGATTACAAACTAAATCAATTCCATGACGGCGGTTCATTCGTCTCATACCATGAAATATTTATTTTTAAAAACCTTCAAACTTACCTTCTTCCCTTACAATAGTGCCTACACCATGGAAGAAACCTTTGAACCTAGGTTTCTCCATCCTCATGTCGTTAATGAATTTCACTTTGACAGTCTCCATGGGGGTGACGGCGAAGATCGCCTCCGCTACGCCGGCGGCTAAACCGCACGCCAACTTCCCAGTGTTCGTTAGTGTACCGTTTTCGGTTAACATATACAATTTAGCTTGTTCGAATACGCCGAATCTGGAAATAATATGATAATTTAGTACAACAATAAACACAGACTTCATTAACAGGTATTTTTTTATTATGATTACAGTTTAAATTACTACGAAATTCACTATTTTAGTGACCGTAAATACTACTAACAGTTACATCACATTTATCCAATGGATGTCGATTACAGTTTAAAAATAATAAATTAACGATGGAGTTTTTTGGAGTCACAACGAATTGAAACGAACTTTTTTTAAATTAAAAATAATCTTATTATAATGTTAGTAGAGAAAATTAAACAGTCTCATAATAGTCGGGCCACAGAGCAAAGTAGTGCCTACCTTTTTGTTCCGTGTCTGGGGCAAAGGATAACTCTTTATACTATATAACTCTTTACATGTTATTGCAGGGAACTGTACGCTCTTTTAATTACAGAAATGTCTACGATAACAGGGTTCTAATTAGAAACGTAAATGGATACAGCAATAAGGAATTTTCTCGAGTTACAGTGCAAATGTCTTTGGAATGTAATAGTGTAACACTAGCGTCCACGTCATCGTTCAGGCTCATCAATCTATACTGATGTTATAAATTCGAAAGTTTGTTAGTCTGTTTGTAACATTTTATTACTAGTAAACGGCTATCTTCATATGTTGCATTACGAGAACTGGCAGTATCTTAATTGAAGTATTAGTATCTGGACGTAATAAGTAATGTATGCAAATGGAGTCGAGCGTAACTGTTAGTACACATATTGTTATTAATAATCCTCAATTGCAACAGATTAATCTAAGGGTTTAATTGTTTTTTGGAAACTGTTTGTGAGTTGCAAATTATAATTGCAACTGTGAAAAGGTTTGTTACTAACAATTGTTAATTGCAAAGGATAATATAGTAAAACCATGAGTTAATTTTTTTGTGAACTTTACAATTCAAGCTAAACTGTAATCTCTATAATTGATTGTAACAAACTATTCGATAAAGGGCATACAATGTAATAAATTGTAATTTACAATTGTTGTTTCCAAAGTACAACAAACTTCAAACAAATTCGTACGGTTCGTTGCGTAGTTTAGAAGTAAATTTAAAAATAGACAGGAGGTCAATATTCTGAATACTGAAACATCATATTTGATTATGTAATAGTCTTCTATTTTTGCGATTATGAACCAATAGACAGTTGTAAATAAAAAATCAGTTGATTAATTCGTAACTGGAAATGTTAAACGCTATCAATTGTCCAAGTTACATAATATGTTCTATTTGTAACTTAGCACTATTAGATAAGTTTACCAACAATTATTTTTAATGGATGATAATAGAATGCTGGTCCCGTCGACGCTAACGGGCATCAGTGGAAAATGTTAGGATAAACATAAAATCAGGTCAGGTAGACCATTGTGACAAATACACGTGAATTTGCCATGATGGTTTCAAGGGAAAAAGAACCGCGTGGAGGTCAACGTGACATGAGGTATATTGCAATGGAGTAAATAGTTCACATTACTAATAATCCTTTTCCCTCCTATCATCCTCCTACTAGTTAATACTGGTACTAAAATCATCACATAGTATAAAAAAAAAGTCGCTGTCGCTATCTGACGTCCTTATGTATGCTTAAATCTTTAAAACTACAACGGATTTTGATGCGTTTTTTTTAATAGATAGAGTGATTCTAGAAGAAGGTTTATATATATATTTATACAATGATACACTGTATGGGGTAGTCAGAGGAGCTGTTGACGTCGTCATATTTGACATGACTACATTTTGCTTGTTATATTTATAAAATCTACATTGCAGAGGTCGAGCCTTGAGCGTTGTCTCTCGGATCCATTTCGTATGTTATCGATATTTCCTTCACTATATAAGGAAATAGGAAGGAAGGAAAATAAAATGCCACAAAGTTTTTGTGTGTCGGTTCGTTTCGAACCCTGGACTTTTAGGTCCAAGTGGGGATAGTAAACCACTAAGCCACCAAGTTTTACTATTTTATTTAATTCCTGCAAATTTAAATTACAAAAAAAGCTGGCCAATGGCCAATCACATAAATACATACCGCAAAGAAAAATAATAAATATATATTTACGAGTTACATCTCCAAGGACTTGCTACAAACAAACAACAGTAGTGTATACCTCTTAATCAAACACTATAGACCTATTTATTAATGTATTTCCTATTGTGTTGGTGTTGATTATTGGATATTTTCCTTACTAGAATTAACATCCGATGTGTTGGCATGAATATAATAACGTATTACTAATAGGGGCGAGAGAGGGCTTTTTTGTAATGGAGGCTAGTGACTCAATTGCTACGCTATCCCCTTGGAAACAATCAGAACTGATTTCTGGTGAATTGGCCACAATAGGCAATAATCAATTACAAATCGAGGGCCGGAAGAGAGGTTGTTTGTAATGGGGTTTATTGACGCAATTGCTACGGAAACAGGTGGATGTCCACAATATCCCCTTGGAGTTTCCAAGGGGATATTGTGGTTAGGGGGTATCGTGATTGATTTCTGGTGAATTGGCGATAATAGGCTAACTGACTAGACTTCGTCCTCATCCCATTAGGAGCTACCCACAAATTAAGTCTGACGCCTTATTTCAGGAAACTTAATAACAATATTGGCCCATATTTTATTATTTTCTATATATCGTAAGGTATACACCTTAAAATAATAAAATATAAAATAATAACATTGTCTCTGTTAGTAACAGAAGTGAAACAGGCCTTTGGTTAGGGAGGAAAGGGGATTGATAGTAATGTGGACTGAAATCTTATTGCTAGCAATGTACCATGTCAGGTTGACCTCCACGCGGTTCCCCCTGGAAACCATCGTGATAATTTCTTTGTGAATTTGTCACGACAGGCTAAGTAACCTGACCTTATTCTCATCTTATCATCCTCCACTGGATGCAGCGCAAGCGGGTGCACCATTCCATGATCATCCATATAAAAAACAGGCCTTTGGTTGGGGGAAGGGGATTGTTAGTAATGTGGACTGTTGACCCCATTGCTAGCAATGTACCATGTCATATTGACCACACGATTCCCCCTGGAAACCATCTTGATATACTCTTGAGAATTTATCAAGATGGGCTAACTGACCTGACTTCATGTTCATTTTATAATCCTTGACTGTGCCCCGCCAGCATAAACCGTTGGCGCACATTTTGCACATTTGGCACATTTTGCTAAAAGCCGGGTCATCAGCGTGCATAATTCTATTATCATCCATAAAACAGGCTTTTAGTTTTTTGGGTAGCACGATTTAACAAGTTTAGGGCTTAAACGAATTTAACGAAACGGGCGGGCCATTGTCTGAATTTACCTATTTACATGTTGTTCTGTATATTATCATTACAATGTACACAGCATGAAAGGTAAGTGAGCATGGGTTATCATGGGTCGTGTGCAGAAATATTTCACTGATAAGTTAAATATATCATTATATAATTTAAAATGTCTTTAGAATATTGTAGGTATGCAGGAAATTTATAATATAATAAATATTATCTTATTAATACATAAATGCGAAACCTTGTAAGTAAGGATGGATAGATGGATGGATGGATGTTTGATACTCTTTCACGAAAAAAGTATTGAACGGATTTTGAAGAATCATTTCGGTAACATAGTTTATACATCAGAATAACATACAGGCTATACATTTCATGTAAGCGAAACCGCGGGCACAGCTATTTATAATATAAGTAAATGGTAATTGACAATAGAGAGGTGTTTAACATTTTGACAAATGTTAACAATTTCTCTAGCAAATATTAAGGTAAAACTATTATATCTACAATAAAATTTCATTTGACAATATTATATTAATCAAAATTTACAATATATTACCAAAACAATCTGATATTTAAATAAATTAGAATGTTAATAATTTGTTTGTAACAAATATATATAATAACAATAAAGTTACACAAACTAAGTCTATACAATGGTTATATAACTCAAATTCTGGAATATAAATATTATTAACTAGGTAATAATGAGTGATGATCTAAAAGTTCTTGTATACAAGTATTAATTGTGAGATATATAAGGATATGTATGTGGATGGTAATAATACGCTAGTCCTTATACAAAAGTACTTTAGCCTAAAATGTCTTATTTTATCAAAATCTATATAAATTAAGAAAAAATACGGAAAAAAACAATTCTTTTTTGTGAAGTCGATTGAAGGCAGATGACAACACTTCTTCCTACTAAGGAAAGCGAGTTCTGCCTCCAGCCCGTATTTGAGGTGTCGGCCGGTACATATAAGCACTGGTAGGATATCTTTTACGATAAAGTTGCATTGCATCTGCATTCCTCATAAATGAGGTGCTTGTTCGCAAATGGAATCAACAAGTTCAATTCACAAAAATCCAAGTCCAAAATAGAAGCCAACAACAGCGAATACGGAAAGACGCGCAGTAGGCTGAGCGCGCGCAAAATGTACTAACTGGTGTCAAACGTAGCCATTTGCTTGGTATACGAGCAAGGAGATTGTTTTTTTATTACTAACTTAACACTTTTCACACTAGACTATTAATTTCATAAAAAAAAAAAAAAAATAATGTTACCCATCGAAACAACATGCAAGAATATGAGTGCGTTATTTTCGGATGGCAACAGTCCAATTGACGATTTATCATGTCATAGGTATCAGTTATTTGACGTCGCAAATTCTACTTGAGAAAACAACAATTTTTTAGTGTGGCGCCGAAAAACAACTGCTGATTAGTTTTCTTTCATTTTGAAAGACCTAATTATGGATTGTAGCGCGTATCTCAAATGATGTCTGCAGCTTTAATATGTTGTCAAATAAATGTAAATTAACACCAGAGATGTTAAAAATAGATTATTTGTATTCAACTGTTTAGCTGGTTGAATCACTTATGTTGTAACTGGCTAATAAGAAATGCATTTTATATTCTAAATTTGTATTGAAAGGTATTTACCTGTACCTGTTACTTCAGCAACTAACGAAATAAAAAAACATCTACAAACAAAACTTGAGTTAAGAAATAAATTTATAGTTATATATTGAACATTCTTGTTTGTTACTTCACTTGATTCTATTCTATCGTCAATACTATCCAAATATAACAAAACTACAACGACCTAGAACTATGTAATATTATTTGTGTGTGTTTAGAACAAAATACTTTTTCTGCGAAACTGTATACATTTAAAGAACATTTTTCGAAGTTAAATGAAAGTTTTATATAACTATGTGAATGTATATAAAACTTTCATTCAACTTCGTGAATGTATATATATATATATATATGTATGAAAGTTTTATATATATGTATATGCTCTGTCTGGAGTATTTAAAATCTGTCAAGTAATAATTGTATTATTAGATTATATTAACCATCCTCCACTGGTGGCCGGTTCACCATATAATGTTAGCACAGGCCTGTTCGTCATTCCACTATCAGGTTATTTTATTATGTGTTTTGTTTAATGGATAAACAAAATACAAAATAAAATAACCTGAATCGACCTCCTTGTTTATGAACATTCTTGTTTGTTACTTCATATATTCTATCAAAACTACAACGACCTAGAACTTATTATTTGTGTGTGTTTAGAACAAAATACTTTTTCTGTTACATTTAAAGAACATTTTTCGATTATTTTTATGTATATATATATGTATATTGTATATATTTTTGTGTGACATAACACTTGTATGATAACAGTGACGTGCAAATACTTAATCTGTTAGTATCACGATTGAATCTAGACAGATAACGTCGCTGGGCATAGCGCGTGTTCGTTTCGCAACGTTACAAATCACTTTCTTAACTATAAAACATACGTCTTTTAGACTTTGGACCGCCTTGGAATCGATAATCTGGCTTTCCGGGTGAACAAAGTTTTTTGAACGCGGACAAAGTTCAAGCTGACAAATCTATCGTTGTATATTTATGTAGTCTGATAACGAATTAAATTGGAAAAGAAAGTGATGACGAAAGCTGACCGTCCACTTAATGGTAAATGGTAACCATTACATATAGATCTAAACAGCCCTACGGAGATCACGATAACCATGTGACGCCGGAATTTGCCATTCCAGAGCACTAAGAAGTCTAACCTTATTCTGTAATTTCATTGCTTTATGAGACGGCTTATAAAGCAAACTCCTTACTAGCCAACGTCGACGACTTTTTAGAAAGTCTAGCTCGATAAAGCATACAAAATGCTATTCAATATTTGGTTGTGTTTCTTATGAGAATCCAAAAAATATGACTATTAAAAAGTGCTTACTAACTTAATATATAAATTTATTTCAATAAAGATTTTTTCGATTTTCTATTACACTTATTGGACTAAAATGTATAATTTAAAAGTAAATAAATTGAATTTAGACTGGGTATTTTTTAATTTACATTTTATTCCAATTTTTTTAAATGAGTTTTTGAATACCACTTGGTGAAAATAATAAATGTAAGAATAACCGACGACATGGACTTTATGTCTGTGGACTTGAATGAATAAATAAAACGAAGTACCAACGCGTTAAGACAAATTACGACATAATTTTTTGATGATACGAGCGAAAATACTGTTACTGGCAGCTTGGGTATCATTCCTTTTTTAAATGTTATTTTGATACTATTCTTTTATATGTTACTAGTTATCCGCCCCCGCTGCGCTAGGATGGCGTCCCAAGGAACAATTTTTCACTATTAAGTGCAATCTCCAAAGATTTCCTTTTATACAAATATTGTTCTGATTATTACAGACAATAACAATAAAGAATTAGCCAAAGTTGAAGTTGTACCGAAGTTATTCGTGTACACACATATGACAATTGATTTTTATTTATATACATTTCAGTCGAAATATACTTACAATTATTTTATTTTTTTAGTGGTAGATTTAGCGTGAGCGATTTTTGCGTGAAAGAGTAACAAATATCTATCCATCCATCCATACTCACAAACTTTCGCGTTTATAATATTAGCACAGATAACATAATATATTAGTAAGACTCGTCGTTGTATTTATTCAGGGCCGCAATCCCCTTTGTGCGAACTGTGCGGCGCACACTGGCGCTAAGGCAATAGCGGCGCCGCGCGCCGCCATACCATTTTTTTTTAGTTGAAGCCAACAAAATAAACAAATAATTTTTCAGACTAATTCTCTGTACATATAATTGTAACATATAATTTAAATTATATGTATACATAAGACAAAACCAGGATATAAAGTTGTTTTAAAGTACGAGAAGGAGGTTATTGCTCAGCAGTTGGGTATTATTTATGTTAAAAAAAAGTTATTATAACCTACCTGACCGCAGATTTAGGTATAGATCCATATAATAACACACTGAGCCCTCTGTACAATCCGAAGAAACCATGGCCCTTTACTGTCTGTTTTACGCAGTCGAAGATGCCTGTGTACTTCTTAGTGCCTCCTAAAACGAAAAAAAAAATCCATTACAAAACAAAAAAAATTCAGTCAGATATTATAATTTACATAAATCTATTACCAATACTGACAATATGGGAGAAAACACTAAATTGTAAAAAAAATATTCGACATTAATATATTTGGGACTATGAATATAAATATAAAAAAAAAATACGTCGAATTAAACCGTTCTTCTTTCGGGAGTCAGTTCAAGGAACCTATTTCAATCATGACAAAATACAGCATGAAAGTAATATACTTAATCGTAATTTACGTTTTAGGTATAAATTAGTAAACAAATATGAAAAACGAATAAAAATCGCCAAAATATGGCAATTACACAGACGAGAAAAAACTATATACAATCAACTTGGAAGCTTTTTTGAGATGGGTTGAAATATTACATACGAACCAGTAGAATTGTTTATCAACAAAGTTCTGTGTATGTTAATGTTACGTAATGGATACCTATGTGCTATTGCGAGATGTTAATTCCAATTTTATTACAATTGCCTACCTGATCCAGGGTGATTATCACCTAGATCACGATTTCTAAAACCGGATTTAGGTAATGGACTACAGTCAACTAGCGTCAGTCGTTAGTTTCAATTAACTAATACTTCGTTTGATAAATATAAGTATGAAAGTACTATGAACGCTATAAACTATATTAAGTGACAGATATATAAATAAATATAATAGGCTCCATTAAGTTTAAAATTAAAAATTTTAAATTTCAAATTGTGAAAGGTAGACAATTTGGTGACATTTTCAAGAAAGAATATTGCGTCTGCACGCTGCACTGTTAAAGTTTGTCCCTTAGAGAAAGCGGTTTTTATAACATTTCAAAATTTTTTAATTTTTTTTTATTGTTTCGTGACAATTATAAAGCGTTATATAAATATATAAAAAAAAATTTTGCGCATGTATTCTAAATGTAAAAATTTAAGTATAATACACCGCTTAATACCTATTTAAAATAGGTATTAAATTATTTTCCTTATTTTGTATATATGTATTGTATTTGTATGTATTTCATATTTTACTCGCAAAACCACTTCTTTTCCTTGTATTGAAAAGATTGCTTAAGAAGATTAAGAAGGCTTTGTTGCACTCATACAAATAGTCAAATGTGAAATTTGTTAAATTTGTTTGTGGGACAAATAAATGATATTCTGCTTGAGAATGTTGAGAGTTAGCAAATTCTATGACGTTTATTATACTTCTTCACTCGTTCGGCGTGTTAGTTTCATACGAGACACGTGTCTAATACACGTTTGATAAAAGAATTACAGAAATGAGGCATGCAGGAAGTATTTATATAAACAGGAGTTGGCATTTAGCCGCTACATAAGTTATACTGCGGGTTCTGTATGCCTTTTGCTCTCTATTTTCCCTTATTTCAGACTGAGATTCTTGCCAGTTCTTCTCAAAGTAGTTAGCCGAACTGGATGACGGTGATATTAGTGATAGTGTCAAAGAATTATGACATATATACGTCGAAAGGTCCTATGTTACAATAAGATAACACAGGACCATTCACACAACGCCATCTAGCCCCAAGTTAAGCAGAGATTGTATGAGTACCAGAAAAGGTATTGCTTTTTGGAGTGGTGAAGTATAAGAAACCAATGTATTTATTTGAAAAACTTTCATTTTCTATGCGAAATCATCGATTATCACATCTCTACATGATCTGTCCTCAATATAAAACTGCAGCATTTCGTGGAAGTTTTAAATATACTGTCACGAAATGCTGGAACAATTTACCACCCCCAATTCAAAATACTAATCAGTCAGTTTCGTATTTTAAACATAACTTAAAAAAAATATTTACTAAAAGTACAAAAATCTTAAACGTGGCAGATAAATACAGTAGTTATATATACATATATATTGATTAAATAAGTAAATATATTCAAGCTATATTATATTACAAAAAAGTCTTTCTATCGACACTTTTTTATCCTTATATATTTTTCTTCTATTTATCACACATACTTATAATTCATCCATTTAACTGATTCTTCATTTTAGATATTTGAATTCATCACGAATGCTATTTCTTTTTTTTTCAAGTGGCTCCACTGAAGATCACACCCCAGTGGCACCCGCTGAGTGGAAGCCTTTTCAGCATAGTGAATTATTAGTTTTTAAGTTTTCTTTTTTATCTGTACTCTTTTTTATGCTGAATAAATGATTATTATTATTAAAACTGATAGAAATGCTTGAAAACATTTTTTTAAAACTACGTTATATATACATATAATAAAATGAAATCGCTTATGAACAGACAGTGTTCGACTACGCGACGGATTTTAATGCAGTTTTTAGGTATAATACATGTACAGTAATGTACACCCATGCCAAGCCGGGGCGTGTAGCTAGTAATATATATACATATAGAAAACACCCAGATAATCATACTCATGAATACCAATCTTTGCATTGTGCGAGGAATCTAATTCGTTACCATTGTAAGTGGAAGTAAGGCGGTGTGTTAAACCATACCACATAGTCCACCATGTAAGACCACCGAGCCCGTCAATAGGTACATGAATCTATATTCCATGAATTACGTTATTGAATAATTTTTTTTTATTTGATTTGATTTATTTTAGTCTTGCGAAGCCGTAAAGGCCAGCTACGACCAAAAACCTTAAAACAGTTCGAAAAAAGGAATTTCTCTTTTAATTACATGTACTTGGTAAGATTCTGTTAATTTTCGGAATATAAACAGATACGCGCCGACCCGACCAGAAAAGCGTAAGTGACACAATCACAACATGTCATATTTTGCGACACCTGTGTATTCTTACTATGTACACATCACCGCTTTTATGACAAACATGATAACTATTTTAAATAAAAACAAGCAAATTGGTCTTTCAATCACGACAACTTGATCTTTCCTCCAACATTACTATTAGAACTAATTAACGTCCTAGTAGTGGGCACGAAACCAAAATTTTATCATCTCGGTTTTATAAAATTAATTTGTCTAAAGGTGATGGCTCAATGACGCAGATGGAAAATGGCAACCGTAAAGCACCACAGGACTAACATCACATTACACCTGTAGCACCTATCATGCGGAGCCATCTTCAAGGACCGAGCTGTCATGAATCCACATTGCGTAATTTTTATAGCTAAAAATATAATATCCGAATATCTCTAGACAAAATAGATAGGAATATTCTATCTATTAGATAAGTGACTTTGCTGCGTACATACTATCATAATTAATATTCCAAGTTATTAATAAAGGTCATGACCCTAACATTGGTCATGAAAAACACAACTGACTTAAAAAAGATATTTAATAAGTTACTTGTTTGACAAGTGTTGTTGCTAAACAAATTATCATTAAATGCAATAAAATTGTAGGTCATAAAAAAGAGTGATAGGAATATACTCATACTTTTTATCTGACTATAAACTTACAGTTCATTCAAATTTTATTGAACTGTTTTTTACAAGATGTCATGAACATTCTCGCAATCCACAATTTATAAAATTAATAATTTTATACTGAATTCTGAATCTATTATAGGTACTATCATAATATCTAACATAGGTTTTCTAAAATATAACTTAAAGAAATTATTCTTGTTAGGTGGGCTTGATAGACAAAAAATAATGTTTTTAATTGATAATTAAATAAGAATAGTCATCAGAAGTTGGATATAATTTTAAATAGACTTTTATTGAATTCTTGAGTTCTGTTACTCTGTTTACTTAATACTAGATTGTCTTGAGCTAGATGCAGTTTAGTATCTAAACTTAAATTAAACACTCTTGTACTTATGGTTTTTGTTTATATTCCTTGCCAGTAAGTTATTTTAGTCACTTAACTATGGGATATATCAAATATTAATGTTATCTCTTATCATTTACACATGCTTATCTTAGTCAAGGTTGCAAGTAACATGAAATTGTTATTTTTAAACAAAATAATCTGGCAAATACAGTTAGTGATACACTATAGTTTGAAGCCTATGATTTAATTGTTTTTAATATACATAAATATATTAAGTAAAAATTATATTATTCAGATTAATTGAATTGGCATTATTATTTCAGAAATATTAGACTATTTAAGGTCCATTGTATACACACTACATAACCAATAGATAATTAATAGTTGTTAGTTAATTGGATGATTAGGATGAGAGGATTTCCAATTGGAGTTTTAAGGAATGTGATATAGTTTGTATTATAAACTTTTAAATGGGTTTTCTATTGACGCTTATACATATAGTTGAAATATATATAATTATTAAATTAAATTACTATATAACATAAACATATATATTTCTTTGCCTGTGATATCAGACCTTGACTGGAAAATATGTATGCAAAGTTATTAAGACGAGTGCAAAGTCCAAAAAAATGTAATGTATTGGTTGTCCTGTTGTTAAGACTTAAAATATATTCACACAAAATCCATTAGTGGGCGACATGTTCAGTAGTGATCAATTAGATTCTAATTGGAAAATATATATTCCTAACCAGTTCGCAGTGAATCCTAGTAAGTGTTAGATTGAATAGAATCGTAGGCAGATTCCAACAATAACGAGAATCGTCAAAGATTTCATTGACGTAGATAAATATTTTTAGAAAAAGCGAAAATAGTTTTTTTTTCTTGGTCAAAAAACTTACGGATGCATGGATCTCTAATGTAAAGAGCGGTTCAAAGCAACTAACCTTTTTCGTCTAATTGCAGTTGTGTTTTTACATATTCCGTAGGGAATGTGATACAAATTTCAATGCCTCCAGTTATACCGCCGGCCACCACTCCTTTTAAACCAACTGATCCTGTACCGCCAGCCGCTGCCGCTGCCCCTGTTTCTGTCATCCATGGTCTTTGGAATGGATTTTTGAAGTTTCCAGTCTTTGAGGACATTATAATAATTTAGAAAACACTTTACTAACGCTAGCGAATGTAACGTACAGTCAACAAGCCGTACAGATTTTGACTGCTTAATTGAACGAATTGTGAATAGTGAATGACAATAAAATTTCCGAATGAATGAAATTAAATGATGAATTGATAGTTTTAGGGCGGTTACATACAATTAAGACTGTAGCGTCAGATGCATATAAAAAGTACTCTGTGGTCTCACACGCCACCTTCGCTATGTCTCTGTGATCTGTACACAACCAATCATTTTTGTTTGACAAATATTTCTAAATAATTTCCTATTTTTAATACTATTAAATATAAATAGTTAGAATATGAATAATTAAGATTTTATTGGTGAATTTCTTGACTTTTTTACACTATAATATTTGTATACTATAAAATATAGAAAGTAATTACGTCAAAATGGCTCTCAGAACTTACGGCGATAAGCCGATTAGTTTTCAAATAGAAGAAGGAGGTGATTTTTACTGTGTGGGATCAGAGGTAAATTTAATTTTTCATATAAACTAATTCTTGAATAGTTTTGACTTATATTTTTACAGTATTCTGTCAATAATGTGCTTCATACTTTCCTTTTAGGTGGGTAATTACCTACGTCTGTTCCGTGGGTCTCTTTACAAAAAGTACCCTGGCATGGCCAGGAGGACACTCACAAATGAGGAAAGGAAAAGGCTAATTGACAATGGACTTGGTCCTCATGTGTTGTCCAGCTCTGTGTCATTGTTAAAAGCGTCGGAAGTTGAAGATATTATAGAAGGAAATGATGACAAGTATGTTTAGTTAATGTTACTTCAAACAAGTTACAAAATATTCCTTTGACTTCCTTAGCATAAGTTCTTTTTGTTATTTGTCCAATGACTGCCAATCATAAGGTTATATGTGTTAATAGAGAACATAGTTTACAAGGCCAATAATATTCAAACATGTTGATTCATATATATGTGACACTGGACCAGTTTAATGTTGTAGTTTGTTTTTCAGTTTTTACATGTATAACTGGGCTTCTCAATATATTAAAAGGAACTGACCCGACATGATCCAAACTGCATAACTAACCACTTTTTTTAATTTAATACATTGCTGTACTTAAGTCTATATTAATAATATTATAGAGAGATATTTAATTTTAAAATGTGATACATCATTACATTGACAATAATTAAAAAAATTAAGTACATTTTCTGGGGTTGTTTGAAACTAGTAAATTTATGGGTTTTTCATTAAAAATTTTGTAACTTGACAGTTGAAAAATAAAAAAATGTAGACATTTTTTTATTTTTCTTGAATATATATATTAATGTTACAGATATAAAGCAGTATCAGTAAGTCAAGAGTTAGCTACACCCAGAGAGAGTAAAAGTAAGAAACCACACAATCCATCATGGCTGCCTGTAATGCCGAACTCCTCTCATTTAGATGCTGTTCCTCAAGCGACACCTATTAGCCGATCTAGGGTGCATAATAAAAAGGTAAGATAAGAAGGTACATTAGTTTTTACTTTATAAGTACTGTTTATATTGGAAAAAGTTAGATATTTTTTGATAATAATTTTCTACAGGCCTGTTGATGCTCTTATCTTACTATTTCCTATGCTAGGTATGAAGGAGATCTGTATAAAACTGGTAATGGGATCAGTGGCGTAGCTACCAAGGGGCTAGACGGGGCAGTGCCTCGGTGACCTCAAGCTCAGGGGGCCCAGGGTTCGACCCTTAATAGAAAATCTCGATCGAACAGAACTTTTGAAAATTTCTCTCATTCACAAAATAAATATGACTGGTTGCAACTCGACTTTAATTATGGCAATTCAGTTGAGAGAAATTCGAAAGTTTTGCCATCGGAATTCCCCTAAATTCATTCTTTGGGTTGGCAGTGTTGTCAATTGTATATAATATAATAAAAAATAGAGATAAATAATTAAGATGCCCTATGGCAATCATAAGCAAACAAAACAGGCATTGCATATAATGTGAGGTCTTTGCTATTTAAGGTCCGTACATTCCCACTTTGTTTCGATGATACGGACATGACAGCGATGTTGGAGAATGCTTCGCAAAAGCAGGTGCTTGTACCAATCCGTCTTGATATGGAGATAGAAGGTCAAAAATTGAGGGACACATTTACTTGGAATAAAAATGGTAAGTAATCTCTTATTTATATGTCCACATTATGGGTGTGTGCCTGACTGAGATAGACTTTGTCATCTAAACCTGACATATTTTAGTTATCAAGTAGTTTCGATTTCAAGTTAGTTTCTGTTATTTGGATGTGGCAGGCATATGGCAATGACATTAAAAGTTACAGAGGCATTATCGTTTAGCCATCTGGAATGGCAACAACACATACCATGGTCATATGTAAATGTAATGTATGTGGTTCAATTCATATTATATCTGCCACTTGTTTTCTATTACAAATTACAATTATGTAGTTAATTTCCTCACAATTAATAATTAAATGAAATGTTGTGTACAGATTATACTTTATTAAAAATTATATTATTCACTATATATACACTATATTATTCTTTATAATATTAGCTCCTTTATGCAATTTATTATATATACATAGATTTTATTATTTACGTTTTTAGAGTCAATAATCACACCGGAACAATTCGCTGAAGTGCTATGCGATGATCTTGAACTCAACACAAGTACGTTCATTCCTGCCATAGCGTCGTCCATCCGTCAGCAAATAGATGCATTCCCGAGCGAACCTCCGGCTATATTGGAGGAACAGACTGACCAGAGAGTGGTCATCAAACTAAACATACATGTTGGGAATACTTCTCTTGTTGATCAGGTATTTATTTTCTTTCAAGTGAAGTATTTGGCTGGATAAAAAAAAAACAACAGTCCTGTCTCAGTTTCACACAGATTACATTATAAATCTTTGAATTTCCCGGCTTGTTCTATACTATAACACGTTTCTATTATACATATAAACCTTCTAGAATCAATCATCTATTGCTGAAAAATCCCTCTAATATCCTTTTAAAAAAGACTATAATAGTAATATATGGATATGTGCACTTTACAAATATAGTGGAGCCCCGGTTATACGACAAACGCAGGGCAGTTGCGGACCATCGAATTTGTCGGATTATATAATCCGACAAATTACAGATCCAGTGATAAGATTCTATGTTATATATGTATGTATGTATGTATATGCACTCTGAAGTATATTGTCAAAAAAATATTCAATAATAAGTAATAGACCATGTTGGATTACAAGGGGGGTCGGATAAGACATTACACTGTAATTAAACTACTCCATGTTTTAGGTGGAATGGGATATGTCAGAAAAAGAGAATAATCCAGAACAGTTTGCTATGAAGTTGTGTGCGGAACTGGGTTTGGGCGGCGAGTTCGTCACAGGCATCGCATACAGCGTCCGCGGACAGCTCGGCTGGCACCAACGGACGTACGCCTTTAGCGAAGCACCATTGCCCGTTGTTGAGGTAATCTAGACCTTTTTACTTTTATTTTAAGTTATCATTTATTAATATAAAAGAATTTAAATTTATTAATGAGGTAGAAGTAGATTTCTAATATATAGAAGCCAACAGTAAACTAAATATTAACTTTGTATGCACTCAGATTGTGTTATCAGACTTCTTTGTGTATATACCGTTAGGCCCGAAAAAGAGACTACATGTGCAAAACGGAGTCCAATTTAAATTTATACTTTTGTATTGTTGTAGCACACAAATGTATTTTACTATTAAAGCTAGTGTACAGGTAAATATATGCTTTAGATAATTAAATTATATTACAGCAAAGTTTATACAATTTTTGCAGACACCATACCGCCAGCCGTCAGAGGCCGAGCAATGGGCGCCTCACCTGGAGACTCTCACCAACGCGGAAATGGAGAAGAAGATTCGAGACCAGGATAGAAACACGAGACGCATGCGTCGTCTTGCAAACACTACGCCCGGTTGGTAAACTGATTGATGTATCGCAAGTTTAATATTAATGTGCATTAACTTAAAAAAAAGTTTTAGGAAAATAACTTTTAATGTAAAAAGTTAAAAGTCAATTTAAAAAAATCCATTTGAGACAATGCATTTTATTATTAAGTTTGCGAAGTATGATTACATTCTATTTAAATTCTTGTACTCCTAGTATATCATCATAATAGAAAATATAATATATACAGAGGTTAAATTTCAGTTAATCACAAATGCTGTAATAGAGTCTATAAATATGAGAATAAAAAAAATAATCTAATTTGTTTGGGAGTGGGAAATGGATATATATCTATATTGTACTACTATAGTACTTGTGTCCTAAAAACATTTCATATTGTTCACATTCATATTATTTAAGTAAATAAAATTATAGTGATATTAAAATGAAACCTTATACCATTTTTATATTAAATGTTTTGTTTGATTTAGTAAAATTGTAGCTAATGTATGCAGTAATGCAAAGAATATGATCAAGCATTTGAATTTCTAATTCGATTTCACATCTAAGGTTGTATACTAGCTTGTCAACTTCGTGCTTGGTGCTTCGACGAGTGACGACAGATTTGCTGAGAGTATTATGCACGTAGGCTAACGCAATATGACTATACTTAATTATGTACTAAAATAAAATAGTTGTGATATGGTCGAAAATTTTTAGAAGTCCTATTCACTAAAATGTTTAAACATGTGTGATGTGACAATGTGAGTGGTGGGCCGGGTCATTGGCCTATTTGATAGGGCTTATTATTTATACTTGTGAACGGGTACTACTAGTAGGTATTGGTTGGCACTAGTCGCTGACTATTTATTTTGTTGCATAGTTCTAATTGTAAGTCTAATATCTTAATTTTACACGTTTGGCCAATACAAAACAAAAGACATCTAAAGTTTTATTCCTTTTGTTCAAAAGGAAGGAAATACTACAGAATTTCTTGGCCGTTTATCTTGTTCTGAATCTGCATTCGGTGGTGCAGTATAATAAAGTAATACTATTGCAAACTGATTAAAATTAAGCTTATTCAATAAATCAGAATAGAAATAATCTATTTCGTTCTATAGATAATCGCTTATATTATAACGTACATTCTGTAGAATGCCGCGAACAGAGTTGGCAAACTAGTATTGTTGTTTAAATAAAATCAGTATTTTAACAAAGTTTTGATGGGACTTGGTTATTTGGAGTTATGGAGTGGGGATATATTACTCACTGAAGTGATGGTGTTATATTGTCTTATTTTTTGGTAAAAGTACTTAAAATGTAGTGTATAAGTATTTAAACTGGTTAATATAGTTGATTAGTGTTGATTTTTTTAAATATAATAAATTAATGATGTTACTTAATTTAATTAGTTTCTTCTCAAAACAATGACTAAAATGATTAGTTATTGTCTTGATATTACATTCATAACTTTTGTAGTTAGAAATTTTAGTCAATACAGTTTTAATAATTTATTGTATTTTTTTTATTAAATTAATTGTCACAAGAGGTGTAATGTACGCTTAATGTTTTTTCTAATAATTTGTTCACGTGTTTTTTTTTATTATTTATATAATTTTAATTAATTGATATTAGACTTCTTTTCATTAATAATAAATATTTGACTTAAACTGATATTGTTGCCTTCAGAAAGTACAATTTTAATACAATAAGTAAATTTTAAGGAAAAATTGCATGAAATAAAGAGTATATTATAATTATTATAGTTAACAATTAATAATAAAAAGACTGTCAATAATAGTGACAACAGAATAATATTTTTTCGTGCATATTTATATATTTACTGTATGTATTTAAAAAAGTAAGTGGACTGTTAAAATTCTATCACATTAAAATGAATTTTCTAAAAGAGTATCGTTTCATTTGATAGTCACATATTGTCGAGACTAACCAATTGTCCATATTTTACTTGCCATGCGTGATTCAATTGACACAATCTGCTTACCATATACAAGTTTAGTCTTTGAAATATAGCATTACTATCTCTTATATTTCATATTATATACTTTATACTACTATATAATATTGAAAAATATATGTTTTATAATAGTATTTTATACAAATAATTATCACGTCTATTGACTTTTAGAATATCTACACTATTTTTCAGATACCAGTAAATTCATTTCCTAACACACTTAATAATTTACATATGTACCTAATTATTTTAGTTTTATTTTTATAAACAAATTCAGAATAGATACATTGTATGTTCTAAGTGAAATACTAGTATATACATATATGAAATGTTAAAATAGTATTGCTGTATACTTCAAAAATAACAATTATGTAAATTGAAGTCTTGTCAACTAGACATAGAGTTGATTTTATATTTTCTGGTAACAGATGTGTCGATGAGTCGCGCTGTGAATCGGCTGATCCGTGCTGACGAAGCCATGTTCCAAACGACGCCAGAAAAGAGGAGGAAAAAGATATAATCACCCAACGCCATGTTTTTACTGGCCGATGAAAGTCCGTAGCAAGTTCTAACTAGTTATAAACATTTTATTGTAATATTAATATGTTCAATAAGTTTGATTTTTATATGTATAATTACCGGAACGGCAAACAAATCGACTAATAGTGAGTTGTAACCGTCGCCTATATACATGAATATCACTTCATGAAGTGGTCTTGTAAGAACCTGATACCTGATACAGAAAGTTATTTTATTTCCAATTTGGTGAATAAAATGTGAATGTCAACATATTTTATATATTAACTGTGCAAACAAGATAATTGCATAAAACGAATATATTCTGTGTAATTGATTATAGATTAAGTTGAGAGCTTGAATATCAAGAACAATTTAAAATAAAAAAATAAAGAATTGAATCATTTGATAAGAATCAAAGCTATATTTTGTAAGCACATTGCTTACAAAATACACCTTCGACTCTATCTGTTTAATATTATTAAAATAGATGTATGAAAAGAAATTAACATTCGAATTATGTGAGAACATTTAATTCATCTCGTATGTAAGATTCCTGTTCGCAGGGCAAGTATTCTAAAAATTTTCCGTAATAAAACATTCCTTTTGAAATTTTATATTAAGTTTCTTTTATAGAATGTAATTATAGCCAGATAACGCCATCTCTTTCCGTCACGACATATTTTCGTATTTTTATATTTATACCATACCGTGCATTTATTATATTTCATAAATAAAATTTGGCATTGGCCTCTCTAGCTTCTTCAGAATATGTGTTCGGTATTGTCAAAGTACGCCTTATATAATTACATCCTTTATCATCTGTACTTACTATTCAATATTTTAAAGTAGGTTGCAAAACAGCGGCTTATTTATATTAAAAAATTAGGTGGATATTTTATTTTTGTGATGCTTTTTATTCAGTGGTAGGTTAAAGAATTAAATTAAGATTTATCTCGAATTCGTAATCTGACTTTATCTAAAATACCAAAAGTTATAAGATACAGTGGACTATTTTAGTTTAGGTATTTTCAATATTTTTATGTCATGTTTTTTTTAGCTCGTATGTCTAGGTTTTTAAGAGGCATCTTATAGCCACAAATAAAGACACTATTATGATATAACATGACGTTTTATTATACATATTTTATTTACTGTATTATATATTGGTTAAACTGGCTGGCACCCGTAATTTCTTTTGCGTCAAATAATCTTCTTTTTGCAATATTTTTGTGGTTCCATTTCTATTAGTCGAGATGTAATGTTATATAACCTTCCTTAACAAATGGACTATCCAATACGAAAATAATTGTTTAATTTAAAACATTAGTTTTTGAGATTAGAATGTTCAACCAAATAAACAATTCACCTGTATAATATTAATATAAAGAGGAGAATGGGTTTGTTAGTAATGTGAACCAATTATTCCATCGCTAACAATGATAGTACATTTATAGTCAGGTTGATCTTCGCGGTTCCCTCTAAAAACCATCGTGATAAGTTCCTGGTCCATTTATTAATATCTATTTTTAATACAAAATAATAAATTCGTATTTTTGTTCAGAGATTGATATTTAAAAATAGGCTCTGGGTAGATGTTGGCCCCATTATCACTGCCGTATACTGGCCATCTGTACTTAATTTATTTAAATTATATATCTGCTTTTTGACATGTTTCCTAATTTGATAATGCTGTTAATAACTCTTTAGTTTGTATAAAGAAAATATAAATTTGAAAATTGTACATTCCTTGTCATCCTTAGAACAATAGAAAATAAAGACTGTAAATTTAGACTTCATCGAGAAATATAATTGTGATATAATATTTTACTTTCCTCTTTTATTGATGCCCTATCTACGAACCTAACAATTAAATATCTATTATTATATATATATTGGGTTTGCTGTACTGCCCAATATTATGGCGACCGAATCAGTAAACGAGATTGCGGCGATGAAACGTGAGAGAAAAGTCATAAGAACAATATTCACAAGATCTGTAAGTTCCTTTGAAACTAAATTCGATAGCCCGGAATTTTCTGTCGACATTAAAATACAGTACAAAAAACTAGATGAACTGCAAGCTCAATTAACTACATTAGATAAAGAAATAAGGAGTTTATTAAGAAGCAGTGATGATGAAGACGTACTAAGTAAAGAAATCGACAGCGCCTTAGAATACAGAGAGAAGTGGCTACGAATAGATACTTTGTACAAAAATATGTTAGCTTCGAGGGAAGGAAACGTAAGTAAGAAAAGTATTTTACTCCCCAAGCTGGAATTTATACACTTTGACGGTAATTTGAAGAACTGGCTGAATTACTGGGGCCAGTTCTCTAAAATTGATAGAGATCCCAATATCGACCCTACTGATAAGTACCAGTATTTATTACAATCCATGACCCCCAATACTGAGGTAAGACGATTAGTGGAGGGATTTATTCCATCGTCCTATAAGGAATGTTTGGAACAGTTGAAGTCCAGATTTGCCAGGGAAGAATTACTGATACAAGTTTACGTCAGAGAATTATTGGCAATGGTAAATCCACGCACCCAACTTGAAATTACTCCATTATACGATAAGTTGAGTGCACAATTACGAGCGTTAGATACTTTGGGAGTTACTAAAGACAAATTTGCTGCCTTTCTGCTTCCCATGATTGAGAGTGCTTTACCACAGGAAATTTTACAGTTATGGGAAAGAGCAAAAGGTACAACAGATGTTACAACTGAATTAACTGGATTGTTAGTCGCCATAATATTGGGCAGTACAGCAAACCCAATATATATATAATAATAGATATTTAATTGTTAGGTTCGTAGATAGGGCATCAATAAAAGAGGAAAGTAAAATATTATATCACAATTATATTTCTCGATGAAGTCTAAATTTACAGTCTTTATTTTCTATTGTTCTAAGGATGACAAGGAATGTACAATTTTCAAATTTATATTTTCTTTATACAAACTAAAGAGTTATTAACATCCTCCACACCAGAAGATAATTAATTAATCAAATATGTATTCTAACTGTAGAACTACAACAGTTTAAAAACAATTCATAAAATTCACAATAATTATAAGTACTAGTATATGTGGCTGAGTATACGTATATGTCAATAATGTGTGTATGTAAATTTAAAATATTTGAACAATAATAAAAAAAAACATATTTAAACATTTACAACAAATACCTACTTGGAATCTTTATGTGTCGACCCGTACGAGTAGTCTGCCCAACCTGTGTGGAAATAGGAACAACATTATTTACCGACCTCGATACCTCTATATTACTATCACCATTCTCCGACCTTGGACGAGACAATACTACCGAAGGATCACTAACTTCTAATTGATATAGTTTTTGGAAAGGTCGTATTTTCAACCCCGTTGAAGTTTTTAGTTGAGCCGTTCTACAAACTTGATCTCGACCTGTGAAAATATTTGTCACCACACCTAATGGCCATTTAATCCTTTTTTCATCAGTCTCGATCAATACAACGTCACCTATTTTCAAGTCATTTGTCTTTTCTTTACCTTTCTGAACCAATGTCGTCAAATATTCAGTTTTAAACCTTTGTCGGAAATCTTCTCTTAATTTTTGTATAAATCTCAATCTTTTATTTAAACTATTTCTGTCTAATTCGTCTAAATCTGTGACACCAGATTGTAGTATGGGTTGTAAAAAGTGTATGGGTTTTAATGGTTCTAACGAATTACTTTTCTCATCTTCGATATAAGTTAAAGGCCGTCCATTTAACGTCGCTTCACAATCACAAAGTATAGTTTGAAGCTCTTCATATGTCACAGATGACTTGCCTAATACTCTTTTCAATAAATCCTTCAAAATTCGAATTAACCGTTCCCAAAATCCATTACAATCGAGATACAGCAGATATATTATCTGAGTGTTTTTATGTAGATAATGTAGTCACTAGTTTGGATAGTGAAGAAGATGTATGGAGATTCGAAAAGGAGGCTAAAGTCATTATGAATCAAGCCAAGTTTGATCTTAGACAATGGGTTATATCTCCTACGTCACAAAAAATACAGACAAGGTTATTTCGGTTTTAGGACTCCATTGGCATACATCAAGCGATACATTTAGTTGTAATATGTCATCATTTTGTGACTTAAATAAAATTGTTGTTACAAAACGAAGTCTATTATCTATAGCTCAAAAAATTTATGATCCTATTGGTTTTACATCAGCTGTTACATTAATACCTCGACTTATCCTTCAGGAGACATGGTGTCGTAATTTGGAATGGGACAGTCCTCTGCCTAGTGATTTAAATGAAAAATTTGAATTATGGTGTACAAGTTTATGCCAACTTAAACATTGTAAGATTCCTAGGCGACTTACAGAAGGTCCATTTTCTGAATGTATATTACAATTACATATGTTTTGTGACGCCAGCAGTAATGCATACGCTGCATGCATATTCTTAAGGTCTGACTATAAAGGCAAAATAACAATACGATTGATTTCAGCGAAATCAAGAATTGCACCTCCTAAAAAACCATCTATTCCACGTTTAGAACTGTTAGCTGCATTAATTGGATCAAGATTATTGGCAGAGTCACGTAGAGATTTGAAATTAGAATGTGAGGAATATTGCTGGACTGATTCAAATGTAGCATTGTGCTGGATTAAAAAGGAACTACAATGGAATACGTTTGTAGGTAACAGAGTTAGAGAAATACGGAAGAATACTGATGTTAATAATTGGTTTCATATTCCAGGAAATTCTAACTGGGCTGACTTACCATCGCGAGGATGTGATGCTGCAATTCTATTGACTTCTAGTTGGCTGGAAGGTCCGCAATGGCTGAAATCGGAAAATAATAAATGGATAAACTTACCTGTTTCCGTAGATAATGAAGAAGTAAACCGCGAGCTGAAAAAATCAACAATTTGTAGTACTAACATATGTTCAGAAGAAATAGTAACAAATAAATGGTTTTCTTACTTTTCTAAGTATAACAAAAATATAAGGATGATGGCATGGATACTTAGATTTTTATACAACACTCGAAATGAAACAAAGTTAAAGGGAGATTTAAGTTATATAGAATATGAGGAAAGCGAAAGAAGAATCTTCAAGCTTATTCAAGTAGAAAGTAAAGAATTTATTAAAAGTAAAATTAAGGGAATAAGTAATTTTTATGACAAGAATAATTTAATAAGAACAAAAACAAAGCTTTTAC